TGCTGCCACCCATTCGTCACCATATGTCATTGCTGCCGAAATGCATGGGGTTAAAGTGTTGCCTCATATAATCAACACCGTTATCCTCCTTTCAGTCACCTCGGTTGCCGTTGCAGCCATGTATAGTTCACAACGGTTGATTCAATCGTTGGCTCATCAGAAATTGGCACCTAAATGGTTGGATTATGTTGATAAACAAGGTCGTCCTTTGAGAGCATGGTTCCTTACTATCCTTTCATCTTTCTTTGCCTTTATTGCTACTTATGACAAAGAGGAAACTGTATTCACTTGGCTTTTATCAATTTCAGGAATTTCATTTGTTGTATGCTGGTTATTCATTTGTGTGTCACATCTTCGATTCAGAGCCGCCTTGAAACACAATGGTATTGCTTTGGATACATTAGCGTATGTGTCCCCAACGGGTATAATTGGCTCTTGGTGCTCCATAATTATCAATAGTTTAATCTTGATTGCTCAGTTTTGGACATCCTTGTTTCCCAAGGGAGAAGCGGATGCTAATAATTTTTTCCAAAATTATTTGGGTGCTCCTGTCATGTTGTTGTGTTTTATTGGACATAAATTGTATACTAGGAACTGGAGATTATGGAAACCAGTTGATGAGATTGACGTTGATAAGGATCGGGTGATTTATGATGCTGAAATTTTGGAGTTGCAGAATTTGGAAGATAAGGAGAGGTATAATAAGGCCCCATTTTGGAAAAAGATATTGATTGTGTGCTTTGACTAAAGTGAGAGGAAAAAGAGGAAGTGGAGCAGGAGCAGGAAGAGGGTTTCTTTTCCATTAAAGTTTACATGTTGCAGTAAAAGAAGAAAAAAAGAGCTATTCCTTTCACCACGCAAATGTATAAAGACATATATATATATATATATATGTGTGTGTGTGTGTGTATGAGTAAACACCTTAGAATGTACTAAAACCAAAAACTTTTACAATTACTTCAACCATTCTTTGACTTCATATGTAAAACACGTTTTGGTGGCAGGCTGTGAATTTCAAAAGAAAAAACAAAGTTGTAATGCCACGCTCAATCTTGAAGTGTGAGTCTATTGTTGTGTTGTCAGCAACTAGTTTTAATAGTGTCTGTATGTAAGTGTACGTGTTTGTTTTCTTACAATATACAAAAGAAATCATGGTGCAATTTTTACTTCCTTTAAAGTTTTGTAACTCTGCATTGGGTCTAACTAGTTTCAATTTAATCCAAAAGACAATAAAGAGTGGAGTGTGATTGTAATATTGTAGAAGTGTAGAAGTGTAGAAGTGTACACTGTGTCTGTCAGGATTGGAGATTATCTGAGGAGAAAGAAAAAGAGTATTTAAGATGATTTGGATTCTATTACCCAGACACAACTTATTGTTGGTTGGTCGTTGGTAATGATGAGTAAGACACTTAAGCTTTGATACAAACGTTTTCTTAATTAAGAAAAAAGAAATGTTTTTTGTTTCAACGTTTGTTTTTTGATTCAGAGTCATCTTTCATTTTAACTGTTGCGTCTTTTCATATGATTCTCATATGAATATTTGCTTTACTATTAGGAATATGTAATACCCTTGCTTATTCATATTCGAAGGAAAAGTCCACTTAGCGTATGATGTATACCCTAAAGGAAAATTTTAATCACTTGATGCTACATAGGTGGTGGATAGTTCAAATATTTTTGTTTTTTTATTTTCTTGAGCCTCCTTACCTCCCTCGCTCCAAATTGAGTTGTATTGTACTACCTTAAACAACATCGCAGCTACGAGATGAAACTTAAAACACAGGATCTATAGTTTAGTGTGCACGTTACGTTATGTGAGTTGACAACGCATATGTGTTCTTTATTTTGACACTGCTTGACAATGACAAATTGCACAAACGTATACTACACTAATTAAAGGTAACCACACAGACAGACAATCAGTAAATGAGCCTCAATGATGGTGAAAAAAAAATAAATGTCAAAAGAATCAAACGTATGTAACAAGAAAAGGGGGGAATTAAGGGCGACAGGAATATTGAATCTTGACGAAACGTATGAAGACAAAAATAGAAAAAAACGCAATTTTCGTATAAAGAAAGTAGTCCTAGTGTCTGCATGTTTCTGTGTTGGGAAGCTTATAGTTGACTTGGATGCTTCGCAAATAGCACCTATTTTCCTACTCAAACCTGGAAGATGAAATTTGTTTCCGGAAATCTTCTAATCTGTCTGGCTGCTTATCAAAAACTAAAGCACTGGTTATGAACTTTCTCAATATATATGGGTTCGCAAGAAATTTCATCATGCAAGTGAATAAAAATTTTACAACTTGATGTAGTAGAGCCATGCAAATTATTTCGTAATTAGTTTCGTTTTAATTGTTTGATTTATTTATTTAATTATAGTGTTGAAAGGTGTAGCTTGTTAAATGAGAGTTAATTTGCATTTCCTCTTTCGGAAGACTCTCAAGGAAAGGGCAAAAGCCAACAGAGAGTTTAAAAAAGGATTGGGAATTGGGGGAAGGGGGTGTTAAATCCACCAACAATAGAACAAACTAAAAATCAGACACTTGGAATGCCGATCTACCACTTCTTGTTCTTAAAAGCAGTAGTAATGTAGAGTCATAGATGTGTAGACAATTGTAGTCTGAAAAAGAGATTAAAATGTGAAATTGTAAAGGACTGACTGTTTATATGTCGTGATTTTGTTATTGTGTAACTTTACAAAAGTAGGAACTATATATTTTAGAATTTAGCCGAGGAACTAAGTACCTGAATTATTATTTTTACTATTAATTATACTTTATCTAATCTAAGGTAGACATACCTAGTACTAAAAGCAGCCTCTCTCTTTCGATATACTACAACTCTACATGTTCAAGATATACGAAGAAAGGATTGGAAAATAGAAAACGTTAATCCGATTACTTATGTGAGAAAAGTAAACTAATTTTACACAATCTTTCAATTAATTGTTGATCTGTTGAAAAAGCAATAGTCTAAAATATAAACCATCGTTTGTAAAGTAGAGATATAGTGAAAATCCATTTTTAGTAACAAAAAAACACAGAATAGGACATAGGCTACATACAATGAAAGAAATTAGACGATGCGTGCGTATGTACAATCTAATTGAATTACAGGGCTCTACTAATTACTTGGAACTAAAACAATGTTTCGGTTCAACTGGTATCAGACTCTGTAGGTTTTGGACTGAGGTTATTTGATGGGAAATAAGTGTCTGATTAGTGGAAAGGTGTGCATATAAGACAAAAATGTAAAGGGTATGTATATAAAGTCACATGCTAATTCCTAGTTACAAATTTTAATTTTAGTTACAGATACGGGAAGATGTATATTATTGTATCATTAAAACCACAAAAACAAAGTAACAAAAAAAAACATTTAGCGATGAGATCAAACCCAGTTGAAACTTTCCACTTCTTTTTCCGTTTTATTTCAATGAGGACAGTTCTAGTTGGTAGTTTGTTCGTTATTACTAGATATAGATATGTGCACTACGCATAAACACGTTAGTGTCTGGTTGTACTACTTTTTATTGTTGCTTTTTTCAGGGAATGCGAAAAGGGGAGGTCAAATATTTGGGTGTCTGTGTGGCGTTCATTCGTATCTGCTTCTCTATATTCCTTTCTTTCTTTTCATTTCTTTTCTTTTTTTTTTGAGATTTTTTTGTGGTTACTTGGCCATGTGAGCAAGTAAGTAAGCCCCTATCCCTAAATTTTGTCGAAAGCATTGCTATGACGGATGTGGTTACTCCCTATTGTTGACTGTAAACTCATCCAAGACTCTGTCTATGTGTGTGTATACCACCCAAAACAATAAAAACAGCCACACACCACTCGACAACCTCTTTCTCCATAAAGGTCTGCATATATTGTACCAAAAGTACAATGGACAACACACAGCCTATTATTGTTTGAGGTATGATATGGTGTAGGTAGCTTTACTTAAAAATAAAATTTGTGTTAACTGTTGCAACTGGTATTGTTGCTGGTGTTGTTGTACTGACGTGTGAGTAGAGTGTAATGTTGTTGTTTGCAATTGCACAAGTTTGAAAATCATTTTGTGTTCTCTTTGTTTACACACATCTCTTGATTACTTGCCAACCCTGAAATTATTTAATATCAATAAAACCACACACATACACATACACGCTACAGACACTACAAACACCTAGACCTACACACAATAAACGCACACAATAAACACATACCTGAACCTATAAAACACAGATATGTAACAATAACAATAACAACAACAACATGATGTTAATTGATGTATTCAAAATTAAGGTTTTGTTCAACAAAAAGCATAAATGACAATACATATTTACCAAATACAGGCGTCTTTGCCAATGGACTTAAGGGATCGGACACACAGAAACACAACACACACACACACAAGGCTACAACAATACAACACATACATACACTCTTCAGAAAGTAAGGGTTGTGCAAGTGGTTGTGTGTGTTTATTTAACAAAATACAAATCCCTTGATTTCACTCTTTTTTTGTCAAAATGACGGTTGCTAAGTGGATTGCATATATATATATATACTCAGTTGCATATCCTCAGATCTCAAAAAGAGAGTCAAGATCACATTCACACTATTGTTTTACCCTTTATTGTTGTTGTTGCTGTCTTAGTAGTCATGTCACAAATACAATTGACCACGGTTATTAACCAATTGCATGAGATTAGTGGCAAGTCATCTTACAAGTACATGCTCATTACTCAAGATGATTCCCATCCAAACACAGAATTGACTTTCCATTATTCACCTCACTTCAATGCTAGTCAAATTGAAGAATTGAAATTGTTATTGGGAAGATCGTCATTGACTACCATAAAGCCAACGTTGCTTGATCTGTTCCCCATTACTTTAACTAAGCGTCAGTCACCTAATGCGTTGTTAAACCAGTATCGTGATTTGTTCAACTCGTTATCGCAATACATATGTAAAGATATTGCCAAAGCTTGGATCAAGATACTTGAACCTAATAAACAAGCATTGTTCCCCTATCGTGACTATAATAAATCCAAACCTGATTGGTGGCCACCCAATGTAAACCACATCGAGCCTGATCATTTAGATAAAGTTGGTAGAGTTGAAGTGTTGATTAATGTGTTGAGACATCCGACATTTGATTTGAAAAAAGTTGAATTGAATCGCTATCAAGATAAACCAGTATTGTTGTCATTATTGAAGGAAATTTTGTATTTGGCATTATATGAACGCATGTTTTATAATTTGCTTCGTCAACAAGATGAATTATTTTATTTGATTCCGCAACACGAACAGAAATTGTTTGATTTGGATCAAATCCATATCATGACTAGTGATTTGAAACACAAAGTTAAAGCGAATGAAGTGGTGATGGCGAGCAAAATTACTACAAGCGAAATGAATTCGTATATCTATGGATTGAATGAAACTAATATCAAAGAGGATGAAAAAGTAGAAGGTGATGGTGGCAATGACAATGACGAAGATGATGATTATGGACAGAAAAAGACAATGTTGGTGAGATTGAGACATAGACGTGGTGGGAGAGTTGTTAAACCTGGCTATAAGAGAAAAGAGACCAGAGCCTCAATTAAGTTGCAGATTGCCAAGATTGAACAAGAGACAAAGAAGAGAAACATGAAGAATGGAGTTGAGGAACTGGTAGGTAATATGAGCAACAATGGTGTTGCTGAAGCACATGCAAATGTTGCTTCTGGTGCAGAAGCGGAAGGACTTAATGAAAAGACACAAGGCGTTGATCGTTTTGAGCAATATGTGGATGCTGAGGTGAAGGATGACGATACTTCAACTGTGGAGAGAGGAGCAAAGGATACCGATATGGAACATTCAAGGACTGACTTTACTCAACTGGTTGATGTATATAAGGAGGTAATTGTATCTAAGAATTCAAAGGTGGTTAAGCAACGTACAGCTGAAGATGGTGGAGATAAAGGACCAGATAGATTGTCTTCACAAGAAGAGGCTAAACTCGGATCTCCGTTCAACTACAACCCAGGTGGAGCCACCGCATATGGTATAGACTACTCCACTGATGAAGAATACGCCGAAAATGAAGAAGAAGCGATTGAAGGTGATTATTCGGTGAGACTGGTCAATCAACCCCATAATCATAATAGACCTATTGATGCAGTCAGTGCAAATAAGACTTATAGTATGTTGAAGACGCCAGAGACTGGTTCAAACAAGTGTGACATTAATGGAGGTTACACACAGGACAAGTCAAAAAACTATCAATATCTAATCACCCCTGCATCAAGCAGTGATCGAATTGCCAACTTGACTTCAACTCCAATGACAAGACTGAAGTACTCAAATGGAGTCACTAAGCAAGCGGAAACTGAAAAGGCACACATTCAGAAAAACAAAGTTAACAATGAGAGAGTTAAAGTTCAACAATATACCCCCAAAACCAACAATGTAGTCAACTACACAACTCCATATAATAACATCATTGGCCAAATCAATTGTCCACCGACACCGCATCCTAGTTTTACCTTGTCAACAGACCACATCAAGCAAGATTTTCTCGAGTTTCATCTGTTGCCAATGTTGCCCATGTTACCCATTATGAGTGATGAGTTTTGTAATATCAAAAGCAACGTGACGGGAGTCTTGGGACATATAGTATCTTCCGATCTCTCTGCTGGTGGTTATGGAAATGGGAATGGTGGGTTGGAATCAGATATGACTGATTATGTTTCTGATCATTCTAGTTATGGCGATGGTAGCTTAGCTGATAAGAGCGATGATACTGATTACGATATTATTGATCATGCAGTCATTGATCAATGCGATTTAACTAGTGATGATGGAGATGCAGAAGAGGTTAGTTTGGTCGACAATAATGTGAATGATATTGTTAATGATGGAGATTTTAGGTGTCCGGAGGTTGTTGGAGCTTGTCAGACAAGTGTAAGTGGGTTTTATGGCGGTGAAGTTGGTGCTTATTGTTTAAGTTCAAACTTGGGTTTATGAAGGTGAAGGAAGGTGAGAGAGAGAGAGAAAAAAGTTAACAAATTTGCATGTTGCTTTCTACTTGTTAGTCTTCTGAATCTACGTTGCTGGAGCTTTCTTTAATTACGACATTGGTTCATGGAGGATATTGTTGAGGAAGTTTTTCAAATTCATTTTTTTTTAGCATAGATTGCTGCATTCTTATTTTGCTTCTTGTTTTGAATTCAGATTGGTGTAGTGTTTTTTACTGATTGTTTAGTTGATCTGAATAAAAAGTTTAGTCTTTACTATTTGAGTATCTATCTGCTTTGACGTTGATGGCGGTGATGATAGCAATAAAATATCAAACAAAAATTGACAATTTTTTTTGTGTCATTTTTGCAGCCATGTATTTAAAGGAAATCCAAATACTCCAATTATGGAGCATTTCAATAAAAAGTCAGAAATTCAAAATTTACTAGCAGCTATTGCCTTCGTTTGCAAAGAAAAAGGAAAAGTTATCATTTATATTTCACTTCTTTCTTTTCTCTCTTTTTTTCTCATATGTCTTCAGTCCCTGAACTTCTATCATTCCTAATCTTGGCTTGCTTCTTATCAGTGCTAGATATTATCAAACGATTAATTTCACTCATGACTTTTACTAATCCCCTTGCTTCGAATCAACAAACTTTTGGTGGTGATGGGGTCTGTGAAAATAACCAATATCCAGTTGAAGGATCGTCGAAACAACATCAAAATCAGAAACAAAATGCTCAACCAGTTGTGCCAGAACAACAACAACCAGAAAGAGAAGGTGATGGTAAAGGACAAGTGGGTAGAGATTCAAGCGGTTTACCTAACTTGTTGACCCCACATCACTTGAAATCATATCCAATTGTTGCATCAAGTGAATCAGCAATCAAGTTGATTCCTTTAAGTGGATACATGACCAATGCCACCAAGTCTACATTTACATTTTTCCGCAAATTTCAACCCATCAAATACCTCGTTGAAACCAGTGACATTTATTCCGACTTGTTATTAACTAAATTGGACACCTGGGCCCCCAGTTTACAAACGGTTGAAGTACAAGATTTGACTAATCCTATAACTACCCCCGTGGTTGTTGCTGTCGATACAATGAATTACAAGTTTGCCGCCATTAATGAATCTGTCTCCAAGAATATTATTGATCCTGTGAATAAAACTATTGTTGAACCTACTAGAGATAAAATTTCGACGGTTTCACAAGAGTTGCATAACAAGACGCATGATGTTAATGGTAAGAATATTTTTATCAAGCCGGTTGATCCTGTTGTTGCGCCGTTTAATGAATCATTGGAGCAGTTTGTTGATAACCATTTTCCCAACCATAAGAAATTGACTCATGAAAAGGGAGTGAATGGTACTACTGGCGCAGACGATAAAGCAGGAGCAGCTGGTACAGGTGCTGGTGCTACTGGTGCTGCCACTAGTGAAATTGCGAGAACTTTCAAGATTGTCGGCTCAATCATGACTAAGGAGACTGGAACTACGTCGCAGGATGATGTCAAGGTTGAAAAAGAAGTTAAAAAGACATCGTGCTTTTTTAGATAAAGTAGATGCAGATGTAGTTCTGGGTGTACAGAAAGAGGCAGATGTGGGAGAAGGATTGGATTTTAACAACGACAACAACAATGACAATACCGACATCGATTATGATAACAACTACGAGGACAATGCTATCATTTTAGATAGTGGTGATTCTGGGGACCATGTAAGTCCTTGCACTTGTTGTGTTTTTTATTTGCTAGCTCATTTGAAAGATTAGGAACTGAAATAAATATTACTCTATTAAGCTCCCTGTAAGGTCACGACTAATATATTGCATCCATGACTGAGTGTCCTAATCTACATTAATGCGTCTGATTCAATTTCCTCTTTATTATAATATACAATGGATATGGGTTTGGGTCCTCCACTCTAATCCTTGGATTTCTTCTTCTTCTTCTTTGGTGTTTCTTCACCATCTTCAGCTTTTCTCTTCTTCTCTTTCTTGTCTTTCTTTTCCTTTTTCTCCTTCTTTTCTTTCTTGTCTTTCTTTTCCTTCTTTTCCTTCTTATCCTTCTTCTCCAGCTTATCTTCGACATCTTCAATTTCAACATCCCCTTCATCATCTCCAATATCAGCAACTCCATTCAAAGCTAATGCCGCCTTGATAGCATCGGAATTCTTCATTGGAGCTGACCCAGTATCGTAAAACTTCAAACGATCTTCAACTTGTTGCTTCAACACTTCACCAAATGCTGTTGTTGGCTCGTCGCTATAATTGTCGATTCTTGAAGCAATGGAACATTTGTTTGCCAAATACCTAGAAATTCTTCCCTTGTTCTTGGCACCAGCTTTACCAATAAATGATGAGTGATAAATCAATCCATATTTGGGGGTGTTTCCTTTCGTTTTCAATGCTCTAAACAATGCCTTTTCTGCACCCAAGATTTGCACGGTTGATGCTGCTTGTTTGGATAAATTGGTCAACGACCCCGCATGAGAAATTAATCTGGCTCCAACAACTTCACCAATCAAAGTGGACAAGTTAGGGGCTACGGTGTGCATCTTATCGGTCAAGTATTTAGACAATTGTTGTCTGTATTCGGTCAAGTTGACCACTCTTTGAGCAAAAGTAATCACATTATCCATATCTTGCTCACTGATATCTTGACCCATGGAGATCTTGGCATTATCAATGACACGTTGAGCAATTCCTGAATCTTCATTCAAGATGGCAGCAACATCATGCAAGTCATCTTCGGTTAAATTGGACTTGTCCTTAATGTAAAGCACTAATCTGGCAAATTGATAGTTGTCGGAAACAATTTTGGCCAATTCCGGAAAATGCCATCCGTACCATTCCTTAACTCTCATGGAAAATGTATTTATATCCTTGTCCAACTGATCCAATAACGCAATAGCTTGAATAATATGATTATCATTCTTTTGCACCGAAAACTTAACCTTAGCTCTAGAAAAGGCATGACCCAATCCTAATTGAGCTCTTTCTATATCGCCCTCTTGCAAATCTTTAAACAATTTAGCTCCAAATACTCTAATGCCTCTAAGGAAATCTTGAACAATTTCATTAGACAACACATCAACATTGGGGAAAATTTCCTTAATTGAAGGACCCAAGTTTTTATCCGATACACCCAAGTTGATTTTTTTGCTAGTCTTTGGTAAATTCAACTGCAAAACTTCCTTCAAGTAATCAGAAACTAACCCTTCCGAAATATCATTAGCGTTTTCCAAGGCTTGTGCTGCTCCTTTGAATGGAGCAAATGACACTAATTCAACCATTTTGGAAAATTTTGATAAATCATGGGCGGCTTCTTGCACTTCTTTCGACCTTGATGCAATGTCGTCTTGTTGTATGAGAACTTTGAAAATACCATATCCGGTAGCCTCCTCAAAAAGAAGGTAGTCTAATCCCGCCATGATATATGAAGATGCGTGTATAGGTTTGAATGTAAGGGGGGAGTGTGTATCTCTGCTCGTCTGCTTCGTGAAGTTTTTTTTTTCTCTTCCCTTTTTTCATTTTTTTTGGGCCGAGATGAGAAAAAAGGAAAAAAGATTTGCACGTGATTGTAATCGGTAGCGCTTCATATACTATACACACTCTAATCTAAGCAAAATTCAAATCCCAACCCAATTCATTCAACATCCCATGCCAATCAATAATCTTATCTCCATTGCAGTTCTCCTTCCAAATCTTTTGCATCACTTCTCTAGCTCTATTTGCATTAAACATTCCATAATGTTTGATAAATGAATTGACTCGTTGCAACATCAACTCTTGATCATGTTTAGAAACACAGTGAATTCCAGAAATGAAAAAGGGAAACACAAGTGAGGCTTGTACTGGAGTTCCAGTTAAAATATCCAAACATTTAATCAAATCGTTGTTAATCATTTGTGATTCCAAGTGTGATGGGTTGCACCGAAGTATTGATTGTCGAAGAAATAACTTGGCGCTGAGTTGAAAAGCTTCAAACAATGTCAACTGCAATTCCAAATCCGAATCTGTCAAGTTACAAATATCTCGCTTATCAGGTTTGGATTCATCAATTTGTCGTTCCAAGTCCTTTGCTTTTGAAATCATGATTGATAACAACTGGCTGGCTTTACTATGATCGCTAACATTGGAAAATTCATCATCCTCAACCACTACTGCTTCGACTGGTTTATTTTCGTCGCCAAGTCCATTCAAATACTCATTCAAGAATTCCCGACTTTGTTCAAAATGATTGTCGACTCCGCGTGAATAATATTCTCGCAACAACTTTTTACTTTCATAAAGCAAAGTTGAAATTTCACCAATAATGGTGAACAACTTCTTTGAAATACCCAATAGTGGATTAAGTTGACCACGAAGGAAAAATACATCATGATCTTCAAAAATCCGGTTGTATTCATGAGATGTGAAATAAGTTCCTCTTTCGCTAGTTGAACTGGCTAGTAAATCATGATAGGCAAAATTTGAAATCAACCAGTTCTCCTCCTTTGATTGGTTGAATCGCAAGATGCCCCCATTAGATGAAAGTAACCTCCATCCCCATCGCAAATAAACACTCCAATTTTTCACATCACCTTTACAAATGTTTGCTCCGACAAGAATCAACAATATTGCCAATTTATTGATTATGGAATTTCGATCGCTTTGAAAAGCACCGTATGGGAGAATGTCATTGTTTTTATGGAAATACAGCATAGCCTTGGAGACAAAATTAGCCGCATCCTCCTCCCATTTACCACCCAATTGGAATCCAGCCCAGGCTAATATACTATACAACACGCCCTTGTCCTTCTGGGCCAATGGCAAGAAAATCCTTTGATACGAATTGGACTCATTTTGAGATGTCGGTGCCACCGATACCTTATTCGAAATAACTTCGACATAATAATTGTAAAGGTATGACATTGAGGGATCAGCAAGCTCTGGGATGGATAGTAAGCTTGGTTGTGGGTTTGGTGTTGGATTAAGGTGGGCATTTAATGTTGATACTAAGTCGGGGAAAGAAGGACTGGAAGTGACCAAAGACCTTCCCACATGCTCGCTCGATCGTGCTTGGTCAAATGACTCAATCATAGCATAGATGTCAGGTGCCACTTCTGGTGAGCTTGCTGCAAGATGCTTCAACTCGTCAAACCTGGAATCATCAAGTTCCTCAATCTTGTGTTCTGATGCGGCGGTATGGTTCATCTCTCGTAGGAGATTTAAAAATGCCGAAGGAGACTCCATCGAGACATTATCAGCAGGATGCGGGTATTTGAATGACCCAAGAACATCTTCAAACGGATCTGTGTGGGGTGGTAATACTGGAGGGCTCGGCGTCGATGCTTGATGTAGGTTAAACTCGCTTTCCAAAGGTTTTGCATTGTTTAAGGTTTCTATATTCTGGAGTTCTATCTTTTCATTTGCTGTACTTCTCATGTTTGATATATATGCTGATGGACTTGGTAAGGAAAGTGCATGGGTATCTCGATCCACAATTGGGAGAATGGGATTGGAAGCAGTTGGTTCAAAATCTTCACTGACATGGTGAGCACCAGGCTCTCCCTTTGATGACAGTAATTCATCAGATCTTAAGCCAGAGATCGGGCTTGAAACATCCAATGACGCTTGTTTGTCACGACCATCAAGCTTTACGTTTGTGTTATTACTCTCCTTGCTTTCCTGCTTATTTTCCTTTTTCAGTGCAGTTTCCGATTTCTTCTTCTTTCTTCGCCTTAGCTTGTGATTACTCTCTTCAAGCTCAACTTTCCTTTTCAAGCTGCGTATTTCTTCTGTTGTCATTGTTGACTGGTCGACATAGTGGCATTTCTTATTCAACCGTTTACAATCAGAACAAACTGGCCTTATTTCGTCGCATTTCTTTTTTCGTATTTTGCAAGTCAAGCACCCAAGTCTCGATCTCCCATTCTCCTTGAACTTGTGAAAATCGGTCGGGCTTTTGATCAAAAGTGAACTTGTTTGTTTGGTCCCGTTTTGTGAATCAAGTAAACCCACCTGTGGAGAATCGGCACCTTTCAAAGCAACTTGAAAACTGCTTTGATGTTGACGTGCTTTCATTGTTGTGGTTTGCTTCTCATTTTTTATTTTTGTTGCAGACTCATTCTGCTGATGTCTCAGATTAGTTGATTTTGGTGTATTCAGTTCCGTGTTTTCCCCACTCGAATTCATCGTTTCGGTGCTGCGGTCATCATTTTGATTTAAATTGTTAGATGTAGCCCTTGAGCTAAAGGTAACTAGCATCGATTAGATAAAAAAATTGTGTTGGCTGTTGTAAAGCTGTTTCAACTGGATGTCTTAAACCTTCTGTTGGATTTAAATTTTCAATGGGGGAAGTTATATTGTTATTGTTATTTTTTTTTTTTGGTTTACTTTCCACAAACACTTTCCACAAAATACACTTACTTTTGAAAACCTGGTGGACTGAGTAATAATAATAATAATAATAATAATAATAATAATAATAATAATAATAATATATCGATGGTTTGGAAACGTGTTAAGAGCTTATTGGAAAAAGAATTATTCGTTAATGTCTTGTACTTTACGGGTCCTCTAAAAGAAAATCTGGTTAGATTTTTCTGTGGAGGTGTATTATGTAAGTTGTTGGTTAATTTCAATTTAGTACGTGAACTTACATATGAGAAGAAGAAATTTTATTAAAACACCCCCTCCTCTCTATTGAATGAAAGTCAGCTAACTAATTATACTTATAATATTTGCTATCCTTATATAAAGTCATGTCGTATTGTTTTAGAAGACTGATAGTGTTTTGTTAGTCAAGTTGACTGTAGATACCGATTTCCGATGTACCTGACCATCTAAAATCCCGGAGTATGAAAACTTCAATACTTCCTGATGAATAATCACCTCACAACAACCTAGCTTACATGGTCGTTCTAATTCAAAAGTTGTTGACCAAAAAATATTTTAATATCGTAAAACACCTCGTCGTCTTTGTCATTCCTTTCAGTGTACAATATCATCACTGATGCCTTAACTTATTCGTGACAGCATCGCTTGTAAGTTCTGCTCTATGTGTAAATTAACATTCTCAAAAAATTTTTAAAGATAATCGTGGTGGGAAACTATCAGTGGTGGAGGGTAGATAGTGTGTATTAAAGTTTAACAAAACATGGCTTTTGTTGCAATCCAATTCACAATTTAATTCTTTAATTGCTACATAAAAGACTCGCAACAAACTATCACCTCGTATATGACATCTATGAAGTTATTGAAATGGCCACAGAGCTGCGATAGCAAGTTCAAAAGTCAAATCAGGAAACTAAAGAGTTGACTGTGGGACATTGTAATAAGCCTACAGTGTTAAACGTCGGCAAGAATAATACAATTTACATCAGTGTTAGCTTTTAAACGAGATTGTGTCTTCAAACCAGACAACAACCTGCAATCAATATTTATGTATATTATATATATATATATATATGTCTATCTAATGAGGAATTTTTAATGTTAGCTTCCCTTGAGTCTTTCTACTTTCCAAATCCTCAGCAGCTTCTCTATAATTTTGTAAATCATAAATTTTTGAAATATTAAACTTCAATGTTCCATCCTTATACAAGTCCAATAATAAGTTAGAATAATGATCCCATTCTTTTGCATTACTTAAATAGACCATTGATGTTGGTCTAGCAATTTTGATATTTTTAGCTGATAATATCGATAATGCGAATGGTGTGACTGGACCTGAAGCATTACCAAAACTAATAAAAGTACCTTTTCTAGCCAATGAATTTAATGAAGTTGTGAATGTGTCTTTACCAATGGAATCATATACGACTTCAACACCTTTACCATTAGTGAACTGTTTAACTTTTTCTCCAATATTATCAGTTGATGAATTAATTAAATACTTGGCTCCTGCTTCTTTGGCCGTTTTCAATTTTGCATCGTTTGAGGCTATGGCAATCGCATTACCACCCTTTTGGTTAATCAATTGTACTAATAAATTTCCAACGCCACCAGCAGCTGCCCAAACTAAAACATCATCCCCCTTTTGAACCGGATAAGCTTCATTCACAAACGTCAATGCGGTTAACCCCTGCAATAAAATTGATCCAAATACTTGTAAGTCTTGATCTGTTGTCAGTTGAGAAGGCAATTTCAAATACTTAAAATTGTGATTAGAAATTTTTGTATATTGAGCAAAAGTTGAAGGTGATAAATAAGCAATTTTATCGCCGGGATTTAAATCCTTTACTTTGGATCCAGTCGCTACTACCTCTCCACTTGCTTCTCTACCAAAGACCATTGGTGGGTTTGAAGGGTATTCACCAGTTCTGAAATAAGCTTCAATATAATTAACTCCGGCATAATGATTCTTCACAATTATATCATCACCAGTTTCAACTTTAGGTGTGGGGTAGTTGTTATCTACCTTAATTTTATCGAATCCACCTATTTCATTGAATAAAACAACTTGTTGCGTATTTGGGATTGATTTCGTGGACAATTGACGTAATTGGAAACCATATCGTGGTGGTTGCTGCAACGTCTTCATCCTAGAAAGGTTGGTGTAAGACCTAACTTCATTGGTCACACTGTTCTTGTTGCGAAATGCACGTTTAACAATTTGAGATGAAATCATTGTACAGCTGCTTTGTCTGATGCTATGTCAAGCAATAAATGTGTGTCCGGTTATGCATGAATGTCAGGGAGGGAAAACTTTAGTGGTGTTATTTATATTTTTTGGCAACTACGATGACTAATGCAATACTGTACTCTTTTTTTTATTTACTATTGTTTGTTGAAGGTAGTTTTCGTTTACGGGGTGCAATCAAAATAAAAGAGGCTTTGATATCACTGTCCCATAAGGAAAACATTCCTCAGTTAATGGTACCACAATAAGGACCCACTTGACAATATGTATAGCATATGATTACAAATCAATATCCCCCTCCTTTGTTTGATATACTGGAGATAACTGAAACAGAAACAAATGTGAATGTTGGTTTTGACCTATGTACAGGAAAACGAGGCTTTGGAAGCAAATCGGACTTCACACAAAACACTTAATCTTCAAAAATGTACCCTACACGACATAAGGTAATGCTCAGTAGGGGGATAGCCAACAACGATCGCCCTGTAAAATGGAAGCACAATATTTGATCTTTTGAATATGTTGTATCTTGGTAGGCCAAACAACACTCTAACTTAATTTCTTTTTAAGTTGACTCGTAAAAGCCACTTTGTTTAATCGATAGTACACATTAACTTTTCGAACAGAGGCAAAAATTGATAACATTTAAATTGAAGAAGTAGGTTTTTTATCTGAAGTATAGTTTACTTTGTCTTGTCTTGTCTTGTTACTTTTACTTGTTTTTTTGTGTGTGGAAATAAATTTCCTGATTTTGCGTAGTTATTTTGCTGTTGAACCACTGCAAGTTGATTTTCTTTTAACAGATTATTGAAATTAAAGTTTTGGTTGGGTAGTTGGTAGTAATACTGTTTCTCAGTTGATTTTGATTTTGTTTTGGTCGTTTAGAGAAATAGATTTTGTGACCATGCATGCTATAATAATAAAACCATTAGCGCATGGAGTGTCAAAATCTAGTCCTTCCAGTGGCATAGTGTTGTGGCGTGATCGGGTATGTCTTATTTGTAATAAAAGCCTTCAATCTGGCCCTTCTGTTTTGATTAATAATTGTGGAGAAAGGTTATAATGAAAATTACAGTTTAAAATGATTTGAATACCATTTTATTTTGGTTACAAAAGTACATTACGCTTCTAAAACCTCACTAAGTCATAGGCTTATTAACCAGTAAGAATTAAAATCTAGAAGACAGATTTCGGTATTTAATCAAATGATTATTGATAATTGAAATGCCAAAAAACAGAGTTTCCACTTACAATGTTCATAACCCTTCTTGATTTGAATCAAATCATAGTGAAAGTCTTACTTATACACACTTTGAACTAAGCATTAATAACATATTTCTCCAACCCCTTAATTACCTTTCTATTTTGTCCTATTATGCTATCTATTAATTTCTCTATTCACATAAGTATTCATCAAAATCCCACTAGGTTGAATGAAAATCAATTTAGCTTAGACCACTTCCCTTCCCCTCCCCCCAATCAGACAATCAAAACATATTACACCGATATATTATCACAATGGCTCCCGTATTCACTAACTCACAAGGTAACCCAGTCCCCGAACCTTTTGCCACTCAAAGAATTGGTAAACACGGTCCTTTGTTGTTACAAGATGTCAACTTGATTGACAACTTGGCCCACTTTGACAGAGAGAGAATCCCAGAAAGAGTTGTCCACGCCAAAGGTTCCGGTGCTTACGGTATGTTTGAAGTTACTGATGATATTACTGATGTTTGTTCTGCTAAATTCTTGGATACTGTTGGTAAAAAGACCAAGATTTTTTCTAGATTCTCACAAGTTACTGGAGAACAAGGGTATTCTGATACTGTAACAGATGCACGAGGGTTCTCCACTAAATTATACACTGAAGAAGGTATCTTAGATTTGGTTTACAACAACACCCCCAATCTTTTTCATTAGAGACCCATCCAAGTTCCCACACTTTATCCACACCCAAAAGAGAAACCCAGAAACTCACTTGAAAGATGCCAACATGTTCTGGGACTACTTGACTTCAAATCCTGGATCAGTCCACCAAGTTTGCTTCTTGTTCAGTGACAGAGGTACTCCAGCTTCGTACAGAAACATGCACGGTTTCTCTGGTCACACTTACAAATGGGCCAACTCCAAGGGTGAATGGCACTGTATCCAAACCATGACTGAAGAACAAGCCAAGAAATCTCCATTCTCCGTCTTTGACTTGACCAAGGTCTGGCCGCACAAGGACTACCCATTGAGAAGATTTGGTAAATTCACCTTGAACGAAAACCCAAAGAACTACTTTGCTGAAGTTGAACAAGCTGCTTTCTCACCAGCCAACACTGTTCCATCAATGCAACCATCAGCTGATCCAGTCTTGCAATCAAGATTGTTCTCATACGCTGATACTCAAAGACACAGATTGGGTACCAACTATGTCCAAATCCCAGTCAACTCACCATTGCACGGTACTGTTTATGCTCCAAATGTTAGAGATGGTGCTATGACCGTTAACGGTAACCTTGGTGCCACTCCAAATTACTTGGCTTCAGACATTCCAGTTGAATTCAAACAAGCATCATTGCAAGAAGATCAAGAAGCCTGGGAAGGTGCTGCTACTCCATTCCACTGGAAAGCTACTCCATACGAATGGGAATAACCATCTCAATTTTGGAAAGTTTTGGCCAGATATCCAGGTCAACAAGAGCACTTGGCTCACAACATTGCTGTCCATGTTTCGGTTGCCAAGCATGACATTCAAGATAGGGTGTTTAAGTATTTTGGAGGAGTGAGCCCTGAATTGGAAGCTTTAATCAAAAAAGAAGTATTTCAATTAGATCCAAGAAAGTAGTTAGCCACGGTTTATAGTTTTTGGTATTATTTATTTTATATTTAGAGATTTTTTTGTAGAAGCTGTAGAATTTGTATGTTGTTTTTTGGTTAATATAGGAATTAGTCTATGAACAAGTTGCACCTCACGACAATTTAAATTTGTTGAATAAATATCGCAAACTCTGTACTAATGCCTTGACTTTCCAGTAGCTTATTTGCTATAAACACCGTACCTTTTGGAAATAAAAATTCACGAAAGAAGAAAGAGATACCATAAATAGATGTAGGTCCGTCTTGATAATAACAAAAAGTGAGCTGTTCTGATATTTTAGGCGAAATAGTACAACTACAAATTCAAACTATAATGAAACAAAAATTAAGAAAAAAAAAATTAAATCTCTATTGTTATCTTATCTTCCCTAAAGACCTAGACATAAGACCAAAGAGACCAACGATAGTTTATTCTAACAATTTCATAATCAAAAAACCAAGTTGCAAAAATGTGTGTTTTTGCCACACCTATTTGGTCTATAGGTAACAAAAACGTAAATTTGATCTTTCACAATCACACGACCTTTACTTTTTAATATAATGGAAGGTTCTAGCAGTAGTTAAAAGAGTAGTAGTTAGTTGTTTGTGCATTTTTGCACTACCTTCTTATAGTAAAGCTTTATATAACACGGTAATACTGCATATAGCTCTTGAATAGTAAAATTGTTTTAGTAACAACAAACAGCAAAGAGTCAAAAGAAAAAAGAAAATCTTTACATTTTCTTTTTGATTAAGACAACACACGTAGAAACTTTGGATACAATTTTTGGTATTTTTTTTTTTTTACTTTGATCACCCACATAGAATCTCAACAAACCTATTACAACTATATATTATTATAATGTCATTAAAACGTATTAACAAAGAGTTATCGGACTTAGGAAGGTATGTAATGGAGACTTTATACATTCCCCTTTTGGAAACATGAATCAGATCACATTTGCTGCTCCGTTTTGCATCAGTGTGATGTAATTTTTATTTTTCTTTTTTTATTCAACAAATCAGAGCTTGAATGATGGCGAATCACCAGAAAGTGAGAGTTTAGTTACCTAAAAGCCCCTCCATCTATGCGTTAGTGTTCGCAGTTGATGGATATGAGGAAATTATCAAATTTGTTCAACACGGTTATTCGATGGCGTCGAAATTTTATACCCGCAACCACAAGGTGTGTGACCTATAGAGTGACGACGCCTCTATTCTTTTTCTTTTGCTCAATACAGTGAGACTTGAGGATAGTAGCACACGAGAGCCAGATGTTAAAAGAACGACAACTGCAGATGCCATAGTTGAGCTCAATTTAGATTGCAGTTTCATGTTTCCACCTATTAGAGAATATATATACTAACTTGACTATTTCTCTAGAGATCCACCATCATCATGCTCAGCAGGCCCAGTAGGTGATGACTTATACCACTGGCAAGCATCTATAATGGGTCCACCAGACTCACCATACGCAGGAGGTGTATTCTTCTTGAGCATCCATTTCCCAACCGATTACCCATTCAAACCACCAAAGATTGCATTCACCACCAAGATATATCACCCGAACATCAACTCAAATGGTAACATCTGTTTAGATATCTTGAAAGATCAATGGTCACCAGCTTTAACCATTTCAAAAGTTTTATTATCCATCTGTTCCTTATTGACTGACGCTAATCCTGATGATCCTTTGGTTCCAGAAATTGCTCACATTTATAAACAAGATAGAAAAAAATACGAAGCTACAGCCAAAGAGTGGACTAAGAAGTATGCTGTTTAATCAAAAGGGTTTGGCTTTTGTCTCTGGCTTTGGCCACACCTGATGTTGAATGCTGTTGTTGTAATGTAGGTATATAGCTTCAATATACAGGATGTAGCTTTGTTAATGGTCGTTGTCATCTAGTGTAAGATGTAAGTAGAGTCGATGAGTTTTTCCAGCACCAGCTAGAGCAGGGTTATCACTGGAAGCTCTTGTTGGTGTTTGAATTTGGATTCAACTAGACAAGTCTCTAACGCTCAAATTAGAAGAGTGGTAGTCAGATTACTACTTACACTTTATTACGCAAGTGGGGTTGTTCCCCACGGTTATGCTGAACTCATTCTAGAAAGGACTTGATAGAACTTGACTTTTAATTTTGCAGCACTTTTTATTTTTCTTGAGTTTTTCAACTCTCGGTGGAAAAAAAAAACCCACATATAAACAAAGACCAAGTATAGGCATTTGAACCGATTGGATCACCAAACCACATTCCATCAATCGCTGGTCATCATATTATACCGGCAGATTTCCTACAATATCACTCGCCAACATCGTCAAGTGGAAAAAAATAGGGCGCGAAATACCGTAATACAGGACCCAACCGATATCAATCTGAACCTACCACAACGTTACCTTAAAAGTTTCTGATAAAGCTACAGCTTATGCAACTATAGAAGAGTCTTTCTACACGAGTACTACAGAAGGTCAATAAATATTGATAACAACATTTGCCTTGCACTATTTCACAAGATCATCGCCTATGATGGAGAAACTAACTTCATTTCAACATAATGATCCCCAGAGTTTATTCGAACTTGCCAAAAAGTTGAAACAGCGCCAATTTTTTGAAACTTTCCTCAATGAAACTCAGTTCAAGATTATTGATTATATTTTGCTGTTGGACGACGTTCAAGTGTGGGCCCAGTTTCTAGAGGGAAACTTGTGCTTGCAAAAGATGGATGACAAACGAGATCAGAAAAGAACATCAGTCAGCAGTGAAAAAATTGAAAAACCAGTACTAGATACCATAGACGATAACGAGGTAACAGAGGTTGATGCAGAGAAGAAAGAGGATCCGGAACAGACGCAAGAGGAAGCAGCAGAGAATAATGAGATAGTCGACAAGGAAAAGCAAATTGACGAGGTTGAGCAAAACTTGGAACTGTCATTCGAAGAAGGAGTTGTCTTTAGCAAAAAGCTTGCGCTACATGTAAGATATCTACTTTGGGAAAAAGCGATTGATTTTTACTATGAATCAAAAACCTTGGACAATAACCTAAGTTTAATTGAAGAAGTGACTGATGATTACGAACTAATTGACTCATTGAGTAAGTCTGGTAAGCAAGAGTACGAAGCAGAGGTAAAAGGGGCAATTGAAAAGCCTCAAGTGCGTGAAGAAGAAGAAGACTACGATTTTGATGAAGAAGATGAAGAAGATAAACAAGATGAGTCCAAACCGGTAGAAGAGAATAAGAACGAGGCAACACATCTTCTCTTCGACGAGTCGAATCAATTATTATTGGAAATCCCTGTCTCAATATTTGCGACAAAACGTTCGAATGAAGGCACCGGAAATAACGAGGCTCCTGAAAACCATACTACTGAGACAAACGTGGAAAGTAATAATGAAAATCTGGACAAAATTATCCAAGAATTCAACAAAGTTTACCACAACTTTGAATACGATCGAGAAACGTTGATCAAGAGGCGAAAATTGGAACAGTCCGATCTCCAGTTAGAGAAAACGAAACCTGAAAAGAACGACTCTGCAAAAAGTAGTAGCAAACTACAGGGGTCTCAGATGGATATTGTCTTGGGAACAGGCTCAACGTCGCTACAGCATTTGTTATCAACCATTGAAGCCAAGAGGGACAAAATCCCATTGAACGATCATGAACTTCGAGCCTTGTTTATGGATGTCCGTAAAAATAGAGGGAAATGGGCAAATGATGATCGCATTGGCCAAGAAGAATTATATGAAAGCTGTGAGAAAGTCATTACTGAGTTGCGTAATTACACCGAGCATTCAACATTTTTCCTTAACAAGGTTTCCAAAAGAGAAGCACCAAATTATGGCCTCATCATCAAAAAACCGATGGACTTGAATACGGTTATGAAAAAGTTGAAGAATTTGGCCTACAACTCAAAACAGGAATTTGTTGATGATTTAATGCTTATTTGGAGTAATTGCTTAACATATAATGCCGATCCGAAACATTTTATCAGGGCTCATGCAATTGCTATGCAGAAAAAGGCACTAAAGCTAATACCAACCATACCGGATATAACTATCAAGAATAAAGCTGATGTCGAAAAAGAAGAAGAAGTAGAAATGAAGAAAAGACTAAAGGAAGGAGGTAAAGAGGAAGATGACGAGGAGGACGAAGAGGACAAAGGGGCAAGAGGTGGAAAAAAATCGGCCAAACAAGGAAGGAAAAGAACTCGCCAGGATGATTTGAAAAATGATGCAACAGATACAGCAAGCCCCGCTCCAACGGAGACTGCAACACCTTTGGGAACTGGCACTCCAGTTCCACAGGCCAACCACGAAATGAATACAGAAGAGCAGGCAAAATCAAATGGAGCAGGCGTAAATGACGAAGAGGAGGATGATGATGAAGAAATAGCTGGAGCTGGAGGAGATGATGAAGAAGGATCTGGAATAAACAACGGCAATCTCGAGAACGACGAGGAGGAGTTTGATCCCGAATTGCAAGCTTGGAGGACTCTTACTGCCAAATCGCGTGCTAATTATTGTGCACAAAGAGCTGATTTATTCGATCTGGATTCTCATCTTCGGTCAGATGCACCGGCATTGATTCGAAAACCAAACGAAATGCTGAATTTCGATCATTACTTGTCGAACCAAGAGGTGATATCAAAGACAAACAACAATTTATTGGAAAATGATGAGCCTTATTTAGTTGAGTATGATGTAACTGGAGGTATTCCAGGATTCCAATTCGAAGGAGTAAGTGAAAAAGTTGAAGACATAGCCGAGAACAAATTGGTCGATGTATTTTTGCAGCAAACTGGAGGTGATGCTTCGAAAATGAAATCAAAGTTTGTTTTATCAGACGAGTCAGGATTGAACAAGTTGTACTTTGAAAACATTTCGGAGATCCAGGAGATTCGCAAGATTTGCTTCAAGATTTCGTTGATACGACAGATGCAAACACAGCAGTTTGTCCATCACACTCAGATGCAGCAACCTGAAATCGAAGCTATAAAGGAAGTCGATTGTGATGCGGCTTCGAAGTTACCCAATCATGATCCAAACACTCACGATGTACAGTATGCAGTGTTGAGGAGGAATATAGCCAAAATTGCTATGCAAACGGGGTTTGAGACTACTGAGGGGGCTGCCATTAGTACTTTGACTCAAATTGCTGAAATGTACATTGGTAATATTGCCAAATCGTTGAAGATGCACAGTGAGACCAATTCACGCAATCGATTAACACCGACAGAGATACTTTTGTTGTCATTGTTGGAGAATGGTGTGGACAAACCAGATGATCTATACACTTTTATTCAAGAAAAAATAATAAAACAACGCAAGAAATTGACCGAGTTACGACAAGGTCTTTCCAATTTTTTGAAAGATTTGTTGCGTCCTGGATTAGAGAATTTCAATGAAAAAAGCTTTGCTGACAATAGTGAACAGTTTATCACGGGAGACTTTTCCAACGATTTAGGTGATGACTTTTTTGGGTTTAAGGAACTAGGTTTGGATAGGGAGTACAATATGTTGACTTCATCAATACCGATTTATTTGTTGCACTCGCGGTTACATAACCAATTTAGTGGCAGTGGCGCTTCAACGAAACGCAACAAGTATGAAGATTTGCAAGAATATGAGCCTGCTAAACTATACGCCGTTGACGTTAATGAGCAGATTCGATTGCTTGTGCCATTTTACCAGAAGTTGACCGAACGTTCAAAGCAACAATATGTCAAAGCACAAAAGAAGAAAGGTGAGAGTCTTGATTTGCCTGATGATTCGCAGTTTATGTTGATAGAGGATGATGAGTTGCCTCAGAAGCAAAGAAATATTAGGCCAAAATTGCCTCCTACGGGTAAGATCACCACGATTAAAAAGAAGATCATCGCCAATTCATTCTTTTTGCCTGAAGATGATGAAATACAGGACGATACAGTAGAGAAGGAGGCTGAGGCAATTATCCCAGCGGAGTCGCCAAGAGCATCAGAAGCAAGCAAGAATGGAGCACCAACAATCAAGAAAGAGAAAGAAAAAGAGAAAAGCGTACAAGAAACCATGGACACCACGAAACCTACTGAAGCTGTTGTTAAGCAGGAAAAAGAGGAAGCTTCTATTGCTAACGACAACTCTAAAGAAAGAGAGAGTGAAAAGTCCGATGAAGTGTTGGACAAACTCGATAACGCAATCTCCGACAAGGCAACCACCGAAAAGAGTCCTGAGGTTCCAAACGAGGCATTAGATACTGCTGATTTGGAAACCCCGCAGTTGAAGGATACTTCAGCAGAGACCCTGGCTAAGTAAAATGGATAAATAGAGTACCTACTTTAGTATATACATATTTTATAGAAGAAAAATTTCAGTTCTTTTGTTGGTTTTTTTTTTTTTGCTTTGCGCGTTGTAAAACGTGGGTAATTCGCGGTCCCGATGAATTTGAAACTTTTACCCAACTAAAGATGCAAAGGTAGAGTCATTCTTTTTACCAACGCCACCTGCTCCAGACATTTACCTTTAGACCAGAAAAAGCATTTCTGTGATTTATACAAGTCAAATGTACTGATACGGGAAGAAACAAAAAGGAAAGATAAGCTACTACGTGAGAGATACACACCACCCCTCCCCCCCATTATGACAAGTTCCAATGTGCCAAACTTGAAGAAATTAACCAAAGATGAGTTGCTAACTCGTGATATTTTTGGAAGAACCGTGCTTCATATATCTATATTAATGAATGATTACGAGTGTTTGAATCAACTTACAAAAAACCCCGAGTTTAAATCGATACTACATATTTGCGATTACGAAAATGGGTGGAATTGTATGCACTATATCATTTTCTACAAGAGACTTCAATGTTTCATTGTTTTGATCCAATACTTGCAAACAAGTTTGGTCAATTTGTTTGCACCGAACGGAGCGCTTGTTGAATTACTCAAGTGCAAAGATCGGTGTGGATATACATGTATGCAATTGTTAGATCATGATCTTTCGAGCATGCGATCACTCCCGGAGTTTATAGATGTACGTGACACCTATAATTGGAGGAGCCAAGATGATCCGATACCAGGAACTAAGGAATTGTTTTTGAATACAAAGATTCCCAAGGATGAGGAGCATGACGTGCAAGAGTTGCAACTGCAAGATACAACGCGAGGCGGATCGGATATTTACGTGATAGGATGCAACAGCAATAGTCAGCTAGGTCTCGGGGATTCGAAAGATCGGTCACAACCTTTAAAGGTCTTTGATGATGCGTTCATCAATGAACAAAATGAATCTGAAATTCTTGCCGAAAGATTTTGTAAACCAAGATACAAGAAAATGGTTATATCGAAAAATCATGCTGCAGTATTAACTGCTGATGGAGATGTGTTTACATGTGGTGTAGGCTCTAGAGGAAGGTTGGGCCATGATTTTGATGATTTGACAAGCGCGTTCAAGTTTAGACGAGTTGAGTTTTTCCATAATGCCTTGTACACGGCGCAAGATGTTGCCATTTCGAGCAACCATTCGGCAGTTCTAACAAGTGATGGTGATGTGTATGCTTGGGGAATGAATGGATTCAATCAATTAGGTGTCAATACCCCATCTACAAGGACCATTAATAGCTATTTGGATGATTGGATCGCTACACCAGTGTTGGTTGCCGGAGAGTTGAGGAAAAATAAAACAAAGAAGCTTTTAGGGGTGGATGTATCAAAAATACATTCGGTCACATGGACCAAGAATGAATTGTACTTTTGGGGATTGAATACGGGTCAAATGGGCATTCAACGCATTCGTGATGACATTGAAGTCAGGTTGCATGACGAATCTGTCAAGGGAGAGATTCAGACGTCTCCGAGGAGCATAAACTTAAGAGATGACATTAAATGTGTCAGTACATCAGAGTTGTGTACATGTGTGGTTACTGTGCTAAATGATATCCATGTATACTACAATTTCCAACACTATAAATTGCCCAAGGTTCCGGTAAAAGGATTGGGTGATAAAAATTTTGATTTGTTCAAGCCTCGTCGTTTAACCGAAGGAACGGTAATTACAAAGATTGTTACTCGTGGACCCTATAGCTCGATGATATTGTTGTCCAATGGTTCAATAATGAGTTTTACTATCAACTCAACAGAGGTTAAGAATACCAAGTACAGCACTGTATGGAAGCCACAGCATGAGGATATGAAGGTGATCGATTTTGATATGGGCACCGATGGTTCCGTAGTATTATGCACAAAGGCTGGGTCGGTGTTTTTGAAGCTTAATCAATCTAGTCAAAGACGCAGCTCCATGAGTGGTGCTGTATTACCCATTCTGGTAAATAAACACAAATTTAAAAAAATTGAAAACGTCAACAGAATAGTGCTGGTGGCTTGTGACCCAAAATTTTTATCATTTGGATTCATACGAGATGAAAATTACTCATTGCCTATGGAGTTTTACGTTAATGATTTCATAGCAGATGTAAGACAGTTGTCGCCCATGTGTGACATGGACTTGTACAGAAAACAGGATCAGTTATTGGACGATGGAAGTAGCGTGGTATGCAGCGACAAGAGTGAAATTGATTGGATCTTAATGCAAACTGAACTGTTTTTGTTGCAAAAGTTTGGATCCCAGTCTTATGACAGCCAGAATCTGAATAAGCTTTATGATGCATATATCAGACTTGATAACGACCAAGGAGTGTTTTTCCACAAGGATTTCCTTTGCAGCGTTTCACCCAAGTTTAATGAGTTAATCAAGGACGATGGAAATCAGATTGTGGGAAAGAAGTTTAGTGCCACGTGGAATCCCCTCGACTCTTGTTTGGAAGTAACATCCAAAACGCAGCTCCTCACAGTTCTACTATTTGTACAAAGCGTTTACATGGGCTCCAAGGTAGACCTATGGTCTAACTATGGATCTAGGCTGAGAGCTCCCGAGAGGTTGAAATTAGTCTTTGATGAGTTTGACGAGCTATGCAGTTTATTCAATGTCAGTCTCGGTCCAAAACAACTTAGGCTCGGGTTTAGCAATATGCTAACAAGCTCAACTGGAACTATCAAATTTAAGTTAAAAGATGGGGAAATGTTTGCTCACGCGTACCTTCTCAGAGTGAGGTCCGCCTTCTTTGAAACAATTTTGTCCGAGAGATGGGGTGTATCCACCCCTGTCGCTCTTGATTTCACTGGATTGACCAGAGCTCAAATGGGAATCGTGTTGAGACATATCTATGGTGTCGAAGACAAGGATTTGTTGAATTGCTACAGTTTCAAGTTTGATGAATCAGAGGCATTCATAAATGAAGCGCTCGAAATGATTGAAATTGCCGACGAATTGCTATTGTTCCAGTTGAAGGCAGTTTTTGAGATTGCCGTTGCTGAGTTGATCTCTATACAAAATGTATTGTCGTTGACTGTGAATGCCGATTATATTTCAGCACGCAAGTTGTTTTTACAGTGTTGTTGGTTTATTCATCATAACCTTGAAGTGCTTCTTTATGATCCAATGTTTTTGAAGATTCCCATGGAGATTTTGGAAAAGATTCAAAATTGCTTCGACTTGGAATCCAGTGATGGGGACGAGTTTTCCAAGCTGATTCCAAACGGTATATCTGTTCTCGGCTTCGTTTCTGACTTGAACTTGCACAATGAGTACTATATGAGTGATCGCAAGGGATTTTCCTCGTTTGCACCATTGGTTGATCCACGGTTGGAGGCAAAGAAGCCGAAGGAGACAACAAAAAGAAGAAGGTCTAGAAAGAGCTCCACATTGAACACTGATATCGTTGACTTCAGGCGGAATTTAGTTGCCGAAGGCACCAGAGACTCACCAGCTGTGATTGAAGAGGAAATTAACAATGAGTTCATTGAAGTTGCTAAAAAGCCTAGGTCCAAGTCACAGACAAAGAATTCTATGTTATTGCAGAACGGTGATTTGTGTGCACCTTCGAGGAAGACAAGCGTGGGCTATGTTGGCAAATCAGATGCTATTCAGAGCAAATCAGTTGAAAGTGATACCCAAACTAAACATATTGCAGTGACTTCTCAAGAAATTTTGTCACCCCGTTTAACATGGGCGACTTCACCACCCTCCAAGGGATGCAAATTATCTGATAGGTCTACCTCACAATCACCTGAACCATTTGCATTAATGGGAAATATGGGCGATACTAAACAATTCAAACCTAAAATGGGTCCTCACGTCAAACTATCTCAAAAGGAAAGGAAAAAGTTAGCTGCAGCTGCCGCAGCTTCAGCTTCAGCCTCACTGGATGAACCCAAGCAGCCTACACCAAAGCACAAAGAAAGTGATGTAGCACCTTGGTCAGCTGTAGCAGCAGAGACGACGACACGGCGCGTTCCTTCTCCAAACTTCCCTGCTTTGGGTGCAAAGAGGGTGAAGTCTCCAAGTAGCGCTCCTACAGCCACGCCATCATCTAGATCTGCACACGATACCACCTCACCAATGGTCCATGCAAATTCATCGACATCGTCCCTTTCGAGCATATACTCTACTCCCTCGTTGGCTGAAGTCATGCGCGGTGAGTCATTGAAACAAGAACCTAGCATCGATGATAAATTGCCCAAGAAATCGTTAGCTGAAATTCAGAAGGAACAAGAGTTTGAGAAATGGTGGCAAGAGGAGTCAAGAAAAGTGCAGCAAGAGTTGGGTGTGTTGAAAATTGATGACCAGAAACTGAAAAGTAAAAAGAGGACCGAAAATGGATATCGGGGTTCTTTTCAAAAGAATCAAAATGGAACCAAAAAGGAACAGGCGAGATCCAATGGAACGACAGCATTGGGTCCAGGGAAGACTCAAAGGAAATTATCCAATGGTACATAGACACCAGCCGATGTAAATATTAATATCATGTATTTATTATTTATTCATAGATCAACTTCATCAGGAAACCAGCCGTACTCTTCCAAATCAACCAAATGTGCTGGTGAAACGGGAATATTTTCTTGCCGTAATCTGTCTGCTTGAACATACTGGCTCTCAGACTTCTCACGTGGAGAAATCTTGCCCGAACTCAGAAGTACTCGCCACCACGGAAGCAAGTTAATATCTAGGTATTCTTCTTCACTAGATTCAAATCCTTGGTTCAAGTCTTCAATTATAGCTGAACAATGCTTGAGGGAAGAGCCAACTTGTCTTGAATTGCCTGGCTTGTCTAATAGGCAGGCAATGTGTCCTGAAAATTTTGTTAGCATGTGTTTGAAGGGTGGTTATTTTCTTGAAATACTCACCATATGTAGTTACTTTTCCAGGTGGGATTTGATATACTATAGAATATACGCCATAATGGAACGCACGGCTTTCATCAGTTAGTTTGACCATAACTATGTTAGAGCAACACGATTTCTGGGGTTCCCTCATTATCGCACAAAAAATTTCAGATCCGGAAAAATAATTTGACTTAGTTACGAGAGCCTATAAAACTATTAAATTCGTTGTTCAATAACTCAACTTGTTCGTTAGATAATGACTTGTGTTTCACATAGGCTCCGTTGAATACATCATACGCCGATTTCAAGCACTTGTAGTATCTGACCAAAAACTCAAACTGTGCCCCTTCTCTCTCATTTTCTAGTTTTTCAAGTACTGGATCGAGCTCAATCTCATCAGGTAGATTGAAATTTGGTGTATATTTCTTATTATAATCCTGAATAAGCAGCAACACTAGGTCATAGAACAGGCGAATCTTGTCCTGAAACAATTCCAACTCCAGGCGTTTCCGCTTCTGCAATTCATCATCAAGCTTCATTTGAAATGTAGGCAGTACTGATAGCAAATATATCAAAGCATCCTTCCACAAGTGTTCAAAGTTTGATGAAATTACAAGATACCAATTAGGTTGATTACTCATTATATAATCAAAGTCCCATGTACGAGACACAACAATTGCAACGAGTTCATCTTGCACTCCAGCACACAAGTTAACAATTTGCTCTCTAGTTATTGCCAATCGACGGATTCCGCGAATGAAATTCTGTGTTGCAGGGGGTTGGTTAACTAATTCGACATCAGGCTCCGCTAGTCTCTGGATTCGGTTTTCCCCAGTGAAAAATAACACATAGATGTTGAACAACACAAGAGACAAGACCACGTACTTGATCCAATTCTCTTGGATGTGCTTATTGGGCTTTAAGCGTAGGATTAATAAAACAAATACAATATTGATTGCAAATACTAGCACACGTTTTCCTGTGGCTACTACCCGCTCTAAAATGTCGTCATTAGGTCTCTCGACTTGCTCCGCGGCATCTTCAAGATTCGTCAGATTGTCCAAGATCACTTTCACTTTCTGCAGTTTGAACACGGAGTCAACCTTGGCAATACCGGCAGGACTTAATAGCATATAAGGTTGATGTCCTTCGTTGTCGACTATGATACACTGCGAGGTATTAAGTGCAACTTTTTCGTTGTCATTCAACAATATTTCATAACTCTTTTGCGAAATGTCATACTGGTTTACAAGCTTAGTTATTCCTTGGCCATTACTAATTGACTCATATGAATCACCTGTTAATTGCCATACTTGGTCGTCACCAGCAACTATTTTCATCGGCTCCACCACTGCCATGTTTGGCACAATAGTCTCAGATGGGGCACTTTCAGCTTCTTGGTTAATTATCGGTAAAAAATCGAATCTATCTTCGGCTGTTAAATCCAGCCAAAACTCACGACTTAGAAGTCCATTTACTGCACTTTTGATTTCGAGATCCATTGGAATCACATTGTTCATCTCTCGAATACTTTCATTTGTAAGTTGGAGAGCCACCGGAAGCGCAGACTCGTCAGTCTCATGGTCATTTGGAAGAACCCTTTCTTGAAATGACAAAACGACTTGCTCGTAAAACGTCCTTGTTACTTGCCGATCGTCCAATCTCTGAATTATTGACTGCTTCAACTGCTTCACCGTAGTATTTGAGTGAATTTCAAATAGCGATCTTTCATTATGGAGATTTGGCTCAGTAGATCTCAATAATATGTGGATTCTAGATCGTGGTAGTTCGCTCATGATTGGTTGAGCAAGACGAGTCTCAAGCATATACGTGTAAGCTTTGAGTGAAAGTTTCGCGCGCAATTGAAATCTTTCCACCAGCAGTGAAAAGTAGAGCACGCCCCCTCTCCTCTTACATCATCTGATTTATCATTAGGTATATTTACAAGGGTATATACCTATTTGCTATGTACAATCACACCTTGATGGCATGATACCTCTTACCTCTAAATCCAAACACCTTACTGTTCAAATTGAATGTCTCAGTTGGATTCGAATCAACAATGTCCAATTTTGTGCAAGCAAAACGGTTGTCTGATTTCTGCATAAGCAAGTCCATCTCATCATTTAGTTCATGACGTTTCAACCAATCAATTTCCTTGTTTATGTCCTCATCATGGAAACCAGTAACATAAATCGGACATTTTGACTCCAACAAACCTTTCAACGATTTGTCCCAATGTATGTGGTCGGCAGTTTGGAAGCCAGGATGAAAGAGGAAAAAAACGTCCAAGTATGGATCAAATGGGAATAGATCGCCCATATCGTAAAGCTCGTTGAAGTATTGAGTGTGGTGGTGAATGGTTATCTGATCGTCAACTCTTTCAATCAATGGACGTCCATTTGGTGTGTTGACAGGAGCAAATGACCTTGTTTCCTTATCAAAATATGCTTCTGGCCCAATCAAGTGTATTTCAAATCTACTTTTAGGAAATAGGTATCCAAATTGTTTCCACACGTAGCCTGGTAGCATAGACTCCATTCGGGGACCCAAAATGAATATCCTCATTGGTCTATCTTTGAAATGAGTCACTCCATCAATTGCCTTTTGGTATGGTGGGTATAAACTATATCTCAATGCTCCTAGAGATTTAGCACCTTCCACAGTCACTGGCCCCTTTGGTTCAATCTGGTAAGGAGAAAATTTAAACAAAATTGATGCAATTGTCATTGGATAAGTAAGAACTTTAGTGGCTGCTGCTAAATTGAATTCATCATTCATTGGGGGGAAATCTCTAGTGTAAAAGAATGAATCCCAATCACTCATGTTAATCATGAAATCTCTCTCTTGTTCACCAGGAAATGCAAATTCTTCAAACTTTCTACCCGACCTCAAATCGTGCTCGTACAAGTTTACCTTTTTCAACAACTCATATTTCTTCTGGGCGTGGTATTCTGTGTCACTTTCCCACGCTTCTTTTGATGCATGTGTAGGTATTCCCGAGTACGGGCAAACGAAATTCACTGGTTTGTGAGTCACCGGACATTGTGCCTTTGCTCTTATAAGTGCTGCATGTGTACGAATATCCTCATATGGTGACTCGTCCCAATTGTACAACTTTCTTTCATCTTTTTCCTTATTAGGATCATCCATCGATAACATTTTCCAAAACAACGAAAATTGCCTCCTGTTGGTGACGTTGCTTCGTATAGATCGCCTGCACAAGTGGCTTATGGAGTACATCATTGCAGTGTGTGAAAAAAAATGTAGATGCTAAGTTTGAACTCAGACTTGCGGAACTTTTGGTTTATGGTATGATTTGAGACTCTTCTTATTACAGTTCTCAGTATTAAATTGGAAAGTTTTTTTTTTTTTTTTTCTCAAAGAGCAGCCGATGTTTTCTTTGTACAAGAGAAGATGGTAGCAGTATTCGTTGTACTCTATACACCTTACTTTAGTCGAAATCTCGCATAAAATACTCAAAGTTCCAGTTATTGTTTGGATTTTCAAAGTAGTTCAGGTTTAAATTAAAGCTTATAAGGTTATCCTCATCTACCGGGTTGATCTTGTGGAATTCAACTTCATGATTATCCAACTTTCCGTCTCGTGCCATCTTGAACAAGGCAAGGAAGTTGCCAAATAAATCGTACATCTCAATCCAATATATAAATGAGTCACTCCATTGAAGCGTTGTTACTAGGTTATCGGTAAGCATGATTGGGGAGGGAAATTTTCTCTCCAACGAATTAAGAAATAGCTTGCCAAATCTATTCAACAAATCTCCATCGCTAATGTCATTTGCATTTATCGCAATTACTCTGGTCCTCCAATATGGTTGATCACTTTTATACTCCTCTTTTAAAGTCCCAAGGTAAAACCCATCACCGATGGGGTGGATGTGGAACTGATTCAAGTCGGCTTTTTCGTTTCTGATTTTGGCAACCTGAGACAGTGAAACTGGCAGGCGGTAGTCAAAAAAAGTATCGTGCGATACACTTCCAATAGACGGTGCGTTTTCTTTGCCTACCCGTTTGCAGGTGATATCCATTATATTTTCATGGATTAAATTTTTTCTAAACGCTTCAAGCTGGCAAAGTCCTGGAACATTGACAATCATTTGGTATTGACATGTTTTGATTTCCTGTATTTCTATTATCCCTGGGCTACCGAAATCTTCATCACATTTGTACACAATGTCAATTGTTCTGGGCTGTAAGGTCAAATCGCAGATTTCGCCGTCACCCAATGTGTGTTTGATAAACTTTTGCGTATTGGTCGAAGAGTCAACCTCGTTATCTCCAAAAGAGCTAAACTCACCTTCAAAAATGATAAAGTCTTTAGGATCTAGCTTGACTCTTTGGTTGCCTTTCTGATTTTTAATTTCGGTTGTTTTGTAGGGTTTCATATTGGGGAATTTTCCAAGCACATAGACATGGTTTGGCAACTGCGCTTTGTGGTTTCCGCTTATGAAGTCAACAAGGTCTTCATGAAACTGCATTACCTTATCACCAAAGCAGTATCCCACTGTCCAATACCCAGCTTGTATATTGAATGTCATTGAACAGTTTCCATTGTCATATGTTTTCTGAATGATATCTATAGCAGTTTGTTTCAATTCAGATGTAGTAATCGTTTGTGCTGGTTTTGAGATGTTGACCTCTTTATCCGCAGGTAAGTGGCATATATAAGGAGCAACTTCCTTGTTTGACGACAAAGTCATTATTTCAAACAGACCTAATCTCAGATTTTGTTGTGCTAGCGAATATGCCACGTCAGCGGGTATTCGAGCATTATCGAATATTATGCGATTCTTTAAAACCTGGCTAGATTGTAGAAATGCCGACGACACATCAAGGAGACTAATTAGTAGTAGTAGTATGAAAAGCGAGTGCATTTGGATGATGTGGATGATGGTTGGTAAGAAGGAAAATTGTAGATCCTGTGGATCCACTTTTTATATTTGCGCTCTAAAAATATCAGCACCAGAACACACGTTAGGTCGAAAACAATATCTCATCCCATCAGGAATAAGTCCCACCAACTCTTAAGGTAAAGGCAAAAGGCGAGAAGGCAAACTCCACTTACGTGACTGACCCCCTATACACTTTAATAAAGTTCCAAGTTATTCATATAAATCAAATGTCAAGAAGTCCACTGGAAACACCTGCTCCCGAAGCAAACACATTACCTGGCCTTTCAACTCCCAACTTAAACAGCTCAGCCTCTAATGCTCCCAGAAATACTACGAACGCATCAACTACAGAGAAGAAGACGACTGCCTTTGATATAGCACATGATATAGAGCGTGAGCTAGCGAAAGCAACTGAGTTGTTGGATCAAAACGATAAAGAAATAAGTGCAAAGATAGACTCTACGTTGAAGAGGGTCTCAGCTTTGCAACTGAAGCACAATTGATGGTGATTTGCTTGGGGGATCAAGTTGGTGTATAGATTATGTATGTGTTTAACGTTTAGAAAAAAAGAATGCATTTCAATGTTCCCAAGTTAAAGTAATATATTCAATCTCATCCAATGCCTCCTAAACGGTCCAAGAACCAGCTTCGCCGCGAGAGACTCAAAAAGAGAAAGCTCGAAGAGCAGACAAGCAATACGTCTAAAAACGATCACGAAAATGATACGACTGAGGCAGTACACGAAACTAACCATGCTGGTCCTGGTGCGAAGGAGGATCACGAACATGCAACTCCCGACATCAAAATAGATGAAAACGACCCTCTTCTACAACAATATGAGACTGTTTTAAGGAAGTTTAATCATGAACCTACCAAAGAGGAGTCACAGATAGTTGAGGCGCCTAATAGTAATGACTACACCCACGAGGAAACTTCAGGCGATTCCGAAGATGAGAATGATGAAGAGCATGGACAAAGTTCGAAACTATCCAAACGGCAATCAAGGCTACGAAACAAGGTCCCGCTATCGTCTCTCAAAATGTCTACACACCTCCCGGAGCTAGTGGAACCCACTGACGCCGACGCCCAAGATCCCTACCTACTTGTATTCATCAAATCTCAACCAAATGTCATTCCCGTACCTTCACACTGGAGCTCAAAACGCGATTACCTTTCTTCCAAACGCGGAATTGAAAGACCGCCATTTCAGTTACCGAAGTTCATTCGAGATACCGGTATTGAAGAAATGCGACAGACTACTGGCGATGATCGTACCTTGAAGCAGCAACAACGAGAAAGAGTGCAAGTGAAATTGGGCCGGCTAGATATGGACTATGAGAAACTCTACCGTGCATTTTTTCACAATCAGTCCAAACCTAGACTATCTTCGTTTGGTGAGTTGTATGAAGAAGGTAAAGAACTAGTTGATGAAATGACCAATGAGGCAAAAAAATGTAAACCTGGTGTAGTGTCGAAAGAGTTGAGAGGAGCTTTAGGAATGAATGAAAATGACTTAAGCATCCCACCTGCTTGGATAACTATTATGAAAGATATCGGTAAACCGCCATCGTATCAGGATTTGATTATTCCGGGAATTGATGAGGACTATAATAATGGCGGGTATAGAGATAGACATGCCGATGGGGACGTGAATGTCGAGCATTGGGGAAGCATCAAGGCCCTAGTTGAATCAGAAAGTGAAGGGGAAGACGAGGAGGAGGAGGAGGAGGAGGAAAATGAGGGTGGGGAGAGTGGCGACGAAAGTGAATCTAGGAACAGTATACATCATAATGAAAACGGAATTGCTAATGACTCTGATAGTGAAAAAGAAGAACATGAAGTCGGCCAAGATCAGGAGAACAAGAGTTCTCTAAAGGACGTGTTAATCAACATGTTTGATGATAAAGCCCCACCAGAGGTTGATGACAGCAGGGCAACTGAAGATGCCACTGACAAGTTTCTATACCAAGTTCTTGGGGAAAAGAAATCAGATGGCCAGTCGTTGACTGGGCACGCCTATGACCTAGATAAGCTGAAACGCCACACTCCATAGAAAAGATTCAATATTTTAATCATATATATATATATATATATAACTTGATACTTTTGTCATTAATGTACACCAAAACGTTTAATGCTACAAAAACTATGCTAATGCGAAATGAATATTTGACTAAAGCCCCCAACTCTCTCTCTGCTCTCTCCGTCTCTGGTCTACTTAAAAGTTGATAGCTGGCTTTTCATCCTTTGTCTTGTCTATTTTAGCACCAAATGCAGCAACACATTTTGCCATTGTTGGTGAAGATCTTGATATCACATCAGTAAAGTAAAAGTTGGTTATTGGGTTCTTCAATGGTTTGCCAGAAATCTTGGCTGATTTGTTTTTATTCACCAAGTCAAGGAATCCGATTTGGGCAATTTCAGAAGATACTGGTTCAATAACATCGTGTCTTACTAAATGTGGAGCAATTTCACCCAATCTCATCCTTACGGAAACAATGTCATCATATGGTAACTTGGCACCCAAATATTCAGATAATGCCCTCAAAATCTTCCAATCTTCACGAGCAACACCTGGTGGGTTAGTGGCGGCTCTGGTAATTTGGGTTCTTCCTTCGGTATTTACATAAGTGGCCGATTTCTCGGTGTAGGCAGCACCCGGCAAGATGACATCAGCAAAAGAGGCACCAACGTCACCGTGATGGCCTTGGTAAACAACGAAAGCATCTTTTGGAATCTCACTGTTGGATACTTCATCAGCGCCCAATAAATAAATGAATTTTGGCTTGGCGGTCTGTTCAGACAAGGTGTTGAATCCAATATCCAAAGCAGCAGCTCTTGAAGCTTCACGATGCAACAAGTTGACACCGTTCCATTCTGGAGAGTTGAAGTTTTTGTGCTTTGATGCAAATTCACCAACAGTGTTGTAAATTGTTTGGGCATCTTGGGAATCAGCGACACCTGAACCAACAATGATCAATGGTCTTGAAGCTTTAGATAATTTTTCTCCAAATTCACCGTCGAGTACTTTCTTGAGATCGTTGGCGTTTTCTCCTAATCTGTTAACGTCGAACGTAGCGTCAAATTCTTGACCAACTGAGGCAATTTCCAAACCTGATCTCAACCACACTTTTCTTATCCTTGTGTTTAATGTAGCTGCTTCGAATCTTGGGTTTGTTCCTACCAAAAGAATTTGGTCGGCATCTTCTATACCATCAATGGTGGAGTTGAAGATATAGTTGGATCTGATGTCCAAACCGTGAGCGTCGACTGCTTGTGGTACATCTGTAGTGACATTTTCAGAACCCAACTTGTTAGCCAAGTCCTTCAATGCAACCAATGATTCAGCATCAACTAAAGCACCAGCAACAGCTTTCAATTCCCCATTTTGTGGCTTGATCTTGGTGTATGCAGCTGCAATTGTTGACAATGCTTCATCCCAAGTCGAAGTTTCAAACTTATCACCGTTTCTAATCAATGGAGTGGTTAAACGTTGAGTTTTCAAACCATCACAGGCAAATCTGGTTTTATCGGAAATCCACTCTTCATTAACATCGTCATTTAACCTAGGTAATACTCTCATGACTTCAATACCTCTGCAGTCAACTCTGACGTTTGAACCAACAGCATCCAAAACATCAATAGTTTCAGTTCTCTTCAACTCCCATGGCCTTGCTCTGAAAGCATATGGCTTTGAAGTTAAGGCACCAACAGGACACAAGTCAATGATGTTACCTGACATTTCCGAGTTGATGTTCCTTTCAATATAGGTTCCAATTTGCATATCATTTCCTCTACCAGCAACACCGAGTTCAGGGGCACCAGCAACATCATTCATGAAACGAACACATCTAGTACAGTGGATACATCTGTTCATTGAAGTTTTAACCAAAGGACCGATTGCTTTGTTTTCAACAGCTCTTTTACCAACCAACTCCTTGAATCTTCCACGATCAGATCCGTATCTTTGCGATTGTTCTTGCAAGTCACATTCACCACCTTGATCACAAATAGGACAATCTAAAGGATGATTCTCCAACAACATTTCGGTGACACCTTCTCTAGCCTTTTTAATTCTTTCTGAATCAGTGTGAACAACCATACCATTTTGTACAGGCACGGCACACGATGCAATTAATTTAGGCATTCTTTCCACATCAACCAAACACATACGGCAATTACCGGCAATAGCTAATTTGTCATGGTAACAATAACGAGGAACTTGAACTCCAGCTAATTGTGCTGCTTGAATAATCGATGATCCTGCTTCAATGGAAACTTTTCTACCATCGATAGTGACTTCAACATCTGCTAGTCTTCTTGCAGAAGCTGAGATGTGACGTTTTGATGACTTGAGTATTTGAGACCTTATTGAGAGCATAGTGGACTAATCTTTAATGTTCTATCGGGGTATGTAGTAAAGTGGAAATAGTCGTAAGTGGAGCTGTAAGCGTGTGAGTATCGGTGTGAGTATATGTGTGTGTTGTGGTATATTAAGTATATTGGGAGAAGGATTGTTGGTTCTATAAGTGAGGTGTGTGTATAATCCGTTCTTTTGCTTTCTCTGAAGATACAGTTTAAAAGTTTTCAAAAGTTCGTTTTTACAAAGTTGGGTTGGTTGGTTGGTTTTCAGTTAATTTTTTTTTCTCTTTCTCTTTCTCTTCTTCCTATTATTATTATTTGTTTCTTTGTTTCTTTGTTTTAGTGTGACTTATTTTACTATTTTACTATTTGTTTTTAATAATGAAAATTTACTCCACCATGATTCGTTGATTATTTTTGGCGCTACCTAGTAGAATAGATGTTTGTGACAATGAACAGAGCAGCGTAGAATACTATATGCTAGAAGCTATTATTATGCAATACAGACATACCTCTTGATCGAGGACATGGAGATGTAGAGCCCTAATACCAGATTGCATTTTCTACTTCACCAGGTTAACCCTAACTACCTATCTACCTACCTATCTACCTACCTTTGTTCATTACCACCACCTGCTAACATGAAAATAATCAATGGAGGTACAATATACATCCAATTCTTTTGAATCCATGATCTATCATCGACAGCGACTTCTACTTCTTCTTCAATTTCTCTTGTTACCTCAACTCCATTGGCATCAATCTCTTTAATTAGTTTTTTTTGTTTCACTTTTTCAACAACCGGCTCGTTACCAGCTTTCTTCTGTTGCTCATCTCTTTGTTTCTTCATTGAATCGGGGTTTAAGTTTGGCTGTGCGGCAATAACCTGCTTACGCTTCTTTACTTGTGGTTTGTCCAACCTATCGTCAAAAGACAAAGACAATCTCAGAATATCACCATCTTCGTCGAGAAATAAACTGAATACGGCGTGAGTCAAGTTTGATAGATTGCTTTGATAGCTAAAGCAATCATTGTTGTGTATATCCTTGGTGCCAATGCAATATGCTTGATCTGGTTGTAGACTGACATCCATTAGGTACACTGCGTCATTCTCGATGAATCCAATTGGATCGGCTGTCGTTTGATCAACTGGTCTTATGAATAGGTTGATTTTCTTTGATGACGCAATTGAGGTCAAAAGCGTTATAACAATAAATTGAAGTACTGACAACATAGACAATTTTGTTTTAAACCTCCCTTCAAATCTGAAACTTCATGTCCAAATCGTTTGGAGAGTTTTTGTTTTTGCGCGTTCACTAGATTTTTCATCAGTCGGAAATGATTCATCGACTATTGCTGAGAAGGTACTACAGCTCAACTCAACTAGTGGGAGATGTGGGCCAGTATTTGAAACAATGCAGGATAAATGAAGTTAATACCAACTCGACGGTCTTTCGAGGTACATTGTACGAGTTCCATGTCAAACACCTACTTGAAACAAAGTTGCAGGCAAAGAATATGGTTCGGTGCGGTGGAGCATATGATAACGGAATAGACATTATCGGCCAATGGGACCTTACACCGTTTTACAAAGAGTCTTTGAAGATTAACAGTATCGAGCAGAAAATTAGCAGCTCTTCTTTACTCAACTATACCGCAGGATCTTCTGCCAAACGACCCATTTCGTTACTGGATGATATACAACTAGTGGTTCAATGTAAGAATACGAAAAAGAGACTAGGTGCCGCCGAAGTACGACAGTTGTCAGGTACATTAGAATATCATAAGTTCAACAAGAAAAAGACGTTTATGTTGATGGTGAGTCCGCATCCACTTACAGCACAAGGTATCTCCCAATTGAATAAATCGACTTATCCAATGATAAATTTAGTTGTTTCACCATTGAAAAATAAAATTGATCACTATGATTATGCGAGTTGGGAAGGCGGGAATTTATCGTCGGTTTATTTCAATCTAGCAGCGACGAAGCGATTGAGTGGATTCAGAATGGATCATCAATTGTTACTGTTGACTAATTAACGTAAAATACAAAGAGGAGGGGGGAGGGGGGTATAAACTTTTATTCGAAAAAAAATACAAAGGGTAAAATAGCATTAATATTGAAGCATCTTTTTAAATTGCTGTAGTTGGTGGTCTGCCATAGATAGTTTGGAGATTATATCTTGTGGTTATGGCATTGTAAAAAGTGGCAACAGTAGTCATTGTAGTTGGGGCAAACACATAAGAAGTGAATAAATTTGAAGATGATGTAGTTGAGATAGGGGATGATGTCTGTGTTGCTATGGAAGATTCATAGTCGGTTGTGCTTTGGGTATCAGTTGAAGTTTCAGATGATGAATCCTGTTGGGTATTTATGCCAGACTGTGAAGATGCTGATGTGGTGGATACGTCTGCGTTGTGGATGGAGAGATCCAGTGAAGAAGAGCTTGATTGTGATTCAGTTTCAGCAGATGAGCTGGATGTGTCGACAGCAGTGGTGGATGAGCTAGTGGTCTCAGCAGCAATGGTGGATGTGCTGGATGTGCTATCAGAAGAACTAGAGGAACTTTTGCTGGTGGTACTGGTGGTACTAGTGGTGTCACTGGTATACGTTGTTGAAGTGGTGGTGATTGTCGTTGTTGTTGTTGTACTTGTACTATCCTGAGATGAGACTGCAGCTGCATGAAAATCATTACTAACCAACAGCTTCATATTCTCGACAAAATTTCCTTCCGAGTTGGTGTTATCCCAAGCTGCAGACACGTCCCACATTGAAATACCTCCGAAATATTGACTGGATAAAATATCACTTGTCAAATACTCTTCAATTGATTCTGGTGGATTATAGCCTGACCCAGCAGCTCTAATGGATCCTGGAACACCAACAAACAACTTGACATTTGGGTTTGGACTGACATTTTCAGCATAATCTAACCAAGTACCCCAGTTGAACCAGCTTGTTCCTAAGTTACAATAGTTGTTGTAAAATTGGATAAACACGAAATCGATATCAGACTCTTGCAACAAATTTCCCACAGATGCATCAGGATATGGACATTGTGGAGCAGCTCCAAGGTAATACAGTTTAGAAGAATCGGTGGCAAAAATTTTCTTCAACTCATTAGCCATGGCGGCATAACCAGTATTGATGTGATTTTCAATATCAAAATCAAACCCATCTAAAATAGCATTACCAAATGGTCTTTCTGAAGCTGATAAAGTATCTGAATTACCAAATAAGTCCCAGGCGGTGTGAGCAAACTCTTTTGCCTGATCATCAGAAGTGAAGCCATAAGATCCCGATGCACCACCTAATGAAAGCAAAACGATTTTACCTTTAGCTTGACAAGATTGAATATCAGCAGCAATATTATCACATTTCAATATACCACTTGAAGTAAAAGTACCTTCACACGCATTGGCGAAATTCAATTGAACGGGGTTGGGAAATACGTGCATAAATGATAAAATCACAATATCAACAGCGTCGGAATCACAATAGTATGATAATCGTTGTTGACTACCACCCGAATTTTGACCCCAGTAAACGGCAACATTGGAGTTACTAGTTGGGTCGAATGCAAACACGGCAGTTGCAATAATGGAAATGAAGTAGAGCAAACTCAACATTGGGCTATGAATTGTGAAGTCGAGTTAATCTATGTAAAGGGTGTGTGTGTATGTGTATCTTTTTTTAAATGAAGGAATGAATCTTACCACCTATGTTTTTTTGAACTAGAAAGGGGTGAGTGGGTAAAGCAAATCAAAGCTGATGATGGGGGTATACTAGCAGGTAGTTTCTTTAACGGGTGTGGATTAAGTTACGTTGGTCTTGATGGTTCAAAAAAGAGGAAAAAGAGAAGAGGAGGAACTGCTATTGTCATTTGGAACATTTGCAACAGTATTTAAATGAAAAATTAAAATTTGGAAACTTTGTTTCTTGGAAATCTGTTCCATGGGTAACTCAAAAATGAGAAATAGCACCACCATTTAGTGGGTGGGTGGGTTGGAAGTAGTTTTACAAAATCTCAATTACGTTACATAAATTACTTGCCCCATTTCTGTGTCATATAAATCCACTTCGTTAATTCTTATTCTTTCGCAGCAAAAATATATTTTTCTCGGTTTCCTTAGTTGCCATTTTATCCAAATATGGAACAATTAAAGACCAAAACGGTCAAAAGTTGTATTTCAATGTTTACGAATTATCTTCTTCTTCTTCGTAATATTTGTAAAATACAATAACAAACATGGGTGTAATTATTCTTTCGCTTGTATGGTTATTTGCTTTTTGTAGCCTTTGTGCAAACACATGCATGATGTCAAAAAGTGCGTAGTAAATGGCTGGTGCATTGTCATTGATTGGGAACAACAAAAAAAATAATAGTTGCACGAGTTGAATTATTGGTATAAGGTAGCGCAGGAATGGCTGATTAAACATTTTTGAAGAGTCGGCAATTGTATTACAGATGACTGGTAAAAGCTCATTCTTCAGACATGGACATAGGCCCAATCTACTTGGTTAGATAGCCCTTGCACTTGGTTGTCAGCTCCTTCATGCATTTCAGAAAAAGCTGGGCCTTTGATACACTTTGGTGTAACTTTGCTTTACTACAGTTCCCAAACAACTCCGGAGTGCACCCACGTTATGTCACATATACGAGGCGGGCTTCAACTGTTTTGGAATGCTAGCCACTCACTTACCTTGTCTACAAAAGCAGATTAAAAATTGAGAATAATTTTTCGCAACCAAGTAATTTTTATTTTTCGTTCTGAATTGAGACAAATTTTAACCCGTTTTGAATAATCAACCAGCACTGTATTATTAAAAATGCTTTTCGAGCACCACTTTTGTGAACAGATGCATTGTGCATGCAATATGGTTGTTTGACCACCGAGCGAATAAGCAGAGGTTACGAGGGTGTTTTGTGATGTCAATTACGAATGGCATTGGTTGAATTTACGGGCGTTATTTGCTCTTCTTCGATGCGTTTATACAATGGTGGTTATAATGGTCTTTTTGTTTCAATGCTTTGTTTGGTCTCGTAAGTGTACGTGCTGTCTTTGTTGGTTTGGCCATTGTTGGTTACTATTTGACAGCTCATCTAATAAAGCACAATCTTATTATCATGATGTGGAATGTCAGATGTGGCGACTTCGAAACTTTGCTGACTGCTATAACCACAAAATCTGGACACCAGAGATTTCCAAAAGACACTGATATGAAAATTTTCGGGATAGTCTTGTGTTTGCACTATGGCTAGCTTTTGCTACCTCTCGTCCATTAATATAGCCATGTCTGCCGTAGTACCATTGACAACTTTTAGGTTGAATTACGCTGTCGCGAAGATTTGTTTCACAAAATAATAGATCTCTATGGAATTGACTTCAACGTGGAATTAGAACCGTTTAGAAGACAGCACTTTTATGAAACAGCATATGCTATTTTTTTGGAAAGTGACATGCTTTTGCCAACCCTCAAACTAAGCAAAAAACATTTATAGAGAGACATGCCATCGATACACATGGCTTACAAGAAAAAATCCTTGATTATTGTTGTTGCGTTAACGATGTCGAAGAGAAAAGTATCTGAATACGAAGCTTTAATGCGTTTCTAGAATCAAGCTAACCCTAGCTCCAGCTTGACAGCAAGTTTTTTTCCCAGTTTCTTCAGGTACTAGCCAAATGGTATCTAAACACTGTACAACAATAAGCAGGGATTACAATAATGGAAAAAAAAAGGGGGATAAATATCGGAATCGGAAACTACGCGTTATTCCGTTAGTTTTCGGCGACCAGGAAATAATAGGAGTTACGTAAAAAGAAAAAGAAAAATATGAATACGAGGCAAAAACTCATTTGGGCAAAATTGTAAATAAATTCCGCCGAAACTAATAAAATTTCACCTAAATCCGTTCAACAAGGGGCTTTAAGATGATAAATACAGTCTTTCTTAATCACGATGTAATGGTAAAGTAAAGAGACACGGTGTGTGTTCTTTCTTCTGATGACAACGTTTCTCTCTCATCCAGGGAAGCTTGACCATGCCGTCTGAAATAACACTGTCGTTGCTATTATTTTCTGCATCCACTTTATTCTTCTATGTCTGGTTTTGAAATATCGCTGAGGTGGCTTCGTCCTATTTCCTTACTTTTATTATATTTTAGTTTTGTTGAGTTTTGTTGAGTTCGTGTTTTCTATTGTACTCAATGCACCCAAGCCGCAATAGCGTTGTAATTTCGGCGGATTTTCAGCGAGTCAAATTACACAAAACATTGAAAGTGGGGATATAATTTTCTTTGTTTTCGACAAAGTCAAGCAAAGCAACTACGTGGAAATTGACGAAAGGACACATCCTTTTTCATTTTCTGGACTCAAGTTTGGTATTTGAAGGCTTGTTTGTTTTGGGTTGATTTGGGAAAGAGACAATAGTCACCGTATCTCGTGAAAAGGTATAAGAGTACTGCTTCGAAAAAGTAACTGTACTAATAAAATTAATCTTGCGAAACAATGTAAAACTAATAATAGGAGATTGTAAATAAAAAATTATCGAGCTGTGTAAATAGCAAACTTTTTGTGCGTTGTATGAGGGTGTGTTTACCCAATTTTCTTGTGATTTTCTAAACTAATTTCGGCGAAAAGTCGTTCAATGAAAATTCCATACTTTTGAAAAATAAAGTGTATAAATACTCGTCGAATTGTCCCAAATAGTTGAAAACCCTTGTACCACTCTTTTCTTTTCTTTTCTTTTCCTTTCCTTTCCTTTCCTCTTTCTTACTTTTTTATTTCCTTTCCATACTCCAAAACCAAACACATATATTCAAAATGTCTTCAATTGATTTCAAATCTACTAAATCCGTCACCAAAGACGATCATCTTTACACCAAGTTCACCTATGAGAACTCATTGGTTGAAAAGGATCCTCAGGGTAAATTCCACGTTACTCCAACCTCGGTCGACTACGACTTCAAGTTGGACTTGAAAGTCCCCAAAGTTGGGTTGTTATTAGTTGGATTGGGTGGTAACAACGGTACTACATTGATGGCATCGATCTTGGCCAACAAGCACAATATTTCTTTTGAAAACAAGGAAGGTGTTGTTAAGCCAAACTACTATGGATCTGTCACTCAAAGTTCAACCATTAAGATTGGTGTTGATGCTGAAGGAAATGATGTTTATGCTCCATTCAACTCCATTGTCCCCTTTGTTAATCCTAATGATTTGGTTGTTGATGGATGGGACATTTCTGGACTTGAGTTGGATCAAGCTATGAAGAGAGCCAAGGTGTTGGATGTCACTTTGCAAAAACAATTGGTGCCTCATTTACAAGGTAAGAAACCCATGGAATCGATTTATTATCCAGATTTTATTGCTGCTAATCAAGGTGACAGAGCTGATAATGTGTTCAACAAGGCTGATGGAGAAATCAAGACTGATAACAAGTGGAAAGATGTTGAAAAGATTAGACTGGATATTAGAGATTTCAAACAAAAGAATGGTTTGGATAAAGTTATTGTATTGTGGACTGCCAATACTGAAAGGTATGCCGATGTATTGCCTAAAGTCAATGACACTGCTGATAACTTGATTGCTTCGATCAAATCTAATCATGAAGAAATTGCTCCATCAACCATCTTTGCTGTCGCTTCCATCTTGGAAAACGTGCCATATATCAATGGATCTCCACAAAATACTTTTGTTCCTGGTGTTATCGAGTTGGCTGAAAAGCACCATTCATTTATTGGTGGTGACGATTTCAAATCAGGTCAAACCAAGATCAAATCTGTCCTTGCCCAATTCTTGGTTGATGCTGGTATCAAACCAATTTCAATTGCCTCGTATAACCATTTGGGTAACAATGATGGTTACAACTTGTCGGCTCCTAAGCAATTTAGATCAAAGGAAATTTCAAAACAATCAGTAGTTGATGATATGATTGAAAGTAATGAAATCTTGTACAATAAAGAATCTGGAGATAAAGTTGACCATTGTATTGTTATCAAATACTTGCCAGCTGTTGGTGACTCGAAGGTGGCTATGGACGAGTACTATTCTGAATTGATGCTTGGTGGACACAACAAGATTTCCATCCACAATGTATGTGAAGACTCATTATTGGCCACACCTTTGATTATTGATTTGGTTGTGGTTACTGAGTTTTTAGAAAGAGTTCAATACAAGAAGCTGCAAGAGTCTGATGACAATTACCATGATTTCTATGCTGTTTTGACATTGTTGAGTTATTGGTTGAAGGCTCCATTATCGAGACCTGGATTCAAGACTATCAATGGGTTGAACAAGCAAAGACAAGCATTGGAGAATTTGTTGAGGTTGTTGGTTGGATTGCCAATTAACAATGAATTGAGATTTGAAGAGAGATTGGTTTAGAGAGTGGGAAAGAGAAATGGTTGTGTATAAGTATAGGAGAAAGTCATAGAGCACAACACGACAAGGAGAGGGGTGGGGGAGGAAGAGAGGTCGTTTAAATAATAATAGTAATTCTTTTTTTGAAGCAATATTGTAGAAGAAAAGAAGCCGTGGGCTGAGGATGATTTCATTTTCACGTCTACAACATTGTAAACAAGCGTGGTCATGTTGCAAAAAAAGTTTTATTAATTGGTGGTTTAGTAAACAGGATTGTATTTGTACCCTTTTCAAGGAGTAATAATGGTGATTGAGCTACATGCGAGTCTCCATATGGGTGTTTTACCGAGGTTTCAAGAGTATGTAAAAATTACAAGGCTTACAACCTACAGGGATATTCTTTTGACATCGAAGAAGGAGAATGGAAATGAATTCTTTTGTTTTTGTATTTTTTCCCTTTGAATATAGATATTTGACCAAACATATCTAGTCTGATTGGATGCTGTTGAATAATAATGTCGAAAGAATCTGTTTAACAATCTCTTTTTTTGTTTCGACGAATCAATTATTAAATCAGATTAGTTTATGGGAGGGAAGGAAACAGTTTTACAATGACTCTGTTTTCTTTTTAATTGCAATTTTCTTTCCAAATAGACCATGTCTTATATAATATACAGATTTTGGGCATGATTTCCAACTCGGTTTTGGAAAAAGCCGGGTTTTTAGTTAAAAGATGCGCTTTCTGTTCTAAGCAAAAGGTAAAAGCCGCATACAGTATAGAGTTAACGAATAAATAAATAAATTAATTAATAAGTTGATTTGCATATGATTATATATATATATATATATATATATACATCCTGTATATAGCATTACCCAACAAAAACATTTTTTTAAGGTGTCTCAAACGGTAGTTTTGTTTATATACAGTACAGTCTTGGTAGTAAGAGAGTAAATAAATTACACAAACAGAAGAATTACGCGAGAAAATTAAAAATTAAGCAGAGGGAAGTAAATGCAGTAAAATGAATTCTACTTTTACACCCCCTGCCCCTCACACACACTTTCTCTCTCTCCCTCGCTCGCTCTGTATATCCTGCCCCTCCTCCTTCATTTCTTTGTGTATTGTTGAAGGAGTGACGTTGTTTTAAATTGGGACTGTGAATTTGGGGAATTGCATAGTATTTGGCTACCAGTTGATTTTGATATCTTCTCACCAAATTTTGTTTCTTGTTTCTATAAAAAAACGTTTCACTTCGATTAAACTCAACTACAGATCAAGCTTTTCTTTGTAGATAGAAATGGAAAAGACTAGATATTCAGTTTATCCTTTTATCCCTTGATCCTCTTACCCTCTATCCGTTCCAAGAAGAGTAAAGGATTTTGCTGATGTTTAAGTATAATGAAAGATAAAGGAAAAGGAAAGAAAAAATATATGTTTTTGAATAAACCAGTTCAAGTACTTTGATAAGAATAAGAAAAAGAGGATAATAAATAAAAGTTAGGTCATTCATTTTGAGATTGTACTTACTTGCTAAATGGAATTTGACTTAGATAGGCTCAGTCGAAGGAAGGAAATAAGACGATGGTGATGATGACGAAGAAGAACGAGGATAAGTTGGTATCAAATATAAAGTGTAAAAGAGTAGTTTGGTTCTGTTAAAGAAGTATGCCGAGGAAGATATAAAGCTGTTGTTAGGTCTATATTGTTAATTTTATATATATATATCTATATATGCATATATAGTATCTCTGTGTTGTAGATGTTATTGTTCTTTATTTATACCGTGGTTAATTCAATCTCTCTATCAACCAATCTCTCTATCAATTAATCAATCAATCTATTCATCCTCCATCTATCAACTCATTACAATAACAATACAATAAATGTATATTGTGGTTTTGTGAATTGGCTTTTGTTGTATATTTTTTGTTGAGAAAAAAAATTAAAACTGAATTACACAAACCTCAGAGTATAAAAATCATTTTATTTTCGATCAATTTTCTTTAAATCTGACATGTATTTACTATGTGCTACTACTACTACTACTACTACTACTACTACTACTACCACTTTACTGCTGTTATCAACAGCATAGACTAAATAAACCATAGAGAACTAAAGATAGCAAACACTAAACTCAAGATGTATCAAACAACAGTTTACACACATGATGTAAAATGATTAGAATGGATAAAAAAACATGAGAGGATAAATAGAGTTATTTAGAGTAGGATTACTGCACACGCCTGTGTATACTCAATTGAGTAATATTTGAAATATATACCCTACTATACATATACATCTTATTCTTATTATATATAGCCCTGTATAATGTACCTTGGATTAAAGTCAAAAGACAAAGGGAAAGAGATACATCCAGCACACCAAAATATCCAAAATATCCAAAATATCCAAAATAAAGTACAAAAGGTACTAAAGATACTTAAAACAAGGATAAGAACCACTTTCCTTAAACCGAACACGTACTACAGAGACATACTATACTCATGCCACACATACATATTCTCTCAACTTCTAGTCCCATAGATCTCTCTTAATCTATATCATATATATCTTTTTAACACTTTTATGCTTCTGCCCCTCATTTCCCCATCTTTCTACCCCCTGCTTCTCCTCATCTTTAATTCTTCCATCCTTTTTGCAATATGTGTGTGTAAGTGTCTATTACTTTTTTGTCCCCACTTTTTGCCACTTTTTTTTTTATTTTTTATTTTTATTTTTATTTAAGTCACACGCATTAGATATACATATAACATATAGCATATAACATATTGGCAGTATATAAATATTCATATGAATCCTCCCTTCTTATTCACAATCAATTACTATCACACACAACTTCAAAGTATCATCTTCCTTTTCTTTTTATAAAGCAGCAACAACACTCCAATATACTCAACAGTATTCATTTACATTTTGAATACAACTACAACTACAACTACAACTACAACTACTACATTACACATTACACATTACACATTACACATTACACATTACTACAAATATTGTTTTGTAATTTTTTTACTGCATTGTTAAATAATTTTACACGTAACATTTCCTTTTCATATTGCCATTTAGATACAAGTGGAAATAGCAACAACTACAAAAGTATACATCTTTCCTATACAAGAGGTACCTATAGTTTGTCAGATTCACATTCACATTCAGATTCACCTTCATTGAAGTGAAGTTATAATCACTAGAAAAAGAAACGTCTTAAACACCACACCATTCTTTCATTCCTTTCCCTCCCCCAACAAATTTTTTTCTATTTTTTTCCCCATTGTTTACAATTGCTTTACATTAATTTTTTTTAGATTTTAAGTAACATCAGCAATCGAAAACTTCTTAAAATCACAACATTAAAGTCACTACAACTACTACTAGACTCAATCTACACTAAATCCTTTTCCCAAAAAGTATGACTTTATTAACTGTTGCTGTTGGTGAGGCCAAACCAGGTGAAACTGCACCAAGAAGAAAAGCTGCTCAAAAAGATGGATCCCTTGACCGTCCAACCGACTGTAAAGGAACCACTATTCCTGAATTTATCGAAGAATGTTTTAAAAGAAATGGTAACAAGAACGCCATGGGTTGGAGAGATTTGAAGGAGGTTTACGTTGAAACCAAGGAAATTACCAAAAATATTGATGGCGAAACCAAAAAAATTTCCAAAGATTGGACTTATTATGAAATGGGTCCTTACCAATACATCAAATATCCAGAATTGTTGACCTTGATCAAAAACTACTCCAAAGGTTTGATTGAATTGGGATTAAAGCCAAACCAACAAACAAAATTGATGGTTTATGCTTCCACTTCTCAGAAATGGTTACAAACATTTTTAGCTTCAACTTTCCAAAACTTGCCCATTGTTACTGCTTATGATACTCTTGGTGAACTGGGTTTGACGCACTCCTTGGTTCAAACTGACGCTGATGCCGTCTTTACCGACAATGCCCTTTTGAAGACCTTGCTCAACCCATTGAAAGAAGCCAAGAATGTCAAGTACATCATCCACACTGAACCAATTGATCCTAAAGATACGAGAAAAAAGGGTTTGATCTACAAGGAAGCTCAGGATGCTAAAGATGCATTGTTGAAAGTTAACCCCAACTTGAAGTTTATTTCTTATTCTGATGTCATTGAATTGGGAGCTAAATCAAGCAACGAATTACATTTGCCAACTGCTCAAGATTTGGCCTGTATTATGTACACTTCCGGTTCAACAGGTGCCCCCAAAGGCGTGTCTATAACCAATGCCAATATTTTGGCTGCTGTTGCCGGTATTTCAACCAATGCTGGTAGAGATGTTGTTGGTGAGGGAGACTCAGTCATTGCGTTTTTACCATTGGCCCATATTTTTGAATTGGCAGTGGAGTGTCTCACCTTGTGGTGGGGTGTACCATTGGGATATGCCAATGTCAAGACCTTGACCGAAACCTCTTGCAGAAACTGTCAAGCTGATTTGGCTGAATTTAAACCAACTATTATGGTTGGTGTTGCTGCTGTTTGGGAATCGGTGCGTAAGGGGGTTTTGGCTAAACTTAATAAAGCGCCATTTCTTCAACAGAAATTGTTTTGGGCTGCGTTCAACTATAAAACAACCATGAATAAGTCGCATATACCCGGTGGTGGAATATTTGATTTCATATTCAAAAAGGTCAGAGCTGCCACTGGTGGCCGTGTAAGATACACTATGAATGGTGGATCGCCAATTTCCATTGATGCCCAAACTTTTGTTGCCACATTGATTGCTCCAATGTTGTTGGGATACGGATTGACTGAAACATGTGCCATGGGTACTCTTGTTGAACCTAAACATTTTGAATTGGGCACCTTGGGAAGCTTGGTTGGTTCAGTAACTGCTAAATTGGTTGATGTCCCAGATGCTGGTTACTATGCCAAAAACAATCAAGGAGAAATTCTTTTGAAGGGTGGTCCAGTGGTTAAAGAGTACTACAAGAATGAAAAGGAAACAAAGGAAGCATTCACTGAAGATGGATGGTTCAAGACGGGTGATATTGGTGAATGGCAACACGATGGAGGATTAAAGATTGTTGACCGTAAAAAGAATCTTGTCAAGACCTTGAATGGTGAATACATTGCTTTGGAGAAGTTGGAATCAGTTTACAGATCGAACCAATTAGTGATGAATTTGTGTGCTTATGCCGACCAAACTAAAGTCAAGCCCATTGCCATCGTGGTGCCACAAGAGAGCTTTTTGCAACAATTGGGTTTCGGCACCGATACTGCTTATGACGATCCTAAATTGGTAGCTAAAGTTACTGCCAGCTTGAATGCCACGGGTAAGTCACAAGGTTTGAATGGTATTGAGTTGTTGCAGAGTGTTGTTCTTGTTCATGATGAATGGACACCGGAAAATGGATTTGTGTCGAGTGCTCAAAAGTTGCAGAGAAAGAAGATTTTGAAGACTTATGAGGATCAAGTTAAGAAGGCTTATGGAGATGCTTAAATGAAAAGAGAGAGAGAAAGAGAAAGAGAAAGAGAAAGAGAAAGAGAAAGAAGGTAATTATTGGAGTTTGTAGACAGTTTTTATTGATTTATAATATTGATGTTGCTATTGTTTCGTTATTCTTTGCTTTAGATGCTCCTAGTATTCCTACTTTGCAAAGGTATACAAAAAAGCTATTACTAACCCCTATAAAAGACTTATCTAGCGAAAGTCACATCTAAGCTCCTCCTTCACAAGACATACTTATCCAACTCATTCAACCGTTTATTGACATCCGACATCAAGATCGAATCGGTCTCAACCAACTTCTTAATCAAGTTCAAATCAATTGACTGGACAATCTTGCGCATCTCGTATTCTTTAATCAACAATTTAAAATAATTCAATCTGTCATGTTTGGGCACCAATTTTTCAAAATAGTGCAAGTTAATATGCAAGAGATTGGCTAATGTTGCGTGATTGATGGTGTTGGAATCGGCTAGGTCTTTTTGGTCCTTGAGCGCTTGCAAGTATCGGTTCTCGTACAATTGGCGGATGTAGAGTGTGGATGGATCTTGAGTAGTTTGGTTCTTGGCAGTGGCACCAGTGGGGATGCTTGTGCTTGTGCTTGTGCTTGCGGTGAGTTTGAGTTTGGTGGAGATTGAAGCGAGGAGGTGTTCTGGAAACGGTGGGGACTTGGCGGGATTGAGATCTTGGCTGGGTTGTCGTGATGCTTGGGCGTCTTTGACATTGCTGTTGTTGCTGTTTGCGTGTATAGATAATGACTTTGATCTTGTTGGCGCTGACAAAGCACCGGTTGTGACAGATGCAGCATCGGGAGAAGTAATTGTATAATCGATATTGGCACCGGATTCGAAATGTTTATCAATGATATTGCGTAGAATTTGTATTTCAATACAAAGAGAATCAAGCGCTGAATTATGATCATTTTCCAACGTGATTAGCTTGCGATTACATTTAGTCTTGATGGTGGCAATTTGGTTGGCCATAGATTCCAACTTGGTCTCCTTTTCCAAAACTTGTTTCTTGTAGTGGCGCAACTTCTTTTCCCATTGGGCCTTGTCTTCGGAATGTGATTGAGTCACTGATTCGATATTAGCTGCCAATGATTGATTTTGTTCGATTAGATCGCTGTTTTCCAGCTTCAATTTGGGTAAATCTTGATTCAATTGCAAATTCTCGTGGCGTAATTGAGATGCATCACGTTCCAATTGTTGAATTTGTTCTTGTTGCCCTTGAAATCTATTATTCAGGTCATTTTCAAATGATTCAAACGTAGATTTGCATTCTAACAACTCAGATATGGTTTTAGCGGCATTCATTGAAGATTCCTTCAATTGCGCTTCCAATAGTTCAATCTTGTGGATGTGTTGTGTTTCTACTTGCTTCAAATCATGTAAATCCAAATTGAGTGCCTTGTTAATTTCATTCTTTTCCTTTACGGCTTCTTCAAATGAGGAAATCTTCTTGTGCAAATTGTTGCGCTCATTCATCCACGTTTGTGTTTGAAATGACATTGATTGAGTCGTTTTCAATTCAGTAATCTTGTCGATAATCTTGGCCATGTTGGCTTCAGTAAATGACAAGTCCAAAGCTAAACAAACTTGCTGCATCGTTTGTTGTAAATATTTTGGTGAAGCGCCAATCATTATTGCTCCTCCTCCTCCTGTCGCCGTGGGAATTTGTCTTCCATTATCACTAATCGAATCTCTAATTGACAGTTGGTCAAACGAAGAATCCTGGAACCTAACCCGATGGTCATTGTTATGAACGCCATGAAGGGGCAAGCTGGGGAAATCATTGGATCTTCTTGCTGCATGGGTGATGGTATTACCATTATTGCTGTTGCTGACAAAACTATTACTGTTCAATGAAGAATAAAAATTCGATAGCGACCCCGCACCACCACGTCCATTACTTTCATTAATTGACAATTCCGTAAAATTGTGATCAACAACTTCATTAATGATTGTATTTGCGCGTAATTCCAACCGTGATGTAACTTCAGGATTCATTCGACGAACTTGGCGTCTTAATCGAGGGACGACTTGATGGACTTCACCATCGACTTCGTAATGCGAGCCAATGACATTTGGGTCTCTGGATGTTGTCATTGTAGGCAGGTAGTTTGGTTAGTTATGGTTAGACAAACTGTATTGAATTGTGTTGCAAAAAAAAGAACAAAAAATAGAAAATAGGATTAGCCATTTGTGTGCCTGTGGTTAACTTTTTGTTATGCTGAGGATATGTTAAGCTGTAGGTCATTATCATGAAATGTCATATGACTGCTCTCCTGTTATAATAAAACTAGTACTGCAGTTTATAAGTAATCTCTTCAGCCATATGAATGCCTGTTTGGAAGTTCTCGCCATCAATACATCTCAATTTTTAGGGAAAGGTGCCACACAAATTCAAAATCTTGCTGAAGGAAGCCTGAATCAAAAATCGTATAACCTCACCCCACATCATCTATCCAAACTAAGTGTTTCATATATGTAAATTGGTTGGTAGCGCAATCGGTTCGTCGATGGGTTAACAGTCTGAATCAGCTGATAACTGGAACCATTCATTTGACGACCCCATGTCAGAAGCTATAGGCTCTATTCAAATGAGTAGGGCCAATTCATCCTGTTAGCTCAGCCCGACGTTGAGAAGCAGCAACTTCAACATGGTTCAGAATTGATACGGCTATCCCTTCATCTCTAAGGCCCATTCTATCCTCTTTTCAAGGTGCAAACTCCCACTAACTGTCTTGATTAACTGATACTGTTTTTCATAGCTTGCTTTTTCATGGCAGTGTGTCCCCTGTATATCTCTTAAGGCGATGAGTCTTGACATTTCTTTTCTTTTTTTTTTTTCCTTTCTTCACGTTCCATATGGTACAACCAGTGACCACACTCCAAGAAACAATGACAGGGAGCTCCATCACTAATTTTGTTCCTCTATCCAATATCCACGAGAACTCTTCAAGCTGCACGTGTCCACAACACGTTGAAATTACAGACTTCACTAAACTAGACCATCATGCTTTCAAATTGAGATATAGATCCAACTCCGTCATTTCGGCATCCACAACCGAAGATGAAAAACCCTTACCAGTTATTAAAATTCTAGGTACGGGTGGAACAATTGCCTCAAAGGCTCAGTCTTCGAACGTGACTGCTGGCTATGCCGTAGATCTCACCATTGAGGAGCTACTTAGTCACATACCTGACTTGTCGACAACTTGTATATTGGAGTATGAGCAAGTGATGAACATTGATTCGAAGGATATGGGCTTAGAAGAAGTCTCAATATTGCACGGACAAATAAAGAAGGATTTGGACAAGTATGATGGAATAGTTATCACACATGGAACTGATACCATGGAAGAGACGGCATTTTTTATCCAGTCAACTATAAATACAGAAAAGCCAATTGTATTTTGTGGAAGTATGAGACCTAGTACTGCCATCTCATCAGATGGGCCTATGAACTTGTATCAAGCCATTGTCATTGCGTCACACCGGGAAAGTCGTGGACGTGGGGTGCTTATTGCATTGAATGATCGCATCGGAGCTGGATATTACATCACCAAGTCAAATGCAAACTCATTGGACACTTTTAAAACCGTTGGACAGGGCTATATAGGAAATTTTGTCAACGATGAGGTGAGATACTATTTCCCCTCAGCCAAGCCGTTAGGTATGACCTATTTCGAAGTAGACAAAGAATTCCATCTACCTGAGGTGCCAATAGTATACGCTCACCAAGGACTAAACGAAAAGCTTTTAGAATTGTCAATTAAGGAGCTAGATGCTAAAGGTTTGGTGATTGCGACTATGGGTGCCGGATCATTATCGGCAAAGACAAATGAATTCTTGACCAAATTGGTTGAGCCAGGGTTCCCTGTTATTTACAGCAAAAGGTCAATGGACGGAATGGTACCTCTTGGAGGGTTGCCCAAATTCAATGGCAAGGTGTTTGAGAATGCAGTCGCTGGTGGCTACTTGAACCCACAGAAGGCGAGAATATTATTGCAATTGTGTCTCAATGAAGGTTATGACTTGAAAAAGATCAAGAAGGTGTTTAAAACGGTGTAGCGTGGTATGCAGCAATGATAGATTAGAGCTTTGTATAGAATCGAACTGCATAGAAACTGGGGGGAAGTTATTCCGATCGCTTTGCGCGGATCATCAAAAAAAAAAGAGTAAAACGAAAAAGTAAAACAGAGACTTAGGTTTCTTTCTTTTGCAGGCTTCAAATTCCTCCAACCCCACAATGGCACTCTTTTCAAAAGAAGAAAAAGTCGAAATAGCTCCAGACAAGTCTGAACGTGTCAAATGTTGGGACAAGCGAGACAGGTTTTTCCAATGTCTTTCAGAGAATTACATTGACAACTCATTAGATCCAAAAGAATTACCCAAAGTTAATGAAAAATGTGGCGATATCAAAAAGGAATTCGAGAAGGACTGTGTTAGCAGTTGGGTCAAATACTTTCAAGAAAAGAGATATAATGATTTAGTTAGACAAAGGTATATTGCCAAATTAGAGAGCGAAGGTGCTCAACCATTACCCTTCAAGATTGAAAGCATAAAGAAGTGAATTGTGGAAAAGGTAATAGAGAAAAAAAAAAAACACAATTGCCGTATAAGTATCTAAAAAAATATATTTATGCTAGTTTGCTGTGATATGTAAAGGACTTCTATTGATGCATTGCTCTGTTGAGAGATCAACCACAGTTCCCCATTCGTACTCCCCCTTTTCAATAATGACAAAGCTAGTGTCTACGGATATGTGATCCTGCGGTTGAATGACGGGCAATTTCTGCTGCAATATACCGTTGATTAAAACCTTCTTATCAATCGATAGCAGTTTAGGTAAATTGGCAGTAGGGGAGGTTGTCACCTGTAGTGGTAATTGACGGATAAACCCGCTTATCCCGTGGCTGGTGTGATTGGTTATTGTCGTTCTCAATGTATAGAATTGGTCAACTTTTAGATCATGCAATCGACCAGATTTAAAGTCCTGTCCATCCAATGCGATGCTTGTTTCGACCTCCACGTTGTTAATAACTAGAATGTTGGCCATTTTCAGAGTTAATCTTAAACCTCTCAATTCCAATTGTCCGTGTCTTTCATCAACACTCCAGCTCCCCGACAACTTTTCCAAAATTATCTGCTTGAGCCAAAACATCTTTATCATTTGAGCCTCGTCCTCTGGTGTAACAGCATAGTCTTTGATAAATTGCTTCTTCCTTAATGAAGGTATAGGATCTCGTGGTACATTTCGGACTTTTAGCACTGGTATGAAATATCTTGCAGTCTTGTTTGATTCAATCAAATCCGAAATTTTGAAGTCGCCATATTGTAGATCACAATGTAATGCGCCGGTCCAAGAGTTTCTCAAATCCAATACTAATAAGCAATACGATGCAACATCATCAGCACCTTTCAAGTAAGTAGTCACTGATGATATATTTGCTGGCAAATCAGCATTTTCCAATGTCTCCCTTGAGAAACACGATATTATATCACATCCAACAATCTCCAAGCTTTGTACAACTGAAACACCAATGGGGACATCCAAGTGTTTGATAAAAGATTGCTCATTTGAACGATTTGCATAGTCCAACACAATTTTCAGTTGTCTCATCATTTTTCTGCTAGTAAGCTCATACTGAATAGTAACCTCTTCGCCAGGTTTGATTGTCTCGCCAATAATGTCTTTATTCAAAATCCGAAATGATTTAAATTTGAGTAAGCCCCATTCTAACTCATACACTTCAAATGCATTCAAGTTTGGCTGACCCAATTTGCGGTCCAAAAAGTCAATAGCAGAGTCCCAAAATGAAAATGACAAATAATTGATAACTTCAGTCGAGTCATTAACCAACTTGACTTCAAATTGCACTTGCTCTCCCTCTAAAAGCATGATGCAACCATTTGGAATTGTTAAATTGACTAGTTTTAACACAGGTTGAGGCCGAATCACGATCAATGGCAAGCTGCGGACCAATACTCGTGGGTCCTTCTTCTCTCCTCTTAGGTACATGAAAAGACTCTTGTACACTGACTCCTTGGTCTTTAGACCCTGAATCTCCTCCTTTTTAGGTGCAATCTTAGAGCTACTGGTCGAACAAAGTTTGTCCACAATTGGAAAATACTGTTTTTCAAAGCCGCCAATCGTGATCATAAAACCAGTAATTTTCATGTCACCAACACTCAAAGCCTTAAATGAGACAATGATTGTGGAGGTGGACATGGGGGAGACTGTGCCAATATTGGTATCCTGGCCCGCTATCAGAGCAACATTGGATGTGGTTGCGTTGCGCTTGGGGTTCGCTCTTAATTTGTTAAGCGCTGGTGAGCTATGTGCCAGAGGAATTATCTGCTGCGTCATGGGCTTCAACGTCATCACTTCTGTGCCTTCACTTATCACCTCCAAATCATTGATCTCAACTTCAAATGCAAATGGGTTTTGTACTGTAACCTTAAGTTGATGAACCTCGTCTTTGATCAAAATGCGATCCATATTCACGGTGTCGGTTTTCAAATGATATGGATCGAAAAAGGATTGTTGGGAGGGATCCGCCTCACTGTCTACAAACGGAATCAAATGGTCCTTTTGTCTTGTCGACACAAACTTAACTTTCCGCACCATAAATGGATCAAAGTAGGGCACAGACAACAGAGACTGATTTGTGATCTTTTCAATCATGTTCCGTAGTTTTATTTGGCCATCTGCGGGTATATAATGTGAGTAACGGGCAAGCAGTAAGCAGCTGATGTAAAGTGCTAATTCCGTATCTCTTATATGTTCTGCAGAATTAAGGGCAAGTTTCAAAACTTGAAGTTGTAAAGACAACTGGACACTTTTGCGAGGTGGAACCAGTTGCAACGAAGCGATATCTGGCTCCCCGCCAACTCCATACAATTCAAACAAATCATCTAAAAGCTCTTTGATGGACATTAAATCGTGAGCTGTTTTCATTTTCGACACCAATGCAATCAAATGAAACCTTAAAATAAACGCTTCTTTTCGAAAAAACTTCAATTTGTGGTATACCTGAGCAACGTATGAATAAATATGACACTGGTCCAAAATGTTCAAATCGATTAGTTGAAGAAGAAATATTTTGTCAATATCGGCAAGTATGTCCTGAGTCAGAAAATACGTGTTGTCCACTTCTTCTGACGTAATGTTTCCCTCGACAATATCTTTCAAAGGAGAACTCAAGTGATATCCTGTCATGACACTCAACTTTCTCAAAATGCACTCAATGTAGACAACGTCGGGCACCATATTTTCTGGATCATCTGTGCTCTGTCCATAGAAATAGATTGCCTTGGTTAGCAAAACTTTCAAAGTATCCGGCACTGGCAACGTGTTCAAATCAACCGATGAAGTGAGGGGCATGGTGAAGCCATTTGATGTAGTCAAGGACGGCCTTGGTGATGCAACATTTGTCTTTGAGCTATTGGACTCTAGTGATGAACGCTTAGACGCAGAATGGTCTATCGATACTGACGCTTTTGAAATTTGCAACAAAGATCCAAGCACAGGGTTCAACAGGAAATGTACTTGAACAAATGAAAGCAAAAAAATACTCAAAGCCAATCCTTCCAAGGCGCTGCCCAACCAAAGGTAGTCATCAAAACGTCTCAAAGTAGTGACACTTTCAGTAAAACTGTGCAAGGCATCGTTGTACTTCCCGGTTAAAAGATATAGATTACCCATTAATTTGAGATATCTCCCATTATATTTAGAATGCGGTTTAGACTTATCTGTTGATGATTTTGGAGTATTTGGTGTATCAGTTGGTAAGCCATTAAATGAGGCTTTGAATGACGTTGATCCAGAACTTAGCCGCTTCTGGGCTTGGTTTATAGTTTTGGTTAGTACATGACTATCCGTAATTGACACCGGTGATCGTAGTGATATGTTGCTATAAGCAGATGCATACTCATCTAATGCAATTAAAAATGAGTCAAAAATTTCTGAAAATATACCCTCCAAGGCGGAAAAATGAGTGGCTGTTCCGTCATGAAAGTATGAGTTTGGCGTTGAGTTGTGAAGTTGCGATTCTGGTGCATCAAAATGAATAGTACTGTTTACAATTGCGCCCGAGTACAATTTCTTTAATTGGCCAATGTGGTCACTGTCTTTCTCATATCGGCCTATTCCCAAAACTATGAATGTTTTTCTAAATGGTTCAAATTCGTGTAAATAAATCAGATCGTCGTCAGTGGTAGTAAACTCAGGAATGATTCGACCTTCAGGAAACGTAGAAGGGTTGAAAAAATGTAAATCTGTATTGGACCTTAGGTCGAGGAGTCTTAAATCTGTCACATTCGATGTAATTAAATTAATGTAGCGGTTGAAATCGCGTAAGGTACAGTTATTTATAGGTACCAATAGTATCCTGACGGTAGCAGGAGTTATGAATTTGTATCTATTAGCCATATATTACAAACCATGAATTCTAATATGGAGTGTGAATTATAATGCTACTCTATCTTCAATTGTAATGTTACTCTATCTTGTAGTGCTCCTCTATCACCAATTGTGTGTGTCTGCTCTCTAGAACAAAAAAACAAAAAAATTCAGTTTAGTTGATCCGTTTGGTAAACAAAAAGTCGTGTCTTTTTTTTTTCTCGCCCTGTTTAGAATTTCAATTTTTGTCGTCCCAAAAAGTGAAGGCAAAAAAATCTCTGAGACCACTTTTTATCAAACCAAACTACGTCTACTCCACAACACCGTTATGCCAGGGTTAAACTTTGAAAACTACCAGAGAAACCAATTCTTGACAACCAAAGGATTTGCTCAGCCAAAAGCCACGTCTACAGGTACTACAATTGTCGGGTGCCAATTTAAAAACGGTGTCGTAATTGCTGCTGATACAAGAGCCACCGCCGGACCTATAGTTGCAGACAAGAATTGTGAGAAACTACACAGACTTTCTCCTAAGATATGGTGTGCGGGTGCCGGTACAGCTGCTGATACAGAAATGGTGACCCAATTGATTGCGTCCAATTTGGAACTACATGCATTGTCGCAGAATAGACAACCTCGTGTAATAACAGCAGTAACGTTGTTGAAGCAGCATTTATTCAAATACCAGGGCCACTTGGGAGCATACTTGATTGTTGCCGGAGTTGATCCTACAGGAGCTCACCTACTCTCAGTACAAGCACACGGATCAACTGATGTGGGAAAGTATCAAAGTTTGGGCTCCGGCTCTTTGGCCGCCATGGCGGTTTTGGAAACAAACTTCAAAGAAGACATGACTAAGGAGGAGGCTATAGATTTATGTGCAAGAGCTATCGAAGCCGGTATTTGGAATGACTTGGGTTCTGGTTCCAATGTTGATGTCTGTGTGATGGAGGTTGGCAAAGACGCGCATTTGATGAGAAACTACATTACGCCAAATGTGAGGATAAAAAAATGCAAAGACTACAAGTTTCCAAGAGGTACCACGGCGGTGTTGGGTCAAAAAGTACGTGACATCTGCGATGTCGAGGAAACAGTGGTTACATTTGACAACATGGAGGTTGACACTGCTGTGTAGCTTTTATAAGGATTTTTTTTCTAGAAATGTTTTAAATTTGATGTAGGAGCAGATGGAAATGTAGGGTCGTTTTATTCTGACAACTTTTCAAATGTCTTTAATTAGTGCACTTTTGTGGCAACTTAAGCGCATTCTGGAATTTTCGATGCAATTTTGGGACTCAGCGTACTTATTTCGTCTTCAAACTCTACCACGGTGAAATCTTGGACAACTAGAACTCACAGTAAAACATGGTTGTGAATAATCCAAATAATTGGCATTGGGTCGATAAGAACTGTTTGGCTTGGTCTAAGGAATACTTTGACGAGAAGTTGACAGGTTTGCATGTGGAGGAAGGTGCTAAAAAAGTTCAAGTTGCCAATGTTTCCTCTGTTGAGGGTGACGTTGACGTCTCGCAAAGAAAGGGGAAAGTGATATCGTTGTTTGATGTTCGAATTGTGTTGACCTTTAAAGGGTCCAACGATAAAGTTGACGACATAAATGGATCAATAACAGTCCCCGAGTTGGCATATGACAGCTCTTCTGATGGATTAGTGTTTGATATCAGTATCTACAATGAGTCAAGCGAAAATTCAAGCATCACAGACTTGATCAAGGCAAAGTTGATTCCAGAGTTGCGTAAGCGGTTGATACAATTTGGGCCCGATTTGATCGAAACAAACAGCAAGGATATTCAGTTGGAGGCAGAAAAAGTGACTTCTACTTATACAAAAGCAAACTTGACTCAAAGCAGCATGTCTGGTTCAAAGTCTGAACCAAAAGTGGACGCAAAGAGTGCTTCCGTGTCTAAACCTGCTGGAGCCCAACAAACGAAATCACAGTCGTCAGTTCCAAAGTACAATACAACAACGTTGCACCTCGAACCGACATTCAACACCTCAGCAGAGCAGATCTATATCACGTTGCTAGATGCTTCCAGAATTGCCGCATGGACAAGGTCCCATCCAGAAATCGAGCAGTTCCCACCAAAAGAGGGTTCATCATTCAGGTTTTTTGGTGGAGCAGTTTTGGGAAAACTTTTAAAGTTGGTGCCAAATGAACAAATCGTCGAGTTGTGGAGATTGCAAGACTGGAAAGAGGGCCACTATGCAGAGTTGGACATGAGGATGATTCAAAGCAGCGGAGAAACCAAATTGGTTGTCAAATTCAGTGGCATTCCAATTGGAGAGGAGGAGAGAGTCAGGGACAATTTTGAAGATATGTACGTCAGGTCTATAAAGATCACTTTTGGATTTGGTGCAGTTTTGTAACTTATATAGCTTTATCCTTTTTTTGCATTCTGAAACATATCACCTTTGAAGCTTCTCTACTTCCTCTGGATCGCTAAATAGATCTGCTAGTAGTATTTTGTTCTTTAAATCTTTCCTACCAAGACCAACAAAATATAACTCACTCGACTCCGATCGGCTGGAATGGGGCTTGAAAGCAACGTTTTTTGTAAATAGGACCTTCATCCTTGCCTCTAGCAACTTTAGCTCTGAGCCTTGCCACACTTTCATTACCATGTTGCCACCTACACGCAATTTATTAAACGCAAGTATTAAACTGGCATTGCAAAGGTCCATGTTTCCTATGTGATCATAATGATCGTGTCCAGTGCAATTAACCATCATGTCGCTCATAATAAGGTCAAGAGGCTGCATTGAACCATCGTTGTTTGTGAAAAACTGTCTTATCTTGCTGTGTGTGGCCGTCTTTGTCACATCTCCTTGTATGTAATGGCATCCTCTGTACGGAATAGCATGGTTGATATCGATCCCCAATATTGTGAAATCTCTATTTCCTAGTCTCTCAACGGCAACCTGGCTCCACGCTCCTGGGGCAAACCCCAAGTCCACTATGTTGTTACAGCAATTGTTGAAGAGGTGAAATTTTTCATCAATCTCTAGTAGTTTAAAGGCGGCTCTCGATCTGTAAAACTCCCCCCGCTTCTTGTTGTTGAAGGGATCACCTTTAACCTTTTGCAAGTGTTTCCTCAAAGACGATGACGACTTGTGTCTGGCAGAAGTGTAGCATAAGGGCAAACCTTTGACAAGCATTGCTTTTTTGCGGCGAGGAGAAGTGATGGGGAACGATGGGCAGGAAATATTTACATTTTTGCTTTACCATTTTTGTTGAGCACACATTGATTCAGATTATCAAGCTCATAAAGTTATTTTTGTTTCAGATGAGTTGTTGAAACTTTAACGAGGGGTTAGAATGTGTCAGTCGATGATGATGAGAGCAAGTGTACTCTCTCTACAAAAGAAGTGAAATACACTGTATGGACCCTCCACCCTCCTTTTTTTACTCCTACCCTGTTAAAAAGGCAGTCTATTAAATGGCTCGGATCTAGAGACACTAGCCCGAAATGGAGAAAGCTTTTCTTAGCACTTTCCAGGTTTGACAGCAAATTGCAGTCCTGATAAAAAGCAAAAATAATATCCGCCGCGTCCACCGCGTGATGTTACCCAATCTGGTAAATAAAAGCGTTGCTCTAACTCAATCCCTTCACTATATAAATACCCTCACTAAATTTGATTTTTCAATTTCTCCTCGTCATAGCAAACTTACATTCATTTGTTACATTGAACACATACCATTAGGTCAACAACTCTTTCCAAATGTCTGAAACAGCAGGAAAAGCATGTATATAACTCAATTGCAAAACTCGGACTCTGAATTTTTATATTTTTAAAAAAAAAATACTCCAGAGCAACGGTTTCTACCCTGGTGGTTGTACTAACAGCAAAGTTTTTAGACAATTACATGTAAAGCCGCAGTTGCGTGGGAAGCTAAGAAACCATTGAGCATTGAGACAATTGAAGTTGCTCCTCCCAAGGCACATGAAGTCCGTATCAAGATTTATGACACCGGTGTCTGTCACACAGACGCTTACACCTTGAGTGGTGTTGATCCAGAAGGAGAATTCCCCGTTATTTTGGGACACGAGGGTGCTGGTGTTGTTGAATCAGTAGGTGATGATGTCACCACTGTCAAGCCAGGAGACCATGTTATTGCCTTGTATACCCCAGAGTGTGGTGAATGTAAAATGTGCAAGAGTGGAAAGACCAACTTGTGTAGCAAAATCAGAAACACTCAAGGTAAGGGAGTTATGCCGGACGGAACCTCAAGGTTTACTTGCAAAGGTAAGAAGCTTCTTCATTTTATGGGTGTTTCTACCTTTTCACAATATACTGTCGTTGCTGATATTTCAGTTGTTGCAATTAATCCAAAAGCCCCATTTGACACTTCGTGTTTGTTAGGATGTGGTGTCACCACCGGTTACGGTGCAGCAACAATCACTGCAAACGTTCAAAAAGGAGACAACGTTGCTATCTTTGGTGCTGGTTGTGTTGGTTTGTCAGTGGTTCAAGGATGCCACGAAAGACAGGCTGGTAAAATCATTGTTGTTGATATCAGTGACAATAAAAAGGAATGGGCAACCAAATTCGGAGCCACTGATTTTGTCAACCCTACTAAATTACCAGAAGGAACTTCTATTGTTCAAAAATTGACCGAAATGACCGACGGCGGTTGCGATTTCACTTTTGACTGTACCGGTAACGTCAATGTCATGAGGGATGCTTTGGAAGCTTGTCACAAAGGTTGGGGTACCTCAATCATCATTGGTGTCGCTGCTGCTGGTAAGGAAATCTCTACAAGACCATTCCAATTGGTTACTGGTAGAGTATGGAAGGGTGCCGCCTTTGGTGGTGTAAAAGGAAGATCACAATTGCCAGGAATTGTAGATGACTACTTGGATGGTAAGCTTAAAGTCAAGGAGTTTATTACTGACAGATTTGACTTGGATCATATTAATGATGCATTTGACGCTATGCACAAGGGAGGCTGTATCAGAGCTGTTATTAAGATGTGACTATCCTCCAAGCTTTGATGGGGATACTATATATACGTATGTAACTACTCAATTTCAGCATCGCTTGCATTTTCCAACTCGTCAATTGATGCGATCTCATCATCATCGTCATCGACTTCATCCTCCGCTTCGCTCTCTTCGCTTGAACCGAGCTCGTCTACATCAATTTTGCCGTTGAATTGAGCATCGTCAAGATCTTCAATGTACTCGACATCGTCTTCATCTTCCTCCACTTTTGTTTCCTTACTCAAATCTTGTTTTAACGATGATTGATCATATAACAAGTTTAATCTTCCCTGTAACTCAAGAAGACGTGGCAAGGTATCTGCTTTCTTTGCCAAAACAGAGTGCAAAGAATACAACTTCTGATTCAAATTTGGCAAACTAGCAATCACGGAGCCATGGATAACCAAGATCCACTTAAGCCAGTAATTCAACTGATTGAACCTCGATGACTGACGCTGAATCCTCTCACTCAATCTGTCCAATAAAATCACCGAAGAGTACGGGTTTAACCTGCCGATGGTATTTTGGATAGACTGAGAGTCACGCGTTTGCAATACTGTTTCCAACAACGCGTGGTCATTATTTTGAAGTGCTTGTGATAATATAATAGACAATGATATCCCATTTCTATTCTCCTCCAACTTCTTTTTACGTTGCGGTTGTTGTTTATTCATGGCTAGTTTATCAAACTTTTCTGCCAACGTCTCATCATCTGATTGATCCTCCAAATCTCCCAAATTTGATCCGTCATTGACGATAGCGTGGCTCTCGTTGTAGAGTTTGGAGGCTGCCACGTCATGACCGTATACAGATGAGCTTTGGCTTGGTTTCAAATCAGCTTTGTTCTTGAATATAGTTTTGCTTGTATCGAGCAAGTAGCTTCCTGACTCTGTCCATTTAATTGAATCAAAAAAAGGTATAGTGCCTGTTTCCATCCACGTGAATAGCAACGAATCGTCCTGAATGTTTATTGCGTTAATAACAAGATTGGCGTCTTGTGGATTTTTGTACTCATTTGGAGATCGGGATAATTTTACAGTGGAGTTTGACGAGTGTGTGACTGCACCAACTTGCTTTCTCTTCTTTCTCGACGGTGTAGTTGGTGTGGCATTGGAATCCGAGAGTGGTCCATTAAACACTTCGACACTTCCGGTTTCCACTATTGCTGCCAACACTGAATCATTCTGACAGGTCCCAATTGCCAAGCTTGTAACAGCTGCCTGGGCAACAAATATAGCCTTGGTTGTGCTCTTGTTCAAGTCGTATAAATTCATAAATCGATCACCTTTGGCACTGGTTATAAACATATCATTACCTAAGGAGATGATGCTGCTTATAGGTTGGATATGTCCTGGAAATGTTCTGCTTATTTGTTTAGCTTTGATGTTGAACAAATAGATAGAATTGGAAGCTAATAACAAATGAGGCTCTGAATTGTACATGCAACTGGATATCCTGTTTATTGATTCAACTGACTCAACAATCTCACTTATTTTGAATGTACGCAACAAGCGGAACAGTATGACGTCCCATTCATAAATGCTGCCCTGTACATCACAAGACCAACCAGTTTTGGTCACTTTGGAGTAGTAAAAATCCAACACTGCAACATTGGCCGAAGTGGTTAGTTCTGAAATGACCCCATTTGTATATGGCGAGTATACCAATATACCCCCGTTTTCTAAACACAATGCCAAGAGTTCAACAGAGTCCTGTGAGGTGGAGATCCAGCTCAAGTTGGAAACTTTATTGGATTTATCAAGGTTGAATGAGGTATTGAGTGATGCTTGTGAAGGGTGAACTGATTTAACTTGCACTTGGTGCGTGTCTAATGATAGTATGACTGACGCTAGATGAGCATTTTTGGAGTCGAATTTTGAATGGAGAACGGGGCCTGACATGGTATGATGATGGGGGAGATGGAAATGGAGATGGAGAAAGTCTGAGATGAGGGAATTCCAATTGCAAAAAAATTTCAACTTTATTGAGATGGGTGGTAGCGACATAAAAAATTGAGAGCACAATAGGAAAGGGCCACTACAACAGGATTTTACTGTTCTGCTACATACATCTGCATATTAGCTATAGCTTTGCAGATCATGATCCTCAAGTCTAGACTCGAGCTTTTTTTCCATTTGGTTCTTCATCGTTGGAACTACCGTCATGATTGTAACCTCCCCCTTCTGCTTCATTTGATACGGCAATATTGATACCTCCTCTTGATTGCCGCCTTTTCCTCTCACTTAGACTAACCAAAGACGTAGCGCTTGGGATTTCCCCAATTGGTGATTCGCTTTCGTTGCTCTCAACTTCATCTTCGAATAAATGCGCATTGTTAACCGGCTTACGGGTCTCTGTAACCAACTTTTCATATTCTGCTTGGCTCATTTTGCCTTCTTTGACCAATTTCTTCAAAAGCTCATTCAGAGGAGTGTCTTCTCCGGCAGTGGATTTGGCTGGCTCTTTGTCATCTCTTTTTGGAAACTCAAAGTTCAGAAGGATCTCCTCCAGCGGTGTGGTTTCCGCAAACAAGAATTCACTCACATTTAAATGCTTTGAAGGATCCAATCCCTTTTCCTGCAACAATTTTATACTATTTTGACCGACCGAGTCCTGGGGTATGTCAGGAAGAACTTCGCCACATTTAATAGCCGCAGTGTCTTGTGATGTATATTCCTTCGAGTGGGCAATTCTGCTGTGGTTTAAGAACCCTTGTGCGGATGAGAAATTGTTACGCTGGCAATCAGGACATGTCAACCTCACTACGACCCCATCCGATCTCCGGTATAAACACCCTAAATTCAAATTTCGTGGCACTGACGTTGTAGATGGCGGACGCAATGATGATGTGGTTGATCTTGTTCTATACGAGTGGCCCAGCGGTGGATTCAATAAATCTGTATTGGAAAGCGAAGCTGATTCTAGGCCTGTTGTAGGGATCTCTTTAAATTTTTCATAAGTTGCGTTCAATGATCTGCTAAGTAAATCATAATACTTTACCGTCAAATTGTTGGTGTTCGATGTGTCATTACTTGGTATATCGAGAAACTTTCGTAGTATCAACATTTGCGATTCTGTCTTGCTGAGCTCATTGTTTGCCATGTTCAATTCCTTGTGTTTGAGCCTGATTTCCAAATCTAACTGGTCATTTATTAGCTTCTTTAACTGGTCGTGAGGTAGTGTTTCTAGTTTCTTTCGTATCACCTCTTCGGGTGATTGCATCTGTTCCAGAGAGGACCTTTGCTCCATGTGCGAATCTTGTGTTTCCAAATTGGGCTCGCTTGTGGATGGTGTGAGGCTCATCTATTGTGTTGTGGTGTATAGAGTATAAAAGTGGACTTATCCTGAAAGGCAATTTTTATGCTACCAACTGAGTTTTTCAAACATCAACTTTTGTGATACAAGAACTTGAGGAGGAAAGTAATATACATCATTTGCAGTTGTAATTTCAGTCCATGGTTTTCCAAAGAACAGTATACAAGTGGGTGGTCATAGCCATCTAAAATTCCTATTCCAGGTTTGTATCCAGACGGTTGTAAAACGCAAATTCCAAATTTTCTTTTTCACCCGCCTCCCTATTTAAGACAAAATGTAAACATTGGACAGCCGCTGCAACTTTTGAGAAGAGCTGTGGATGATTCGGTGAGTAGGACAGGTATCTTAGGCCAGAAAAGTTTTGCAGCAAGGAACCCTGGTGGTCTTTAATTGTTCGTAAAAGGTCAATTGTGAGGAGACGAGACGTGGTGGGAGAGTAGACTTCATTTAGAGCAGTTGTTTCCGCATTTTGTTTTTTATGACACCTCCAGATAACCTCAATTTTCTGTCGCCTACTGCAACTAACAAGGTTTGATTACAAAAGACTATTGTTTATTACTTTTACAAAGCTAATAAGTCTTCCACGTGCGTCCTACTCTACTGAATCAATATGTATATATAGCATGAAATTCATTTACAAACAAAAAACCATAGAATTACCAGTAAAACTTTCAATTTCAAATTTGGACTATCAAGATGTTCTTAACAACAATGATCATCACAATGTACGTATTTACCGCGGTATTCGCACAAATTGTTCTCAGTGAAAAGTTTCATGACTTACCCAAGTTCAAGTCATCAACCAAATTCTTTGACCAAAGCGATGCAACCATTCCATCCTCCCAGGTCAACTACACCCATAACTTTGGGTTAAAAAGTAGGTATTCGTGGAAGGATGTTTTGGAACAACTTGATGAAAATAACAAGTTGTTTTTTATCATTAGACACGCCGCCGGTGTCCACCAATGTAACACGCCGTCAATTGACTGGACATGTTACTGGCAAACCATTGATGGGTACGATGGTCAAGTTTGGGCGGACGCTTTATTGACTCAAGAAGGTGTTACTCAAAGCAAGGCGCTTTCTGAGTCAATAAAGTTTACTGATCAGTTTCCATACCCAGATCATCACTACTCAAGTCCATTGAGAAGGACATTGCAAACTTGGAATTACGTTTGGGGAGATTTGGTGAGTCAGGGTCCGACTATCAAAGAGTTTGCAAGGGAAACTTATGGCATTCAAACAGAGAGCAAACGTCACCCTAAAGCCTATATTCAAGCCCACTGGCCGTATGTGAATTTTGAAGCAGGTTTCACTGATATTGATGAATTGTGGTCGAATACAACTCGTGAAACTGGTCAACATCGCAAATACAGGGCTGCTAGCTTGTTGAGTGACATCTTCGAATTGAGTAAAGAGGACAAGGTTATTGGTCTAGTTTCTCATTCTGGTTTAATTGGGTCTATATTGAAAGTGGTTGGGCATCGTGAATACCCAGTGGATAATGCGAAACTCATCCCAGTATTGATTCATAAGAAGAAACACAAGACAAAGAAGTACAAGTCAAATCACCCCGATAAAACATTTGAGGATATCTGCCCAAACAAACCATCGCAAATAACTCAAGGTCCTGAATTGACTTGTAGCGCAGCACCATTTGATTCAGAAGCCAGCGCTAGTTTTTAGAGCTCATAGTATGAGCTGTATAGACAGTATTAAAAGATGTTGTATTGATTTACTTGGAGTAGAATAGAGGTAACTTTTCGTAGAAAGACTGAGCTCTATTTGTTAAGAACGAGTACTAATATGAAGGTGATTAATCTCAATGATAAGCCTTTTGTTTAAAGTCGATAGTGTAGCAAATCCATTAAGATAAGGAAAATCGAAAAGTATCAACGTTTTGATAGGTAAGTAGGCCTGATCTGTTGATAGTTTTATTTTCGCACTAATTTGTAGCAAAAATTGTAAAATGAAAACATAGGAGGAAGAATCGCATCCAAACTACGGCTTGCATACATTGCAAAACGAGACACAGAAACAGGTACCCAAGGCATACTGTAAATTATTTGCAGCTACAGCTTCTTCGTTTCTCCCAAAAATTTGTGGCGCATGCAGCGTGACTGAGGTCTCGTACTAGGCTATATGTCATTGGAAATCCTTTCCCAAGATTAAACCAGTCACAGCTGGTTCCTATCGTTGGATGACCCCCTCTGTAGCGCTTATTAATACAAACCACGACGTGTTACCCGGTGTACGGTTCATGAACTTTTATGGTGTAATTGCGCTTCCAGCTTTCGTCATATAGGCCACGATTACTAATCTAAGGAACATTGTAAGTGGTAGCTCTAGAACATTTCGTAATTGTGCGTGCACGGCAAATCAAACTGGCTGTCGGATGAAGAAGAAGATTGATTTTTGTCAAAAAGCAAATATAAAAAAAAAACCACCAACTATTGACAACTTTGTTTCTCTTTTGCCATTCAATTGCAAGTTCACTTCCCAATCAATTCACCTCAATACACACAAATACTACTAAAATGGTTAAAGTCGTTAAATCTGCTGCTGAATTCCAACAAGCTTTAAAATTCGTCGGTCTTACCGTTGTTGATTTTTACGCTACTTGGTGTGGTCCATGTAAAATGATTGCTCCATTGTTGGAAAAATTCAGTACTGAATACTCCAATGTTAACTTTATCAAGGTCGATGTTGACGAATCAAGTGACATTGCTCAACAATACGAAATCAGCTCAATGCCAACCTTGCTCTTCTTCAAGAACGGAGAACAAGTTCAAAAAGTTATTGGAGCTAACCCATCTGCTATTAAGCAAGCAATTGCTTCTAATGCTTAGATAATATATAACGTTAATGTATAACTTGTTATTTTTTTTTACTGTGCCAATTTGCAGTTCTTTACGTATGTAGATCAATATGCTACGATATACATGTTTGCAAAAAAGTCAATCTATTCCCTATACAAGTAGCAATTATCACAATTGAGTTTCAGATTTGAATCCATATGTGAGATAGAACTCTGGCTTTGTATCGATTGGATGGTAACTGATTGAAACTTCAAATGGATTTTCTTGTGACGCGTTCTCTTTCTTTAGCTTCAACACAATATCATTATTTTCTCTATCAACATCAAAGTAAGCATTGTTTTCACGGTTGTGATTTGCAAAATCCAAAATAGGTACTAGCGTCACATTGGTTTGAAATTCTGAATCGGGATTTCCTCCTTCAACCTCCTTTGGGATCTCCAACGACCTCGACCTCACGGCTTGAAATAGCTGGAAAAACTTGTCAAATGGTATAGCCTTGGTAACTTTGAAATCAGGCAGTGTTGCCTTTGCCTGAGTAATGAAGTCCTCATACTCGGCAAACACTATTTCACGCAATTCCGTAAAACTACTTGCATGTGGATCATTCTCGTTGTGTTCATCATCAAAAGAAAACACCTTTGTCAGCAATAGAACATCCAAGTAAATATCCCAGCTCCTCAATGGTGATGACAAGTAATAATTGGATGTCTTGTCTCCCTCCAGTCTCAAAAATTCAAATCCTAATAAATACGCCAACAAAATTATCGTTTCTGTACCTGGGTTGAGTATTTCGAGGAACTTAACAATCAAGTCTGACTCTTTTAAAGAAACATCCAGATCCTTGTCTCTTGATTTCAATGTCGTGAGCAAGTCTAACAAAGTGTCCATATTGAGAGCGGACTTGGAAGGAACACGAAGGATAACTGGATCGTCGGCTGTGTCGGTATTTTTACCCCTGTAATACAAACCGACACCAAAACTCTTGTCAATTACAACATCCCCTTTTATGTGTTGGCTTGCAATCCACTTTGTAAAAACCTCATTATTATCCACTCCTGGTATTCTCAATTCCTTTGAAATTTCAATTGACATTGTAGGAGGTAGGAAGCTGGGGGAGAGAGGAGCAAAAAAAGAAAAGAACCCCCCAAAGCCACGCGCTATCTGATTCAATACAGAGAGACAAAATTTTTTTTTTTTTTCCTTTTTTTTTTGGTTCTTACACCGAAACGGACTAGAAGTATCACTAGATAAGCATTGATAATGGCCTGGGACGACGAAGATTTCGATATTCCAACGAACAGCAAAACTGCTACATCGTGGGAGGATGAGGAAGACGACGATCCACTTTTAGAAAGTTGGGATGTTGACCCAGAAGAAGAAGCAAAAAAGAAGAAAGCAGAGAAGGAAGCACAAGGTAAGGCAAAAGCTGAACAGAAAGCTAAAGAAGATGAAGCAAAGAGAAAGAAGGAACAAAAGAGAAAAGAAATGGAGAAATTTGATAATTTAGATGAGAAGAGCAAGAAAGAGCTTTTAAAGAAAGCTGAATTGTCTGCCGATTTAAACAATGCTGCTGATCTTTTTGGGGGACTTGGTGTTGCTGCGGATGACAATGAAGACGACTTCGATATTAATGAACACCCTAGGGAGAAAGCTAGACGTGCTGAAGCTGAAGCTGCACTGAGGAAGCCAGTGTTGACCAAAGACACGCCATTGGAAGATCACCCTTTGTTCCAGCCAACTAATAAACAGGAATACGAGAAATTGAGGAAAACTGTGGGCTCTGCATTGACCTCATTAAATGATGATAGCTCGCTTTTGTATGCATCAAGCTTGGCAATTGATTTGATTAGAGATTTAACACAGCCGTTATCTGTCGAAAACACTAGAAAAGTTATCAGTACATTGAATGTGATTATAAAGGATAAGGAAAAACAGGAGAGATTAGCTAGATTAAAGAAAACCGGAGGTACTGCTAGTGGTGGTGCAGGAAAGAAGAAAGCCAAGCCAGCAGCTAGACCTAATGTTGGTGGGTTCAAGAAGGACGAGTTTGATGATATGGGTGGTGACTTAGACGATTTGGATGACGATGACTTCATGTAAATACGGAAAATCATTTTTAATAGAGAATTGAAGTCGCGTGGTGGTTAAAACTTGTAAATTGGTCTCTCACAGTGAAGTAAGTCCATTGCATCATAAACAGCTTTGGTTGGTTGTTTTACTCCTTTGTGTGTGGCTGTTTTATTGCAGTGGTGTGTTTCGCCCTTTGACAAGTCGTAGGTGGTACTTTTATCATCATCATCCACACTCTGATCGTTGCCAGGATAGTCTGGATTATAACCTGGATTGGGACTTTCGAACTCATCCTCTCGGGTGTCATGATTAAGTAAGAATCCAATCGTGATTTTTTGCATTGGCTTTTCTGTAACAAAGTGATCATGTACCTGAGCTGTCCTTCTTTGCTCGATTCCAAGCGGGGAAGCATCTGTAAGCGTGTCATTCGACACAATGCTTCCTTTCCAATCAGAAATTAGAGGGAATGGTTTGTTATAAAAGCCACACATGTTAAACACATCATGAGCCGTGGTAATACTATGGACCCCACTGACTTTATTCAATAGGGATCTAATAGATGGTAGTCTCGTTGGTAGTCTCGTTTGTAGTCTCGTAGTAATGGGGCCAGAAATTGAGAACCCCAAAGTGCCATTTACTTGTTCTTTTTCTTCCCATGGTCCTATCGTACTCCTTGCTAAAACTGGAGTGCTAATTATAGGTGGTGGTGCATCTACCACTTTTGTTTGTCTATTACCAGACACGATCATCATATTTCCCTTTGGTGCTGCTTTCAATCTCCTTTTTGACTTGTGCTGGGGTTTTGGAAGTTGTTGCCAAGTTGAATTAGCAAGTGGGGGTACATCATCGCTGTATATCAGGTGCAAGGTTAGTCTCCTGGTCCGTCGTGTCATTAGCCTATCTATTGGTCGATTGATTATCCCAGGGCTACGTTAGCCTTGTTGGTGAACATGAATAGTTTCCCTCTTGTTGTGTTGCAAAACTAATTCTGAACAAGACAAAAGGGTAAAAAAAAAAGCAGTGGTCCAGATATATTATCTTCTGGATAATTGCATTATTATCAATAGTTATTGCAGGATTGTAGTTAACCTTTGAGTTAATACCCTCATTCGTTGTGCACACACATCTTCAAAACAAAAGAGCTTTGAACAACCAAATTTATTCGCACGCTTTATCTACTTCTGTCCTTAAACTGCACTTACTCCATGTCCCACAACACCATCCAGCCTGCCCCAGGGCTCAACAAACGATCGCAGGTGCTTACCGGGGCTAACGTTATATCAAAGAAATCCGAAATCATCAATTTGTCATCGTTGTCGTTTTTGTTTTGTGAAATCGTCGACTGGGAGAGGAAACAGTCCAAGAATATACCAGATCTAGAAAACCGATTGAATGGACTAGGGTATCAAATAGGCCAGCGGTTTCTTGAACTTGTCAAAATAAAAGAAGGCTTCAAATTGAATAAACGAGAAATCAAAATCATTGGCATTTTACAATTTATTCATGGACCCTTTTGGAGAAGCGTATTTGGGAAGCCAGCAAATGAATTGGAAAAGTCACAGGATATACCTAATGAGTATATGATTATAGAGAATGTGCCAATGTTGAACCGGTTCATAAGTGTACCGAGTGATTATGGAGATTTAAATTGTTCGGCATTTGTGGCTGGCATTATTGAAGGGGCATTGGATAGCAGCGGGTTTAGTGCTAATGTGACTGCGCATAATGCTGGATCGGAGCAGAATCCACTAAGGACTGTGTTTTTGATAAAGTTTGACCAACTGGTTGTAAGCAGAGAGAGCTTGCGTTCGTAATGCAAATAAAGTATACACGAGTGAAGTAGTTAGAACTGACAATGAGGAGTTCACGAATGAAATATTTAACTAGAGAAAAAGAGTCTTGTAGTCCCTTGTTGTAATGTACGTCTCATACTCTCATTTCCATATTTGAAGTGAATTTCGATTGACCGGCTGAAAAATTTGTTGACTTTGCGGCGATACTTTTTGGGCAAGTGAACAAAAGAACACCCCTCCAACAATGGGTATAACCATACGTCAAGCTACTATTGAGGATGTGCAGGCAATGCAGAATGCCAACTTACACAATCTTCCTGAAAATTATCAGCTAAAATACTACATGTATCACATTCTCAGTTGGCCACAAGCTTCGTTTGTTGCCACGACAAGCGCCATTAATTCCAACGGAGAGGAGGAAAAAGTTGTCGGGTACGTTCTTGGAAAAATGGAAGATGATCCAGAAGCAGAGGATAAAACCCCCCACGGTCATATCACTTCTTTATCAGTTATGAGGACATACCGTCGTATGGGGATAGCCGAGAAATTGATGCGTCAGTCATTGTACGCAATGTGTCAACTGTTTGATGCCAAGTATGTTTCATTACACGTACGGAAGTCCAATAGAGCTGCATTGCACTTGTATAGAGATTCGTTACAGTTTGAAGTCCAGCTGATTGAAAAATCGTATTATCAAGATGGAGAGGATGCATATGCAATGAAATTAGAGTTGGTGTTGGAAAAGCTATTGCCATCATTGGCACAGAAAGGGATTGAAGATGACTTGACAAAAGATTTATTAGAAGAAATAGCTGTATAATTAGTATCTTTCCTTCATTCTACTAGCAACAGTTCTCAAATTTCCATATACTTTACCTGGCGGCGAACCCAAAATCAACGACACAACAGCCTCTCTAGCCATTCTTATATGCGTGAATCCTCCCAATATATGTATTTTGGAGTCGGCCAACACTATTCTAGTCCTTGTCGCATTTTCAATAGCAAACTTTGTTTTACCATCCTTACCAGCAATACGACCAATGGCTCTGCTCAAATGGTCACCAGTTAAAGTTTTGACATCCTTGATTTCAAAGGTCTCAATGTATAAATCATCCAATCTTAACAACGCTATAGCATCGTCAACATCGAATCCCAATGTGAAAGCTTTGATGAAATCGGCCCCCTTTTGCAACGCTCCAGGATCAGTTGTGGCTTTATTTGTTCTCAATTCAACCGTCTTTGTCTTGAGGTTCATTCTCACCTGTAGTTTCAAATGATCAACTAGAGGAGGGTATATCTTGGTCCATACATTTTTCAATGGCGTCATACGATGGGGTGGGACTGGCACTTTCCTGCTTTCCAACTTGACCTTCATATTGGACTGTGCTTCTCCTGAAAATTTGGGTTTCCCCAGTTCGTCAAGTTCAACTTTTTGTGAGTCTGCTGCTTGTGCTTGTTGTAGTTCTTCAGTAGGGATGTTTTCTGTGTCAATAAGCATGCCCTCGTCATCTTGGTTCTCCTGTGGAGTTACTACAGGTGCTTTTTCCTGTGGGGTTTCTACTGTCTTTAATGCTGTTGGTGCACTCATCTTTGTATAAATATGAATATATACTCCTTAGATCATCTCATTGCAAGAACATAATAATTTTTTTTGCTCTCACTCACTCACACACTCTCTCTTTCTCTCTATTTCTCTCTTTGTAAACTTTTTTTTTTCTTCTTCTTCTTCTTCTTCTTCTTCTTCTTCTTCTCCTTCTTTTAACTATTGTAATAGTAAATTATGTATAATTACTTAAATGTCTTATTATATATCCAATTATACAAAAGTAAAAAAAAATTAAAATTTTTAATTTATCACTCAATCCACTTGCTTTTACCAACTAATCTCACCCTTTCTCTCATAGATTTGGAAATTGTACTCTACATTTCACTTGCTTCAATAAAAGGTCAACACTAGCAACAACTCTCTTCACACAAAAGAGGGATTTTTTGTTTTCTTTATTTCATCGGTTTCAACAACGTATGAAAGCAGCGAAGGAGTTTACACAGCAAGGTTTAGAAATTCGATTTGCAAAGCACTAGCCATGAGGTCACTCCTACAAAACCACCTACAGCCTGCGAGGTGGAGTATACGGGCTCATCGAGGTACTTCAACTGTACGATACCCTTACGCTACAAGAGGCAGCACTTTGGGGATACAATCTTTCAGTACTCAATCGAGAAACTTAAATAAACACCCCAACACGAGCTTAGAAGGCAGCAAGATAACTGAGGCAAAGAAAGTAACAAAGGCAGCACTACTTGCTCGGGCCAACTCCCGCTTGAGCAGGCTTTGGATAAATGTGAAATGGCCATTGACCAGAGACAACAAGACGTCTAAACTAGACATTTCCTCGGCCTTCATATCTGGTATGATTATGGGTAATCTATTGTGGATAATTCTAGGAACCACGACGTTTGGATTGATGGTGATGTATTCACTTCATTACTTGGATAATATAATGATTGATAATAACAAGGAGAAAACACCCAGGAGTAGTGTTTTCGGTTATATATCTGGAAGCATACTATCACACGGTCTAGGAGTAAACTTGCAGTTTGAAAAAGGTGCTTTGCCGGAGTTTAAAGATGGGAAATTGAGGCTCAAGAATGTCACTGTTACATCTAAAGACAATGCTGAATATAAAGTAGTGGCCAAAGTTGAGACCATGAATGTAACCTTGTCATTTAATAAATGGTATGAAGGTAACGGATTAGTTCACGACCTTGAGCTCTATGGATTGAATGCGAAGGTGTGCAAAGACATAGATTCGGCATCAGGGACAGAAAAGTTTTTCAATGTTGATAAGAATTACCTTCTCGAACACGTCAAAATCTACGACTCCTTTCTTGAAGTTGACGATGGAAACGGCGGAGAATCTATGCGCATCAATATTTTCAACTGCGATTTGCCAAAAGTGAGAGGCGACCAATTGGTTTTGGATTTTTTCAACGCCAATAATGCCAGTGGTGCCATTAACAACTCCTTATTCACCATCCACAAGAGACAGAGTTTGGAGCCGCAGAGTAGCCCTGATGATAAATTAATCAGATTCAAATTAGATGCCATTGATTTGGGCAATATCGCAAGTGCTAATCCAAGACTGAAGTTCAATTGGATTGTTAATGGGAAAGCTGAGGTCATTGCTGACATAACTCTTCCTAAAGATAAAGAAAGCGAAGAATCCATTGGAGATGTTGTAGGCAAATTATTCAAAAATATCTCAAGTATGAACGCGTCCAGTGAAAAAGGACATGATGAATCTTTGCTTAAGGATGCCATCAATGCTATCTATCACACTTTTAAACGAGAACCAGAGGAGGTGGCAAACGAATCCTACGTTATGGTCAATGTCAAGGTTAAGCTATGGGACTTGCAGGCAAGTTTACCTTACAATTTGCCAATGTCAGCAAATTCAACACCCTACATCTCATTATCTGATTTGCGTTCGCTCATTGGATTTGTGAACCAAGAAAAATCGCCCATTACATTGAAAACTACAATAATTGAAAAAACTTCTCAATTGCAAGACGTTGAACATCTCGGTCAAACAAAGATGTTTGATGGTATTATCGCTGACATGTATGATGATTTAATGTCTATGGTTAAAGATGATGAAAAAAGAATTATTCTGACCAAAACTTGGGCAAGTGCCATTGCCACTCAATTATTAGTTTTAGGTTTAGGTGCACTCGCATAAATGTATATAGTAACTTTTAATGAAGATTTGACGATTGACGGATGACCTTAGCTTTTCTTTCTTCGCTTCACTAGCGGTACTTCCCCCGCTTTATTATGTAGCTCTCTAGCTAGATCGTTGTCAATGGGCTTGGCACCAATACCCAATGTAACTCCTCGCTGTCGATTTTTAACATCTTTGTCGTACAGGTCCGTATCATCTTTCTTCCCATTCCACCCCAATCCTCGTAGGAAAGCTGCGCCAAATTCCTCAACTGGAATCTTTTTATCGTCGTCTTCTGAATCCGAGTCTGATTCATACGTCAATTTTCTAATGACAGAACCTTGTTGTGCTGGCTCAGACTTTTCAAAAGTGGTGACTCCATATTTGAGCTCTTCACGAGGTTGTTTTTCTTTACGTGGTTGTTGTTGTTGCACTATTGACCGACTAATTTTCTTTGGCTCAATCACCCATTCTTTAAGTTCTTTTTCTTGGGTGTCGGATGCCGTGTATGAATCGATTAATTTCTTAGACTCATCAGTAGCTTCTGCTTGGAGAATTTTTTTGGGACCAGCCTTCTTCTTGAGATTGATTTTGAAACCTGATGACATTGGTGAGGAAAAGGCAGCAAAGGTATAAAACTGGTGCGGCTTGTGAGATGATTTATAATGCAGACGCTACCAAATTATTTTTCGAACACGATTTTGTAATTTCCAATCATTGGTGGGCTTTGATCAAGATGCGCTAGCCGTAGGCCTATTTACCGATAGTGGGACTGTAGTTCTACCAGTGTATTCTGAACGTCCTGTGCATTAAAGGTGAGGGGATTTGCTTTTGTGTTTGTAGCGCTAAATTGTCCGTTTTGCTCTTATACGCGTTTCGAAAAATATTTACATTTCAAATCACCATTTGTTTTTTTCTAGTTTTTGCAACTTGGCCACCACCCCCATATCTGATGCATATCATTGGCCTGGAAGATGTTAGAAAACAAAAAGATGCTATACTGGAAGAAGATACGACTAGCGACATTACTGATGTCGACGAACAGTCAACAACACTACCCACAAGCTCGCAAGAGGCAAATATAGAGCCGGTGGTTACCAAATCCAATCTGTTGATGACACTTTTAAACGGGCATCAAAAAGCGGCAAAGTTTACGGAATATACTTCAGCTTGCAAGTCTCCTGATGTGGACAGCGGATCTGCACCACAGTCAGTGACTTGTGGACCTACGGCATCATCAAATAGGCCAATTCTGCTAATGTCAATTCTAAATGGAAACAGGCAAAGGGAGGCACCAGAACAAAATAACAACACTAACAACACTAATAGCAGCATGATAAATGATAGCATAATGCCAGAAATACCCCCCGTGACCTTGCAGAATGATATCAGTGAAAGCTCTTCCAACCAGTCCAGTATGTTGTTGTCTGTGCTCAACGGAAATAAAAAGATTACTAAACCATCAGAAAAGATCCAAAAAGATATTCCTAATGATGCACAAAGCACGAAATCACTAGAGGAAAAAGTCTACTCTATGGTAAAGTCAACAACAGTAAAAGACCTATTTTCGGCGTACAAGAGGGGGTTCGATGGTAACGTGGTTATAAAATTACCACCAGCACAATTATTGAAGATACTGCGCTCATCTGCTGCAAATGAGCGTAATAAAAGTACAAATGCAGTTGCTTCAGAACCAAGCAAAGAGCTAGAATCCAAGATGTTCCTAAACGCCAAGCTGACCACTGCTCGTGATATTTTCAGTAATTTCAAGCCCAGAACTGATATTACAAATAGTACAAGCCCCAAGTCTTGCATGGTTACTTTGAAATTAGATCCCAAAAGATTGGCCAAGGTGAGCTATTTTGTAACAAAAGGAAACAATAGCAGTGGGAAGTCGTGCAGGAGCTTGTTTAGCGAAATGATGTCGGCGAGTCGAAACGTAAAGTTGACGCCGCTCCAAAAAGCTAAAGAATTGAGTCTCCCACTAATAGAGAAAGCCGAATTCCATGTTTTTGGCGGATCATTGGGCAATATAAGGCCCAGGACAAAGCAAATAGTTCATTTGGAACCTCACAGCGGTCTTGTGCCTAGCTCGCAAATACAGCCGCAAATAGATCCATACACATATGAAATGAAAGAAGTTGACAAAAGGGAATATGCATTGCATAAATTGCCAAAGCTTCAACAAACTGCCCCACTTAATGCCATTTTCAAGCTTCTTGACCACGACACAGAAAAGGATCTATGGGTCGATAAATTCCAACCGAAGCATATGCAAGATCTTCTAATGCATAAACAAAATATTGAGCGTATAACAAAATGGATAAACGCTTCATTTGAAAAATTAAAGGTACAGGCACCGGTGAAAAATTTGAACAAAAAGTTGAAAAAAAGGCGACTAGACTCATTCATTGTCGAAGATGAGACAGATGAAGAATTTTGTCTGCCCTTTCTTATTTTGCAAGGGTCTAGTGGGTCGGGGAAATCAACCGCTGTTTACACAGCCATGAAAGAGTTGGATGGGTATGTCCATGAAATCAATAGCGGCATGGCAAGGGGTCGGAAAGATATCTACAACAGCTTGAAGGAGTTATCAACTACTCAACTTGTGCATGATACAAAAGACTTTAAAAAGGGGTTAATCTTTTTTGAGGACGTTAACATTCTTTTTGAACAAGACAAGACTTTTTGGCTGGTTGTTCAAGACATCATAAACGTTTCCAAGCGACCAATTATCATTACATGTGAAGAGTTGTGGAACATACCGAAAAATGTCATTGATTTTGCTCAGGAAGATGAATCGATTATTTTCATTGATGATTGCATAGTATCGCGGAAGCTTGTAGTTGATTATTTGTGGATGTGTTGTTTGGCGGAAGGCTTTGACGTAGAGAATACGATTCTAGAGCAAATTGTCGACGACATGTGGAATGGTCACAACTATGATTTACGGGGATGTTTAATGAGTTGCGAAATATTGTGCAAGAAAAGTCTGGACCAGTTGGTGGTGATTAGAAGGAGAGGGCAAGACGGTTCTCGTATAGTAAGTGACTTGCAAGAGAAAGCACAACATTGTGAGTTGAGCTCGTGTGGAGATGTTATTGAAAATTGCACCCAATCGCAAATCCCACAGACAAGCGGCGATAACGAATTGTTTGACATCTACTGCGTGGATGACTCCTCAAGCGGATGCTTGCCGTATGAACTAAATATAGGGGATGAGCTCCAGCTGCTATCCCAGACTGACCAAACGCTACCAGCGGCAAAGTTCACATTTAATGACTTGCAATTCGAGTGTCAGAATTTCGTCGGTTCAAGAAGCAAGAAGCTTCCCACGTACTACTACCAGGACTTTGAAAAGCGTGCAACTCGCTCCAATAGTGACTTTGCCCAGCCCACGACAGGAATACCAGAAACGTCATTTATTTACAATATTTCACCAACACCGTTCATTCTCGATTTACTACCTTTCACAAGAGTATGGCAAGCATTTCAGACCCAACTAGATATATTCGAAACCAAAACTTTGAAAGAGGAGAAACCTAGTTTGAAGAAGTTTCTACAGTACCGCGACTTCCAACACACATCAACACTAGATGCAACACTAAAATTAGAGTAAAATTATATAAGTCTAGTACGCGTTTTAACCATTCCACCCCCGAAAGATCTCCCTGCTTTATGTTTGAAATCAGTCTTTTGCAATCTTCTCCATGCCTCCTCTATATGATACGGCATTATTGGACTGGCCAATTCGTCTGGTCTATCAAACAAGTATTTCCTCTTTTTTGGTTGCTTCTCCCGTTCCATATTTTTCTCCTTCTGTAGTTGGGTCAACCTATCCTCGGCGTTTTTTATATTCATGGCTTCTTCAGTGAGTGAGCAAACAATTTCAAACGTCAAAAACCCCAATATGTCAATCACATCGTCATTGGGTCTCGAGTCACACAATTGTGTCATGTTTGCCCATTCTCTAAACCGCTTCGCTTTTCGAAACGTGAAAGAAGCCTGTCTACATTCTGACCAATGAACATACTCCTCTCTTGTCATGTTCTTGGTTCGGTCGTCGGCCATTTTCAATCTCTTGAGTGACGCAATTGTAGCTGCTTTTTCCTCCTCGTCGATATGTTCGTTGTCGTCGTTGGTTTCCAAGTGTTGTTCACTGAACATGAATTGTAGCTCCCAAGGAAGTCGAATTTTTGATTTTTTATATCGCGATAGCATCTTGGAATCATTTGAGCTCTGTTGCAGTTTCCCATCACCAGGACCACCAGCAACCCCTTCAGCACCACCTTCTAATAAAGATTCGGTGCCTCCACCTTCTTGGTCTTTTGCATTCTTTCGAACATCCTTCCACGATAGATAGGTACGCAATCGATTGACTTTAGCCTTATCGTGACGTATGAGAAAAATAACATCCTCTGGTGCTATACTCTTTGATCCTCGACTGTTGGCTGTCTTCGTAGTTTGTACGAGTATTTCAATAACTTGTCCTCGAACGATATCCTCAATCAATGAGGTTGTTTCCACTGGAGGATCGTTTGATTCACCTGAAACAAACATCATCTGTTGTATCTCAATGCGATACTTGTATTTACTGTCGCTCGACATTTGATGCTCTTGTGCTTTCTGTTAGCTGTTGTGTCAGAGTTCTGCTTGTTGAAATGGTGTGTCTATTTTGACTGAATGGTGAAAAACGCGACAAATGAAGAAAAGTTTACGACAGAGATTCTGCTCTTCCCTCTGCAATACAAAAGGGAAGATGTGAAGAAAAAAAAATTAAAAAAAAAATTTTCTTACCCTACACCTTCTTCTTCTTTTTTTCTGCACCACGATGAAACTTCACTTAATTATATTGAATGCTAATAACCTTCTTCGAATTGGCAGGACAATAATGTTGATTTGAAGGCATCCAATTTGATTACATTGAAGTATTCAATCACTACAAGGTTTTCAATGATGACTCTGAGTGCATTTGGCTCGAGACGTAATGTCGATGTGGAAAAACCCACGCTACCTTATTTATTTTGTCTGATGATACCTTTAAACCAGTGATTGATACTTGAATGTTTGAAATTGAATAGATCTATTGCATATGTGATACTTTTCACCTCATCTACAAATTTTTCGAAAACTTTTGTGTTGATTCAATTCTATTTATCTATTAACCAAAGAGTCTTATTCCATTCGACTCTGCTTCAATCTCATTATCTGATTCCTCTTTGTCTTCGGCTTCGTCCTCGTTCATATTCACCTTTTGGCCCAACAAGGATGCGAAAAACTCGTCAATTTGGTCATCGCTCCATTTCCATCCGCCTATGGAAGTTTCAAAATTGGCAATTTGCTCCTGTACGTGAAATTTCAATTTCCTTCCCTTTGAAGCTTTGGTATCTACATTGTTCTTCAACTTGTTTGCCTTTTGAGCTGACCTGATTATTGTAATGTTTGATGTTGGATCCGACGATTGAACTTTTTTATCCACTAAGTCATTCAACAAAACACGATAAAAGTCCTCATCATCAAAAATATATGGATTCTGTTGGCCCTGTGCCTTTTTGCGTGGGACAATTTCTTCATCCACCTCGTCATCATTTTGTGGTGCAGCGGAAACTTTCTCTTCCTTTGAGTATCCAAGTGGCACAACTTGTTTCCTATTTAGTTTGGTCCTTTTGATTAACCTTTCCATGTCTGACAAGTTGTTCTTGACTTGTTGCTCAAATGATTGATTGATGGTCTTGAACTTGTTGGCATTCATGGCCGAATTTCCCGATGAGTTTTGAACCTTGTAGGACCATTTGTTTAAGATACTTGCACGTTGACTTGTCAAATTGTTGTCCGCGGTCTGAATAGCATTCGACATTGCTTCAAACGATCTCTTCTTAGGTGGTGCGGCATCCGTGTTCCCTAATTGAGACCTTAACAAAAGAATATTTGTCAATAAGCCATACAAAGCTTGTTTGGCATCCTTAACCAAGCCATCGCTATCTTCAGACTTGTATTCATTATAGGTAGAAGCGTCGATAGGTAGTTGATTAGCACTGTTGGCTGCTTTCTGAAATTTGATTCTGACATCCACGATTTTTTCATAAGTTTTGTACTGCTGCTTGACAGCATACCCTTTCAATGTATCATTTATTGCTGACTGTGATAATCTGTTTACCAAATGTGATTTCTCCTTATTCAAAAGTTGTCTTACCAACAGCTTTTGATGCATAGGTGTATCAGAAGATTGCTTCCTCTCGGTTTCTTCATCGGATTCGGGCTCTTCGCTTCTGTTTGAATCCGACTCTAGGCTTTCTTCCTCCAGACCCTCCAGATCCTCCAGATCCTCCAGATCCTCATTTTCAATTTCTTCATCATTATCGATGCCATCCAGCTCATCTGAGCTTGAAACCTGGTGTTCCCCTTCGTCATCCTCGCTACCCTGGGATGAATTGTATAGGTCGTCTCGACTCACCACGTCACCAGTATACTTTTTACCTAACCTTGGTCCTTGTTGGTCCCTTAATTTGGATTTGGACGAAGCCACATAGTGGTCTTTTTTCAATTCCTCATCGGACAATTCTTCTTCTGATGAATCATTCTCTTTGTGTTGAAAAACATCCTTGCCTGAAGGGCCATTATCAAAATCTTCTATATCAAACTCACTTTTTGGTTCGTAAAAGCTGGATATTTCATCCGCAAGTGTTTTCTTGGCCATGTGTGATTGGTGGGTGGTGGGTTTTGCTGATTTGCCTGAAAGAGATGCTCATCGTAAGAGGTGTAATTTTATTTTTTCGAGTTCAGGTGCGTAAAGAAACTTAAGTCCACAATACAACGGAGGTGTAACGCACCATCTTCCTCGATTTGAAACGTAATCGTATGCCATTTCAATAGTATCGCTATTAATCGGTACTGTTGGCTATTGCACTAGAGAGGTTCAAAGGACGTGTTACACCAGTTCAGTAAGATGAGATGGCATTGTACAAGGCGCAAAGAAGCCAATGACAAGGTTCAAGGACAGCAGCTTGCTGCTACCCAGTCAATATGCAGAGCCATGAATTGGGCACTTTGGTTTAACGTCCTTGACCATTGAAATACAGAGGTAATCACGCTAGAACCTATTTCACGTGATCTCGGCCCAAAATGGAAACAGAAAATTTTTTTTTTGTTTCTGTTTCTGTTTCTTTTTCTTTTTTTTCCCCCTAGATCCCATTCCCATTGTTTTGCAAAATCTGGCGCGTTGAAACAACAAAAGCAAACCACAAAAGATTTGAAGGCTGTGAGGTTACAGGAGAACAACAAATCCCTTTCTACGGTTCTTCTTTTGACACACTATCCATACAACAACGCTAGAGCTGCTGGTTAAACTTTAAGACAAGTTTATTAACATTCGCTGAACAAATCAGGAGGAAAGAAGATACCCAACCCCCCCCTTGTCATTTTTATTGCTTGAGGTACATTTGATAACGTGCTAAGCCCACTAGAATAATTTTAGAGTCAACTATACACTATCACAGAAGATGCAACTTTTGTACACGCTATTTTATCTTGCCCATTTTGTTTTGACCGTGCATGGATTGGCAAATCAAGGCGCAGGAGGAGGTGCCGGAGGAGATGCTAAGACAAGTTCCAATACAATAGTATGGATAACCACAACCATGAATGGTAAGTTAACAACGGCATCTACAATTTACAGCCAATCCTTCATGTCTACATACACCGAAGCACAGACCGACGACGTTGAAAGTGGAGCTATTGGTATGGGCTCATTAAGTGGATCGGTGGGAACTCAGAGATCATACGATCAAACAACAATATCAAGTGGTGCTGCAGATGGCGCTTTTTACGTTCCTTATAATGTATATACGGGACTTGTTGGCGGGTTCGCTGTGTTGTTGGGATTATTGTAGTAGTATTTAGAGTTAGAATTGAGATTACATTTTGTTACGTTGTATTAGTAGTCTTGGCATCCTTACTTTGAGATTCAAAAGACAGCAACCATGTATCTGCTGTAGCCCTAAGAGTAATATGCTAACTCCTCTCGCTATACTATGGCTGGTAGTAAGCCCAAAGGTTGCAAAAGTAACTTTGCTCATTTGAAAGAATAGCAACGTGCTTCCGCCAACCCTCTCAACCATTTTATTGTTCAAAATATCCTAGCTAAAGCTTTACATCCCTAATCTTAAAGCTCACACATCCCTCCTCTATTTCCTCCCATTTGCACTTATTGGGTTACATCAAAGCAGTTCGTCAAAAATACATTTTGTCGTGCGAATGTTGTTAAATCTAGTGTACTCTTAATTTTTTTTGATATTAAAATTTTTCTCTCTTTGCAATTGGAAAAACCCGAGTGCTAAGACAGTTGTGTCATTCGAATTACAAACTAGTATGTTGATAACCCTTACTTTGATGATTTGCTGAATCACCTACTAACCGTTTATAGATCATGTCTGAAGATCTTGCTCAAAAAACTGAAGATTTGTCCTTGGATGCAAAACAACAAGCAGACAAGACTGTTTTTGATTCAAAATCAGAGTTCACTGCTAAGCATCCATTGAACAGTAGATGGACCTTGTGGTACACGAAACCTCAGACCAGTAAGACCGAAAACTGGCATGATTTGTTAAAACCAGTCATAACATTTTCCTCAGTGGAAGAATTTTGGGGGATTTACAATTCCATTCCAGCAGCAAACCAGTTGCCCTTAAAGTCAGACTACCACTTGTTCAAGGAAGGCGTTAGACCAGAGTGGGAAGATGAGGCCAATGCTAAAGGGGGTAAATGGCAGTACTCTTTCCGCAAGGGCGAAGCCACTCCAATTATCAATGATTTATGGTTACGTGGTTTGTTAGCTGTCATCGGTGAAACTATAGAGGACGACGAGGATGAAGTAAATGGAATTGTTATCAACGTCAGAAAGCAAGTTTACAGAATTGGTATTTGGACTAAAGACTGCGACGAGTCAAAGTTGAAAACTGTGGGCGAGAGGTTAAAGAAGATCTTGCAATTGAAAGATGAACAAAAAGTCGAGTTCATCTCTCACGATGCTTCCAATGTTAGAGGTGCAGAGGCCCAAATTGTTTTATAGTTAATGTGGCCAGCGCAGTTATAGTGTGTCTACTTTTTTTTGATTAATGTATATTTTCTAACGAATCACAAGCCTACAGGGTTAACTTTGTCTTTGATAAATGTATGAATTGTGTCCCAATAAGCCTCTTGCAAAACAGTGTCGTTGTGGTAACTATTTTCAAACTTTACAATCTCCTTGCAGTCACTGGGTAACAATCTGTAAATCTCGTCCATGTGTTGAGGTGGGACAATTTCATCTTTGCGGGCACTGAGGAGTAATACTGAAAGCTTTGGCGAGACTTTTGCAAGTAGCAGCTCCAGATCCCATCGTTGATGAACAAAACTTGTGACATATTTCAAAATGGGAAAAATATGAGGAATTGTTTTTTTGATTGACAAGAATGTGTTTTCCAAAATCATACCATCAATAGAGGCGGATTTAGTTGCAGCAATGTAGATAGCAACTGCACCTCCCAATGATCTTCCGTACAACACTATTGACGATTGTTGATACTGACGGTCGTTTTCGCTCAAGTATTCCACGACTGTGTCTGCATCCTTTTTTAACCCCACCTCACTTGGTGCACCAGTTGATTTCCCATATCCCCTGTAGCTATATATAAATACATTGTATCCAAACTTCTTATAGAAAATCGAAGCAATGGGCAAACTGTGGCCAATATTTCCCGCATTTGGAGAAAGTATAAGTACCGTTTTGTTGGTATAGTTGGGGCTCTTGCTATCCTGTTTCATCGAGTAGCATTGAAGTGTTTCTCCATCCGTCGTGGTGAGGTTTACTGCCTCATAGGGTATATCGTATTCATCCGGGGTAGCACAGTATCCATGACCATCATTTAATGACGCTGGGTATATAATTGAGTTCTGGTAGTAGTAAAGACCAAGTAACGCTAGGAGAGCCATTCCACCACCAAGCTGAGTCGCGGTCTTGGCAATATTATATAATGTCCAGGCCATGTAGGTGTAACGTTACGAAGAGTGTGGACGTCTCTAGGAAAAAAAAGTTTAAAGTAAAGTACTCTGAATATCTGGAAATACGCGAACTTAGGCCTCACTCTCTATGTCTCAAAGTTCACAAGGGCAGTACAAGTTGGCAAAGTTTGCTTTTAATATCTATGGGTCGTTGGGAACCCCACAGTCCAATGAATCTGTTTCGCCGAGTTCCTCTCTAAATTCGAGGAATTCAAAACAACTTCCTGTCAATTTCAGTGATAAGATTGATCAAAAACCAGTCTTTACTTGCGACCGTGAAGCCCAAGCTTTGTCTCAGCTCAATTGCGGAGTACAAGTCAGCAATTACAACAGTGGGAATGAGCTCCGCCATCATGCAGTTATTGGAGGGAAAAATTATCTTCGCTTATTATGCTTGAATGAAGATCAGCTGAGGGTCTTGCAAGAAATCAACTTGTTGGATTCAAAATCAATATACACTTCCAGAGCTCCAAATAAACTAAACAACATAAACACAATCAAAACAAACTCAAACACAGTTGCGTGTGGACTTGCAAATGGAGCGATTTCCCTATACAAGGTTTCACCGTCAGGACAAAGTAAGCTACATGCAAGACTATCCGACCATAAACGATGCATTAACTCCCTTGACTTTGTCGACTCGGAAAATGTCCTCGTTTCAGGGTCACAAGACGGGAGTATCAAGTTGTGGGACTTAAAGGCTTCAGTGACAAAGCCGGTATTATCGCTACATGCAGCTTTGCATAATGACCCTATTAGAGCATGTCAATATAGCCCTCATTCAGCAGTCAGGAATAAAATATGTATATTATCTGTTCATGATTCAGGTGCCTTGTGCAAATTTGACTTGCGTACTAGTCTAACAAGTAATACGCAAACACCAGATCGGAAATGGAATTTACATTCTGGTCCTGTTTTATCTATGCATATACATCCAGAGAAGGAATATGTGGCAACTGGTGGTAGAGATCAAAAAATCTGCATCTTTAACTATAGTGATTCCCAGTCTTCAACAAGGACGTCTCCCGAATCGATGATAAATACATACGGATCTATCTTGAAAGTTCGATGGAGTCACTATTCAAATAATCATCACAAACCAAGTGAATTCGAAGATCGAAGTGCCAATGCATTGTCCAGTTATGACATAGCTTGTCTGTACCTTAATGATGACCCCACAATCACCACCTTCAACTTAGATCGAAAGTTTATTCCCAAACGCGTTGTTCATTCCTATGAACAAAAGCCAGTATCTAACTTTGTGTGGGCTCAAAATGAAGCACAATGCAGCAAAATATGGGCATTAACCAAGGCCAATGTGTTTACCCTGTACAATCTAGATCTGCAATGTGATCTTGATGTCAATCGGCCATTGGATGACTTGGCCAATGTTGCCATGACGTGGGATTCAAATAACAATTTCATGATGGTCAATCAAGACAAGCACCAATTTAGCACGGGTGAGGAAGCTGGAACAGAGTTTTATGACCTGGGAGATGAACGCATCCACTTTAACGATCATGACGATGCAGATTTACTCGCTAGTTCACTTGCGGCTTCTCCAGTTGAAAAGCCGCTGTTGATTAGGTCGTATTCATATAATCCAATGCTGCAACTCGCTGCAAAGTCCCCACCCCCCATATCGAGGCACATGAATTCTTTTGAACCACCGCCTTCTTCCCCAGCGGGGTCGGCATTTGGCAATAGAAGACCAGCCCTTACTAAAAACCCATCGCAGGAATCGACAGCTTCATTTGGGTCTGCTCCTCCACTTTCTTCTACTAAGACAAAAAAATTGACTAAAGAGAGCACTTTGTTTTATTCTCCTTATGCTACGCCTGTTACGCTACCGTTACCATCCAACGATGAATCCATCTTCCAGACCTTGTCCACTAACTATTTGACAACAGTTCCTGATGGATTTGGTGTGTTTGATGTTTGTCTATTCAATGCCAATGTGGCGGATAGAGCAGGTCTCCACCGAATCTGCCAAATATGGAAGATGTTGGCCTCAAACCTTTCACCCGAGTTATCAGGACATGCAAAAGATTTCCCCGAAGAGAGTCAAGATGGAGCAATAGTAAATCCACACGAAAGCACAAAATCACTGTCACATATACAACAATCCATCCAGTCTGACTTGGGCAATGTTATCGGCTCTTTGAACTCAAATTCCACGCAGGCCACTAATTACGGCAAAAATTTGTCAAAACAGCCAAGCGATGAAGCTTCTCATTACACGTTGCCTCTGGTCCAAAATAGCCGTGCAAATAGCTTCACTCAACTACGAGATGCCAACTACGATTCTGCCAGTCTGCATACAAAATCAAGGCCAATTCTGATCAATTCAGAGAAACAAATGACTGATTTTCAAAAGGAGAATGTCGATTTAATGAGCGCTGCTTTTCCTACCTCTAGTCCAAACTCATTAGGATCAGCCCGCACACGCACAAGTCTCGAGTCTTTTCCAAGATCTCCACGAACTGCAATACAGCGCAAATTTTCCGATTCACAGCCACAAAATCACTCTTTAGCAAAGCTCTTGCTGGGGAATAGAAACCATGCAAGTGAAGACAGAGTGCTTCAAAAATCATACTTGTCAGCTTCATTAAACACTGATGAATCGAAGGCTTGGGACTTTGGAAAATTGTTACGAAAATCACTTGACTATGCACAATTACAAGGTGATGTCATATTTTGTGCCACCGTGAGTCTATTGTTTTATGACATTACTACAGAGATTGCAATAGAAGAATGCTTGGATTGGCTTCTGACGTACATTGAAATCTTACAAAGAAAACAACAATTTGTTAATGCTACTAAAGTAATAAACTCTGCCCCGTTTGAAATACGGCAGGAATTGACAAAGCAGTACACGGCAGATTTGGTGAGGCTATATTGCTCCTCCTGTTCTAAGTTGTTGATAAACGACACTTCAAAGCACAAACAACGAGGTGAATTTGGGTACTGGTATTGTGATGCATGTCACAAAAAACAACTGAATTGTATTTATTGTAACGAGCCTAGCAAGGGCCTAGCTGTTGTCGTAAGTTTAAGATGTGGACACCGAGGGCATTATGGTTGTTTGAAGGAGTGGTTTGTTGATGACGGGAATCTTGAGTGTCCAAGCGGGTGTGACTTTAAAGTGCTTTAGATAAGTATCAAATCTCCGATTTCTAAATGTCGTTTGATCAAGCTGTATTTGACTACGTAGACTCCGTTTTTAACCAACTCCAACTCATCATCTTCCAAGTGAAGTAGTATCAGTGCTTCGGATGTGCATTTCACAAATACAAACTGGTCAAGGTCTGGAGCAACGACCATGTTTTGTCCTCCACTGCTATCATCCAAGAAGGTTAATATTTGCGGTAGTTTTTTGAGAAAGCAGTTGTTGTACAACAGAGTCAACAACAGATAATACTGGTGAATATACTCTTTCTCCTCTGCTGATAACAAATCTCCTCCTCCATCATCCTCTCTATTGGACTTATTGATGTAAAAAATAGTAAACTTGTTTATCTTTGATAGTCTGGTACGCAAATACAATCGAACAATGTAGCTTAGCCTCTCAACGTCGGTTTCAACAATCATCAACTGTAACTTGAAATCACTTGATATAACCCCATTCGCGCTATTCATCTCGCCATACTCATGACTATCGAGTAAATACTGTTGTTGGTTTGAAATATGCGTCAAGATTGAATTCATCAAAGATGCCTTGTAAGGTAGAAGCTCTGGAGCCATTCTCTCATTCGTCACCACAGTAATGAGCTCCTGACAAATGTTGGAAGTAGATGCTTGCAACTCATTTGTCGATGATTCCTCGAATTCCCTAAGGATATCGTCAATGTCCATTGTGGTTGTTCTGTCTGTATCCTACAACTTTTGAAAAAAATATCTCAACATCGACGCGTTGTTTACATCAAACACATTTCTTGTTATACAAAAATGGAAAGATGTCAGAAGAAAGACAGCAGTTATTAGAACAAAAAAGGAAAAGGCTACAGGAGTTAAAGCAAAGAAGGAATGGGCAATCCGCGCTGGTTGTTGAAATGCCAAGGCCAAAGACGGCAGTGGACGCTTCGACGCAGACCACAACAGAAAACAGCAATAGTTTGAACTTGGACAGTTACGCTGCCCCAGTTGTGACTTCGCTGAAAGACCAGCCGCTAACAGATAATCGACAGCTAACGAGGTTTGATGTGGCAATTCAAGCGACAACCGACGACACTGGCCATACGCGTGCAGGCAATACTGAAATGACTGCCACCAGATCAATCTCGACCAAGAAAGAGATCTCTTCTTTTGATCTAAACGAAGCATTGATAGAGTCGGTCAAGCTCGTCAACCGGATCCAAATCAACAAATCAATCAACTTGAGCGAAACGAAAATAGAATCTAAAACAAATTCAGCTTTTATCAAAAGAACGCTTTCGTTTACGTTGGATCGGCAAATTATAGATCTTGATGTTTCACCCCACAAGGAAGGCCAATTTGTTGTCTGCTATACAAAATCGACTACGGATAACTATGATGCGATTGTTTTTGATCAGGTTAGCGATAAGCTACTTCCAGTAAATTATTTATCTTGCATTTCTGTCATCACAAAGATAAGGTTCGATGTGAATAACACCGGTCGCATTATTGGCAGTTCGAGTAATGGTGCATTGTGCATTTGGGAGATTGAATTTGCTGCGTTAATTCAATCACCTTCATTATCTACACCTCCGAGCTTCTTAACAACCAAAAGAGAGTGGCAGCCGCATTTGGACGAATTAGTTTTGCTACAACAAGTTAAAGTCGACACCAATGAGTGCATCTTGACTTTATCAAAGGATGGTGTACTAAATATCTGGTCCAGCAACTTATTAAATAAGCCAAAGTACTCGGTTAAGTTGAGCGATGAAGCCAGTGGAGTACGGATAAAGGACGCGGTATATCTTGGTAATGACATGTTTGTAGGCGAAATCAACAAGCGTTTGTTGAAGATGGTACTTGTTAGTCTTGACGGGAAGATATATAACCAGGAATTAAACTTGATTCATGAAGATAAACACAGTCTTGTAATCAATTCTGTGGAGAGTATTGGCAAAGACATGATCATATCGGCTCATTCAGATTGGCAGTTACGCTTATGGAAAGAAGGGCAGACTGCACCCTTTAAAATACTATCTATGTTCTATGTGGCCAAGCATATCGTGAAAAGGCCGCATGCTGATTACCAATTCATTACAGTGGGCTTATTCAAACAAAAGTACTACGTTGACCTTTGGGATATTTCCAAAAAATTGTATTCGCCGTTGTTGAGGATAGTAGAAGAGACGGATCCTGTGCTATGTGTCAAATTCACTGAATACGATGACATTTTGATTATAAAGAATAGCCAAATTTCACTCTACTCGATCAACGAGAATTACAATTGGGAGGTTTCTGAAAGTAATTTTGATAAAGGTCTATAGTTATACATAGTTAAACAAGTTGTCTCTTGATGTGATGCTGATTGATGTAGGGACGCTCAAGTCTGAAGATTCTTGGTGCAAGTTGATACAATCATTAGTTGCAAGGACCAATACTTCAAAGAAACATCTAGAAGCTTCTCTTTTAGAATTCACATATTTCTTGTTTTTCAACCCCAATGGTCTTATTGCCGTTGAGTCAGCCTCTACAAAATCCTTGAATGAAACACTTGCGTCCAATCTGAACAAGTCTTGTAATTCATCGGCTGCTTGCTTTGTACTCTTGGCAACATTTTCCACGCCATTTTCACCAAAAGACTCATCTGCTGAGTCCTCTTCTTCTTCGTTATCGTCTTCGTTATCGTCTTCGCCATCAACCTTGCGAGATTTTGAAGGTGTTTCCTTTTCGCTCTCGCTATCTGACATGGTAATATCGTCCATGGAATTGTCAATACTATCGTCACTGTCGTCAGTTGAGCTGTTATTCCCACCTTCATCGTCACTGTCATCTTGTTCCACCGGTATCCTAAAATGTAAATCCGAGCTAAAATCCCATAACTTTCGCTTCTTTGACGCTACTGGAAGTGATAATTCTTGAATTAGTAGCAATTTGTCACTGTTTGACATTTTTGAACCGGTCAATTGTTTGGAGTTGACGTGGATTAGTGTGTTTTGCTGATTGTCTCTCAAACTGTCTAGTGATATTTGCAAGTTGTCTTCGGAATCTACCACCAACTTCTTATTCACCACAACCATCTCTCCATCATCGGTTATTCTTGTTCTTTTTTGCCTTGGTCTAGATCTTGCTCTTGGTTGGATGGAAGTTTGTTGGTTTTCGACTGGTGACACCTCGTTGTTAGCAAGACTTGAGGATGAGACGTAGCCGTCATCGAATTCGAAATCAAAATCATCAATGTTTTGTAACGGTTGGCCAAGATCTAGTTCAAATATGTTGTTTGATTTGTGGAGATCTCCTAATATAGAGTTGTGTTCGTCATCTCCCACATTAGATACATTCCTCCCAAGCTCGATTGAGCCTGCAAAACTCTCCCTTCCATCATCTAAGTTTAAATCAAAGTCCAAGTTGATATCTTCGTCTTTATCTGCAGCATTATCTTCCACGTTCTCCAACCTACCGTACTCGATGGATCCTACAGAGGTATCGAATCTCGAAGCATCATTTTCATTGTTGAAGACTGTATCCAAAGGATTGATGGGCTCTTCCTCGAGTTGCAAGTTTTCTTGCCATAACAAGTCAAACCCTGTGACTTGGTCCTTCAAGGTAATTGTATTCAAGTCTGAGATTGTAGTATGTTGTGGTGGCAAGTTGACTTTGGCGGACAATCCATCTGGTCCAAGTTGAACACCACTCGACATTCTAAACACAGCTCTAAGTTTGTACAAAACGTCATTGATGTCATCCAATAAGTACTTTGTTTTGCGCGAATATATCTTGGTTACACCCAATAATAACTGGCCGGACAAACGCAACGTGATAGCATCCATTTCAGTTGGGGAATCGGGGTCGTGACTTGCGCTAGTACGATTACTGATGTACTTTGCCGATTCAACAATATCTGTATTAAGGAGCTGGTGTTTGGTTAGCTTCTTGTCGTAATTTGCCGCAAGCCATATGTCACCCAAGGGGCCATCGTTTGATATTAATGAAGTGTTGAGCATCTAAGGGGGAGGGAAGGAGTTATTTAACGAGCGATTGAAATTAACAATATAGCGAATGGATTGAAGAAGGATGTGCTTTATGTGAGACACTGAAAATGAGTGACTGGGTAGTAATTACTTGTTATATGAGGTTGAAGTATAACTACGTCTTTCTGAAAACGATGCTTCTTTTACTGCCCACGAAAAGTTTGGTTTTTCCATTTGTTTACATTTGAAATTTCATAAACGCGTATAATGCTAATTGAAAGAAAACGCGATTGTAAATGGTAGCGTTGGTGCTACCGAGCGTGACTGCAAACCCAAAGGAGGCCAAGTCATTTTATTCTGGTGTGGTGATAGCCTTTGTCCCTTCATCTTCAAGGTGGTAAGGAAATGATAGCTTAAGCTTCAATTAAACTTTGAAAAAAAAATTACACCAAAAGGGCACCATGCAAATTGATTACTTAAAAGATTTTGGTAGTATTTTTATGCAAAATATTCAAACAACTTGAGTTTAGAAGCGGTAAGTCTAACTTTTGAATTAAGCAAAACGGTGTTCAAGAATAACACAATCTAAGGAAGGAAGAGATAAAACAAATGTTGACTTGATAGACTTAAATAACATCTACGTTCCTAGTGTATTCAAATTGTAACATCTCCTTTTTAGGCATGACCTCATTGTGGCTCCCATCTTGCCCTTTTATCCTCCTTACACACCCCTATCGATTCTGAAGTACGCTGAGGTGAACTCAATTTAGTTTGGACTGATTGCACTCTTTAAAAGTGCAGTGTCATTTTGCGACACAAGAAAAATAAAAGTGCGTCGGAGGTGATTGATTACACACCAGTCCAGCCCTTCACAAACTAACGATGTCAGCCAACCTACAGACCAAACTAGAAACATCCCTCAATGAGGTTCTAAAGACAGCGGGCTTTGTATTTGAAGTTATCAATAATAACAAGAAGCAGAGTGCCTTGATAACGGGTCCCAACAATCAATTAATACAGCCAACAATAATCAAGCAACTAACAAACCACATCAATGAATTTGATTCAATACTAGACGAAACGATCTTCAAGTTCAACGACGCAAAGTGGTGTATTGATACTATGATAGAGAACAAGCAAAAGCAAGAGGAGTTGAAGATCAAAGAGGAACTAGAAAGGCAGAAACGAGAAGCAGAGGCGAAGCGTTTGAAAGAAGAAATGGAAGCAAAAAAGAAGGCGGAAGAGGAGGCCGCTGCAAAAGCAAAATTAGAAGCCGAAGCTAGGTCAAAAGCAGAGTCAGAGGCAAAAGCACAGGCTGAGAAAGAAGCCGCTGAAATGGAACGACAGAGGAAGCAGGAGTTGGAAAAGAAAGAACGCGAAGAGGCGGAGGAGAGACAAAGGAAGGAGGCAGAAGAGAAAGCTCGACAAGAGCAGCAACATCAGCAATCCCTGAACCAAGTGCCGGATCAGTTTGAGAACTTTGATGATTTGATGGACTTTGATATGAATGATTTGGGACAAGATGAGAGGGGCAACATTGACGATCAGAATGACTTCTTGTCCTCCATGAATTACGATTCGTTGAACTTGAACATGCCCTTGGATGGTGCCAATAAAGTCGACAATAGTGTGTTTGATGACTTCAATATTGACGGCTTAGATACGGGTAAGCAGGACCAGCAAAATACGGCGACTGACAATACAGCAAAAGACGCCCAAGGTGACAAAGTCGAATCAGCACAAAACAAACCGCTTGAGAATGGAGATGACATGGATTTAGACATGAATAATTTATTGGGAAACGACGAACTGATATTAGACGGCTTGAATATGAGCTTACTAGAGGGCGGATTTGACGGTGGTGACGACACAAACAACACTAACAACGCTCAACTTGGCGACGAGTTTGACGTTGACAATTTTCTAAATCAATTTGGTAATTAGATGTGTAGAATTGTATACTTTTTGACGCACGATTAACTTTTGCTTTCCCCTTCCTTTTTCTTTTGTTTTCCACATCATTCCTCTTTAGGAAGTCTAGCCTGCCAATTATATTGAAGCATAGGAAAAAAGTACTGCATACAACCACCTTTATGTTTTTTCGCTTTTCGGTCAACCAATTGAAAAAAAAAAAGAGAAGAAAAGAAAAAACCAGCCCAACGTAAAGAGAGCCAACGTCAATTTCGTCCAGGATATACTACTACAGCTCGCACAGTCACAATGTTTAGACAATCTTTCCGTCAAGTTGCCAAACAATCTATATCGGCTGTTAGAAGAACTTACGCCACTGAAGCTGCACCATCTTCAGATGCTTTGAAATTGTCATTGGCATTACCTTTCCAAACTTTATACGCTGATTCAGAGGTGGAACAAGTAAACTTGCCTTCAGTCAATGGTGATTTGGGTATATTGGCCAACCATATTCCAATTGTTGAACAATTGAGACCGGGTTTGTTGGAAATCATTTCCAAAGGAGGCGAAACAGAACAATACTTTGTCAGTGGAGGTATTGCCATGGTACAACCAGGCAACAAGTTGACCATAAGTGCAATTGAGGCCTTTAAACCAGACCAAATTGATGCCAGTGCTGTCAAGAACTTGATTGCCGATGCACAAAAGAGAGCTGAATCGGGTGACGAAACCGTTGCCGCTGAAGCTAACATCGAGTTGGAGGTCTTGGAAGCTTTGCAACATGTTGCTAAATAGAGCATTTGGTAAGCATCAGTGCTGAATAGTTGCCTTGGCTCAGTAACCAAATCATGATAAATATTCCTGTATAGAAATTAAGAGAGGTCTGTTTATTAGTAATTTTTAAGTGTAAAGAATGTGAGGATGATTACTCACTCCGCATCTCATCTCTGGCTTCATATTGAATATGCTGGCATTTGTTTATTGAGTCACCGGGGCCCCACCGCGTTAGGTAAGACAAAGTCAGATATTCGGTGAAACTATGTTGTTCGGAGAAATTGTCAAATGTTTTTTTTTCTTTGCTATTGTTATGTATAACTTGACAAAAAGAAAAGAATGGGGTGATGGGGTAAATTGATTGATCTTCCCGAGTTGCACTCCCCACCAGACAATTCCAATTGTGATTCGATCTGTATCATATGTAGACCAAATTACTAGGGAGCAGACACAATATTACCATTCAAATGTTGGATTCTGCCGGGCGGGGGGGGGGGGGGGGGTGCAGTTCAATACAGAACAGATACTCGCGGGAAAGCAACCTGTGCACATCTAAGTTCTGTGTAACATTTATATTTCACCACTTATTATACCTATAAATAGAGTCAAACATTTCTACTTATTCACTGCTGGACAAAAGTTTCTCAACTATTCCCTTTATTCCTCAACAGCCAACATGCCAGACTCTCAACACGGTAATCCATCGTTGATGCTTAACAAGATCGACGATTTGTCGTTCGAAGACCTTTCAGTTCCACAAATCACGGAACCCTTAGATGTTATTGTCGAAGTTAAAAAGACTGGGATTTGCGGGTCAGATATTCACTACTATGCCCATGGTAAAATTGGTCAATTTGAATTGAGAAAGCCAATGGTCATGGGTCACGAATCCTCAGGTGTTGTCAGCAAAGTTGGACCTGGTGTTAAACATTTGAAAGTGGGTGACAGGGTTGCAATCGAGCCAGGTGTGCCATCAAGATACAGTGAGGAATACAAGTCTGGAAAGTATGAGTTGTGCCCATGCATGGTCTTTGCTGCTACTCCTCCAGTCAACCCGGACGATGAAAGTGCTCAAGGGACCTTGTGTAAATACTACAAGGCGCCAGCAGATTTCCTTTTCAAGTTACCTGACAGTGTTAGCTTGGAATTAGGTGCCATGGTTGAGCCATTAACCGTTGGTGTCCACGCCATCAAGTTAGTCAATTTGACATTTGGAGAAAACGTGGTTGTTTTTGGCGCTGGTCCTGTTGGGTTATTGGCAGCATCGGCAGCCAAGGTTTACGGAGCACAAAATGTCATGGTGGTTGACATTTTCGACGAAAAGTTGAAATTGGCAAAAGATATTGGTGCTGCTACACACGTATTTAACTCAAAAACCGGCGACTACAAGGATTTGCTCAAAGCTTTTGGTGGCATTAGGCCTGAGGTTGTTTTGGAATGTAGTGGAGCTGCTCCTTGTATCAAGTTGGCTATCCAGGTTGTTGCTGATGGAGGAAGAGTTGCCCAAATTGGTAATGCTGGGGGTGATGTTCCTTTCCCAATTATTGAGTTTGCTACCAGAGCCATTCGTTTATACGGAAGTTTTAGATACGGATATGGTGATTATGCCACCTCAATCAAAATCTTGGAAAAGAATTACGGCCAAGGAAAGGAGCACATTATAGTTGATTTTGAAAAGTTGATTACAAACAGATTTTCATTCAATGATGCTATTAAGGCTTATGACACTGTGAGAGAGGGCAAAGGCACTGTAAAGTGTATAATTGATGGTCCAGAATAGACGTATAGAGCTACCAATTGAAGTTATAATTTTCATTTTTTTTTTTTTCTTTCTTTCTTTCAATTTTTCATTTTTCAATTCTTTAAACCCCTGAAGCTCATTCACCAACGACCATGTCTCTCACAGCCAAGGAAGCATTCGCAAAGCTTCCACAGAAGCTACATAACTTTTTCATAAAATACCCACCAAGGCCCTTTTCTGAATATAAAAATGGTCCATCGGTGACGTCTGACCCGGAAAAGAATCCCTTTTTCCCTAATAAAAATACTGAAACAGGAAGATGGCATAGCTCGCTATACTCACGCCGAAGGTCAGCAGACTTGTTCAAGTTAGCTAAAAAGTTTGGCATACATGACCTTTTACCTCCAACGCCAAGGAAGTTCCATGAAGACAAGTACGTCAACAAGAAATGGATGCAAGGAATGGTTCAACCAGCCGGCAGAGCTGACCAGGCTGAGTTGGAAGAGAAGTTCAAAAAGAGGGAGGAAGCTATTAAGAATATGGACAAGACTATCGCCAAAGCAAGACCTGGCTATAAGAAGTTGTTGAAGAAGAGAGAACAAAGAAAGCCGACATGGTTTTAGAATATTTTGTATATAGAAAGAAGAGCTCGGCATAGCCGTGGAATCTTCAACCCGAAACCAATTATAAACTTAACTAATGCAAAAGCAAAATTGTCTTCTGCTCTAACGCCCCCTGCCTCTTCCTCTACCTCTACCTCTCAACCCGCCTCGTTTGACGGGTTTTGCACTTGGACCAGCCCCATGACCCTTTATCTTTGTTTGTGCTTTCTCCAACACACTGTCGATATTCAAATCCTCAGGTAGCAAAATCTGTCTTATCTGGTTTCCTCTTACATTGATGTACTGTAACAAGATTGGATCTTGGTACTTTTGTTGTAGCTTGACATTCTTTAAATTTAGATTCATCAGTGGTGTGCACGACAAAAGCGTCCCATTTATAATATTTCCATTCTTCAATTCAACCGTAACAGGTTGGTTTGTGGAGTTGGGTATGTTCATCAAAAACCGTACCAATTTCATCTCGTGTGGTCTTTGCAGAGCAAGTCTTTCTTCAACTCTGCAACAACTTTTCTTCATTTTAAAGTTTTTTTTTTTATGTTCAAAAATAAGTGTCAAAAGCTCAACGCCACGTCAGATTAGACCAAGATGACTAACGCATTGCTAGAGAATATAAAAAGCATTCCACCAGTGACTCGGTTTTTCACTATATCCACCGTGTTAGCATGCTTGGGGGTCACTACATTTTCAGCATTTCCTTCATTGTACATCAATCTTGGCGAGCTATTGAAGGAGTATGCATTGGTTCGAGCTGTGGTTCGTCGCGGGCTGTACTTTGACATTTTCAAAGTTGTTGCCACTACTGTTTTGGGATGGTACAGGTTTGTCACCTCGTTTATGGTTCCACCTGGTATCATGTCTCCCAACCGAATCAACGCCTTATTCGATACTTATTTCTTCTACACCTTTTCCAATCACTTGGAGGCCCATGAAGGTAAATTCAAGGGAAACTTTCCTGACTACTTGTGGTTTATCATATTGTGCGGCTCGTGCATACAAGTGTCTAATCTAGCGTTGGAGGCCATCACTGGTAACTACTCACTGGCAACGTATTTTCCACATGAAAACTTATTAGCGTGTTTGACTTATGTTTGGTCGAGAAGTTTAAAGAATGCAAGGATCAACTTGCTAGGTCTAATTCCCATCAAGGCATATTACTTGCCTTTGGGTAATTTAACTGTGAAGCTTATTCTTGGTGGACCGGTGTCACTTATCGATACTTTAGTTGGGATTATAAGTGGGTACTTGTACCTTTGTGTGCAGCTGAACACCATGCCGATTTACAACTTGTTGCCGGGAGCTTATGGAATGTCAAAGAAAAAGAGAAACGATGAAGGTAGAAGGGTCGGAATGACTCACGTTGATACTCCATCACATTTTGGTGGGTTTCAGGCTGACTATATTGATGATAGCATATATGACAAGGGTTACCTAAAGGCTCCTCAGTGGTTGTACAATCTCTTATCATACCCCAATAATACGTCTGTGAGGACTACAGCATTTACACCTGGTGTTGGCGCTTCCAACAGGGTGACAACGTCTTTCTCAAGAAATCAACCTCAGAGAGAAGTAACACCGACTGGTAGCACCACGGGATATTCCTGGTTTGGTGGAAGTGGAACGGCATTCAAAGGCAAAGGACACAGGTTGGGTGATTAATTAGCTACTTTGTATAGTAAAAGAAATACATCACTTTACAATGTGTGTACTTGACCCTCGTGCGTTGAGATAAAGTCCCGCAAGAAGAGAAAAAAGAGAAAAGTGTGGGAATAAATTATATGCGGGCATGGACAATGCACGACGAAAAGCTGTCCATACATTTAGAACAGAGATAGCTTTTGCATTAGACAATGTCCACACCAATTGCTTCAGGACTGTCGAAGCCAAATCCCCGAAGAGCGCTCAGCGAAGATCAACGAGATCCTGGTTCCTCGACAGTGCTGCTTGCTGGAAGCATTTCGAGAAACAGGTCAACGAGTGTACAGAGACGAAAATCGAAGCCGTCATTAAAGAAACATGGCAGTGTTAGCCACCCTAAATTGATATATTCAGTTGATGATGATATTAATGAACAAGCCGATGAAAACGGTGAGAGACCTAGTGGAGAGGAGCAAGATCCCAAGAATAAGAACGACAAGGACTACCTTGAAGGATATAACGACGCATTGAGAGCCTTTCAGCAGCGGAAAAACAGCAAGAGTCCCATGAGACTGTATCAAGATATTTCTGATAGAACACCGTTACGGACACCATTAAGGACACCAGACGAATTGGCGGATATTGAGTCCGTGATTGCCAGAGACTTGCACGAGGCCGAACAAAATATTCGGAGATTAAAGGCAACGGATCCGAAACGATTTGGAAGTACTGATAAGCTAGACTTGGAAGAAGACATCCAAGGCGAAGATAATGATGTTAATGGCGAAGATGGAGATGGTGCCGGAGACGCTGATGAAAACGGGTCAATACATTCAAACTCATCCACCGAGTCCTTGAATTTAAAAGATAGGCAAAATGCCATTAATGAAACCCACCCTTTTGGTATAAAAATCTGGAAACCGTCCTTGTATAAGAAAAAGAGATCAGTGGCTACAAGAGCCGACGAGGATATTCATGATTTTGATCCACGACGCCCCACCTCGTCGAGAATTTTTTGGGGTGTAAGGCTTACTAATTTGATGTGGAGTTTAACAGCAGGTTTGTTGATATACGTGTCTTGCCTAATTGGTGCTTTGTTTGTGTTTGTATTTTCTGGCTTTGCCATAGGTTCGGGGCTGAGATTATACGTGAGAGCGTTCTTGAGATTGGGGAGGTATTGGCTCTACCCTTTTGGAAAATTTGTTCTCTTGAACAAGGATAAGAATTATATGGATGAGGACCAGTTGGAGGGGAGAACTCTTAATGAGTTTCACCAATGGAGATTGCAAGAAGAAGGAAGGCTATTTTTTGCACCGCCACGACGTTACACTGGCTCCGCGGAAGAGTCGACACCGCTAATGAAAGATCACAGGGGAAGGCCCTTGAGGGATGCCTACAATTCGTTGGCCGTAGACAACGAACAGAGTGAGCAGCATCCAGATGGTGATGCATATGACAACGATGAGAGTAATGATATCAAGGTCAGATTTTTTGGACGTGGGGATTGGACTGCGGGAAGAATCGCATTTTATTTGTACTTTTATGTCATAGTGCAGCCGATTTCCTACTTTTTTGGTTTCCTAAGCTGGTTGATTGTCTTTACCATTCCAATGGCCAATATCACATCAACATTGAACGATCATGTGAGGCGTCACCCATTGGCGTTGGACTTTGAAATGGAAAAGGCATATTACAAAAGAAGAGAAAAGGATCCATCGTTGAAGAAAAAGAAGCAGATGATATTGTTGTGTACTTATAGGTGTTGCGGATGGCATTACTATAAATACACTATTGATGGTACAAACATCTTTTTCATCAATTTGCTTTTTATGGTTTTGTTTGTCATTGTCGATTTCTATTTCTTAAAGGAATCTTTGCATTGGAAGTCCTTCTTGACTGATTCAAACACCATCTTTTGTTTATGTTTATTCTCGATTATTCCCTTGGCCTACTTTATTGGACAAGCAGTGGCTTCAATTTCAGCACAATCTTCGATGGGTGTTGGTGCTGTCATAAATGCATTCTTTTCAACTATTGTCGAGATTTTCCTTTACTGCGTTGCTTTGAACCAATCCAAAGGCAAATTGGTCGAGGGTTCTATGATTGGCTCTATCCTTGGTGGTGTTTTGCTTCTTCCTGGTTTGTCCATGTGTGGAGGGGCATTAAAGCGTAAAACGCAGAGATACAACCCGCGCTCTGCTGGTGTCTCTTCAACAATGTTGCTATTTGCTATGGTTACAATGTTTGCTCCATCATTGTTTTACCAGATTTACGGTTCTTATGAAATTAAATGCAATGGGTGTGATGAAGGAAGCGGAATTGATGACTGCACAAAGTGCCGGTTTACTCAGCCATCGTTTACATTGGATCCTTTGTATTATAAAGTGATTAAACCATTCTCACTCATCGTTGCCATTGCATTGTTTGCGGCGTATGTTTGTGGGTTATTCTTCACCTTGAGAACACACGCGTCGTTAATCTGGGCAACAAACTCGCACGAAGCAGTGAAGAAAGAGGAACATCTGAGAATGCCAAGCCTGGCAAGTATAGCAGGTTTGGATCAAGGCAAGCGGCTGGAGTCTCAGCAAAGGTTGTCAGTCGTGCCACCGCGTAACCTAGATAGACGATCTGTTGACAGCATAATTTCCGCTTCTGAAGCTGACGTGACCAAGGAAGCGAAGGAGGATGCTGAAGAAGGAGGAGGGCATGATGCGCCCAACTGGTCGAAAAAGAAGTCAACGATAATTTTATTAGGCGCCACTGTCTTGTATGCCATCATTGCCGAAATTCTTGTTGATAATGTCGACTCAATTCTTGCTGATTTCCCTATCGATCCGAAATTTTTGGGATTGACCATATTTGCGTTAGTTCCGAACACGACTGAGTTTCTTAACGCCATTTCTTTTGCCATCGGTGGGAACGTGGCATTGTCGATGGAGATTGGTAGTGCTTATGCGTTGCAAGTGGTTTTAATACAAATTCCTAGCCTCGTGGTCTATTCCGTTTTGAAAGATTTTGTCAATGTTGAGCAGATATTTTCCCTTGTGTTTCCACGCTGGGACATCATTGCAACATTGATATCAATTTATTTATTCACTTACATCTACGCTGAAGGCAAGTCTAACTATTTTAAAGGTGTGATTTTGATTTTGATATACCTAGTAGTGATGATCGGGTTTTGGTTCAATGGTATCATAGACGGGTTAGATGATGGTTTGGGGGATTATCTGGTGTTGTGGATCCATTGAGCTATTTGCATTTACGGTGAATTTCGTATTTAGTGTTTGTAAGTAATTTAAATTGTCAGCCTGTTAGAGGAGGCTCTTTCTCCCTCGCGTGTTTTTTTTTGTATCAGTGAAGTTAGACGCAAATTTGAAAACTGCACAAACGAGTAATGGCTTCGACTTAAAACCCCATGAATATCGACAAATTGATCTTGTTTGGTGACTCGATCACGCAGTACAGTAACCAAATTGTGGACGGGTTTGCACTACAACCTGAACTACAGGATTTGTACATTAGACGATTAGACATTCTCAATCGTGGCTTTAGCGGATATAATTCAGAACACGCTAGGTTGATTCTTCCCAAAATCCTCGAAGCAGAGTTGAATGAGTCAAAGAACAATGTGAAAGTGATGACCATATTTTTTGGCACCAATGATGGTTTTGTTGGTATAAATTCCATCCAGCCAGTAGAGTTACCAAGGTACAAAGAAAACATAGCATTCTTGGTTAAACTAGCACTAGAGAACAACGTGAAACCAATTGTGGTTGGACCTAGCTTGCATGATCCTAAAATTGGAGCTGAGTGTTTTGAGTACCTACAGGAGCAGGAAGCCGTGACGTGTGAGAGATATTTGCATTATTCAGAAGCAGCAAAAAGTGTTTGCCTAGAGTTCAAGGTTCCGTTTATTGATTTATGGGAAGGGTTTAGAAAAGATGGTGGCTGGACTAAGGAGCAGTTGTTTGCTATTAGAAAAGATTCTCCTCATGGGGAGGTTCCCTCATTGGGCGCCTACTTGTGCGATGGAATTCACTTTACCTCCAGAGCGTACAAGATATTGTTTAGAGCTATTGTAAAAGCGATTGAGCAAAACTATCCCGAGTATTTACCCCAAAATTTGCCTTATAAACTAGCGTACTGGAGAGATATAGACCACACAGATTTAGATTCCATCTTCAAGGAAAAGGAAGGCAAAGATAGCATATATTAGCATTATAGATCTATATAATTTTCAATCAGAGTCTAGCTCGATTGAAGTGCTACTCTCCTCAACATCTTTCTCTCTTGCTGCTCTTTTCTCATCTCTGATACTCAAAATGTGCACTACTAGTGTCAAGATTAGCCCAACGGAAGCCAAAGTTGCTGTGTATGTAAATCCAATAAAATATTCAGGCTTGTCATTGGTGTTCCAAACAAGGATAGGAACCCAAGCACCAGTCACATACGCCAACGTATTTGTAACAACAACAACAAAATTTCTCTTCAAATCGTCGGCAAATAGTAACCGATTGACCCAGGAGAAGATAAATGGCTGACCCCACATTGTGGGCACACCAACCAAGAAGTATGAAAACCAGTGTAATCCTATTGGAATGCTCCAGGATGCAAGTAACGCACATCCTATAACCAAGCAAACGAAATAGGCATTGACAAACCACACATTCTTCCTTCCACCTAAAATGTCATTCACATAAGCAAAGCATATTGTTACAACTATGGCAATTGCACTTAGGATCGATGGCCACGTGTTATACACACTTGAAGGCTTGTTCAAGTAGTTTTTCATAAAGGACTGAAAAGTCGGTTGGCTATTTGCAGCACAGCTATTATTGTAGCACAAGAATAGCAAGGGAAATACGTAGATGTGCCAGGTGTTGAAGAATGACTTGATCTTTTGCCAAGTGAAAGGCTGCCTCGTGTTGAGTTGAGCTCCTATTAACCGTCTTCTTTCCAATCCAACCAACTTGTCCTCATCAGTAAAGTAAAATGCGTCTGTTGTCAGTGGCGTGTTTGGATCAACAAGCATAGTGTATAAGCCAATAGGGAAACTGATTATTGCATCAAATACAAACATCCACTTAAAAGGCGGTAAACTTGAGTGTTTAAATCTCTTAATAATAGCTTCCTGTAAAAGCGGACTGATTATTCCTGCAAGTCCTGAACTAATTGCAAAGTAGGACGACCGTTTCAGTAACTCTGGTGTACCGTAGTTAGATCCCAACAAGTACTCCAAAGCAGGGAAATAGCCCGATTCTAAAAACCCAATGAAAAAACGCAACGCATACATTCCTTTGATGTTGGCTGGCGGGACCGTAATCATCAACAAGGTCAAGATCAGCCAAAGTATCTCTAACCCACCGAGATAAAACCTGGCAGATATCCTATGTAAAATCATATTGGATGGAATTTGGCCAATGATGTACCCAACTGTGAATAAAGTAACCATGTAGTTGTACTGGTTATTGTTCATGCTGTAGTATTCTTCCATCCCGTTCACATATGCTGTGGTTACATTGGACTGGTTTAAATTCTTGATAAAGTAACCCAAACATGATGAAGTTAACAAGAAGAAGTCCAACTTGATTAAATACTTTTGCTCCTTGGGGTGTTTCCCAGTTCCATCCCAAAGCAACTTCTTGATCTTAAAACTTAACGAGTTGTTTCTTTGTCTGATTTCTTCTGCAGTCAAAGGGGAACTAGAAATGTCAATGTATTGTGAAGGGATCTCTTTTTGTGAGATACTGACATCGTTATCCTTGGTTGGGTTCAAGGGGTTGTTTGAAAATTGTGATGAATTTGACGAGACCGTCGCGAGTCTGCCCACCTCCTCTTTTGCTAAGATTAAATTCTTTAAGTTGACCATATCGGATTTGCAACCGCTGTCAAAATTTCTCTTGGCAAGTACTCAAACAGGAGTGGATTTTGAATTGTGAAAATACAGTCCCTTTTTATAAACGCATATAAAGTTCTATACAGTCCAAGATCCTTAGTAGTAAATTCAAAGGCGGTGTCTTTGCTAATTTGAAACAATCATCATTGTTTAGCACCAAGTGTGGAAAATTAATTGCAAATGGATTAACTGTGGCGTACTCCTTTTTATTAACTTATTATTGCACACAAAATTAAAATATTAGCAATACACTACCTAGGGAACTGATTTGTCATCAAGATGCAATTACTGTCCACAGGGTGTTGGGTTATGAGATATCCATGCATTAATGTTATCTATCTTTGAAGAAGGGAGGGGGGGATGTCTATTTTGCTGGAAGCGATAATTGTGGCGCTCGATCTCATTAAAAAATGAAGCGAGAAACCAAGCCGCACCGAAGATAATGATGGAAGTACTCTACCGTAGGACCTCTCTGGTAAATACAAGATAGTTTCTTCTTCTGTGCTGCATTAGATTGAGACTTTCATTATCGCCCAATTGTATGAACTCTATGAAAAAGCTGTTATATCGTAATTTTTAACAATTCATACCTCCTCAAAATAGTGTGTGTGTGTGTGTGTGTGTGTGTGTGTAGGGGGGGGGGGGGGGTAGGTGCTTTACACTGTTGGCGATCAGAACTACCTAGTATTGTCAGAGACAAGAAGCTTCTCCTAAACATGCGATTATTTCACGTATACTTATCTAAATTTCGCAACTGTGGTTGCAAAAAAAAAAGAAACTAGGCAATAGCTTTATACGAAGTAGGCACAATGGAATCAGCTCACCTCCTTTTAGAAAACACTTATCTTAACCTCATTTGCTTGACTAGATTTGTATAATAATAGCCATTAAGATCCTGATCCTTGTGTTCCGAAAGTGGCTACATTTCAATAATTATGTGCACCTGAATTTGACCGAATACCGTTGATACGTGTGAAATGAGTGCTTGGTATTCCCCTCACATATTTGGCTAATATAACCAGATCACAGCCACTCTTTTCTAAAACGTTTAACCATTTCTTTTCCTTTGTTCGATTAAATGGAGTGAAATTAAGAAGCGGCCCGGTTTCATTACCGGTAGCGCGATCTTCAAATGAGTCAATCTGAAAATTTTCGGATCACTTGAGAGTAAAGCACGTTCTATACCTAACAGTTCAAAAATGAGCACACTGGACAGTAAAAAGCAGTTTACTATTGTCGTGAAAATTGGGTCGTCATCCTTGGTTGATGCTGTCACCAGGGAGCCCAGAATTGCAAACATGGCCCTCATTGTCGAAACCATTACCAAACTTCGTCGTCAAGGACACAGGATTATCATAGTGTCATCAGGAGCTATTGCATTCGGCATGAAAGTAATGCGTTTGGAGAAGAAACCATCTAAACTATCTGCTGTACAAGCGTTAGCCTCCATTGGACAGGGCAGATTGATAGGCTTGTTTAATGATATGTTTCGACAAATGGATCAGACTACAGCACAAATCTTGATAACAAGGAACGATATAGTGGATTACACTCAGTACAAGAATGCTCAAAATACAATCAACGAATTGCTAGAATTGGGCGTGATCCCAATTGTCAATGAAAACGACACCTTATCCGTTTCCGAGATCAAGTTTGGCGACAATGACACTCTATCTGCTATAACTGCAGGTATGATCCATGCGGACTACTTGTTCCTCATGACAGACGTTGAATGTTTGTACAGTGATAACCCAAGGACGAACCCAAACGCAGAACCTATTTTGGTAGTTGACAATATTGACGATTTGAATGTGAGCACAAATGACGAGGCCGGAGCAGGCTCCAATGTTGGGACGGGTGGAATGACGACCAAATTGATTGCCGCCGGTCTCGCCACCAATGTTGGTGTTACTACAATCATCACTTTATCTACTCAACCGCATTATATTCTCGACATTGTTGCTCATATCCAGTCTCAAAGGGAGGGAATTAGCATTGCAGAGCAACGAGATATTTTGCAAAGAGACATCGCAAACAAAATAATCCCATTACATACAAGGTTCCTTAGTTTACCCCAGGATAGTCAAATCAAATCAGACAAACGATTCTGGATTCTTCATGGCTTGAAAACCAAAGGGGCATTAATTATAGACGAAGGATGTTTTACTGCTCTTACAAGGAGAGATAGGGCAGGTCTTTTACCTGCCGGGGTTATCGATGTTGTGGGAAACTTCCATGAAAATGAATGTGTCTCGATAAAGGTTGTTGCAGATAGAACCAAGTTGTCCAGTCAAGATATGGTTGAGGTTGGTCACTGTCGTGTTAATTACACTGCCAATGAAATAAGAATGATCAAGGGTCATAGAAGCAACCAGATAGAGTCTATTTTGGGGTATGCCGATAGTGAATACGTTGCCCATAGAGACAACTTAGCCTTCCCACCGGTTACCCCTTCCTCCTCAAACTAAACCCTGTAGTGACATGATGGCGTACCCATGTGTATATAATGATGTATATCAAAGAAGAAACTGCCACTGGGACTATGTCCCGCCTGCACATAAATTATAGCGCACACTTTTTTGTTCGACAAAAAGCTAACACTTCAGTCCCCAAAACCTTCTTTAATCACATTGATGAGCTGTGTGTGAAAAAAATTCACTCATTCATGATCCCTCATATCACAGAGCCCTTGATAGATGAATTACCTGTAAAGGAAAACGAACGCATTTCTGCTGTTGCGGCTCACGATCGAAATATTTATATTGGAACTTCAAAAGGTAACTTATTCCATTATCATTTGTTTGAAGATGCGATCCAATACTTGCAAATCACTCTGCTTTCCGTTGGAAACAAGGAGGTGACGCAATTGGTAACGTCTTCAGCCTTGCAAAAGTTGTTTCTTGTAATCGATGGTACACTTTTGGTGTTTCTGCTTCCAGAGCTCAGCCCATTTTCTGCCAGGCAGTTGAAAAATATACGACACATATGCCTAATGGAAGATGGGGTTTCAATCATGCTCATAAAACCATCAGGCATCCAACTAATTCAGCTTTCTGATAAATCGTGGAAATTATTGCGAGAGTTCAAGCATGAAGGGATCATACTGGGAACGGCTCCCCTCAACAACTTGATTTTGCTAGCGAATGGAGAATCTTATGAAGTACTAGATATGAGCTCAGGAGAGACCATCCCTCTATTTGATTACAAGTCAGACACTGATGTTCCTCCATTTATTGTACTTTTTAGTACACCCGACTCGAAAGAATACTTGCTCACGGTTGCTTCAGACGAAAACACCTCCATTGCACAATTCGTTGATACATCTGGAGATGTAACCAGAGGTACATTAACATGGTTGAATCACGGCTACCCTCGGGGTGGTGTTACTATTGATTGGCCGTATGCGTTTGCCATGTTTAAAAGTTCGATAGTAGTGTCTTCTTTGCAATCGCTAGACACTGTATTAGTAATGGATATTGACAATGCAAGCCTCCCACAGACACTGGAAAACAACGGCAACGCTGGAAAACATTCATGTGACTTTCGTATCCAGAAAATCAACGTTTTCTTTCAAGACAAGTCAACAGAGGAAGTGACTGGCCAGCCAATCGAACTGAGCTCTTCTATGGTTGTGTTTAGCGAGAAAACATTATATGTTATTCATCAAGATAATGAAATAACTGTTGCTAATAGGGCCTTTCATGAGGCGATGGAGTCAAATGATTTTAAACACTTTTTTGCTGTGGCTCATGGTGATCTGCCATACGTGCACATTCTAAGAACTATGGCTGCTTTTTTAACTGAGCAGGAACCGGTAGAGCTACTAACTGAGAGAAAAGATGGTCGGTTGATTATAGAACCTAACTTGGCGCTTCGTTTATTGGGCTACGAATACCCTTTCTTTATGTATCCTGGATTGAATGAAATTCTAGATATGTGGGACTTTAAAGATGACGATATGGCCAAGAGGTACTTACAGAAATTGAAGCTCAATGACATGAGCTCCGAAATAAGACTATTGAGCTACAAGTTTGTTCCAGAAAATGATCTTGATTCGTTGATTGCTGCAGACAAGTGGACTTTTTCTGGAAATGACAAATCAGTAATAGAAATATTGATTGAAAGGAGCCAAACAGCAAAGGCCTCACGCATCTATCAAATGATTCCAGAACTGCCAGAACTCGTATCTGCTTATAAGGATTTTTTATTCCAGCACTTACAGGTCAGCCTTGTTGACGATGCATTAACCTTTTTAGCCAAAGAACACCTTGAGGAGAAAGATTACAGCAAATTGATTTTGGAAATCATAAAGTTAAACAAAGACAAGGGGTACGCCTTTATGCGAAAATCTACAATGTACCGCGAAATCAATCAAAAAATTTTGAACGAATTATCAGATGACCTGAAGGGAGAAAAGGACTATGCTTTATTACGGATTGAGCTACTTGAATCCTCATTTGCTGAAAATGGTGCATTAAGAGGTGAATTATTGGGGTTAATCTTCACTACGTTAACTGCATTATATGATGATGATATAAAGGAAATTTTCAAAAAGCTACACGACGAGTACAAGGAGATGAACAATCTTTCCAAATACAAGTGGCCCAAAATATCCTGGGTTAACTTTTTAGCTTTCGCTAAGGAACAAAAAAACCAAACGTTTATTGAATTATATCTCAAGTCGTTCGAGTTAGTTGGGCTGGACGACAAGCGCTTAGAGGGGGCGCTCTTTGCTTACCATAAACTTTACACAAAACAAGACATTCAGGGGTTGCTTGATTTTGGTGACTACTCTACAGCAGAAAGGCTAGCTTTGGGTGAGCGCGCAGCACAACGAAAGCGATACTACAAGTGGGAAACTGTAAACCAGACAGGGGTCAATAACGAAAGTCTTTTAGTTATTTTCAAGTACTACTTGGGGTTATATGAACGAGATCAGCCTGTGGAGCCAGCAATCCAGCACTTTGTTGAAAGTTATGCCAAAAATATATCACCAACGGTTATCATCAAGCTACTACCGGACCAATTTCCATTAGCGAATTTGACAAACTTCCTAAAAGAGTCACTCGTTGGCTTACAATTCAAGTCGCGAGAGGAAGTAATGACCAAGTCAATAATCAAATCGGAAATAGCTAGAACTAAACATTTAATAAAAGATTTTCTATAGAAAGCCTAATAGAAGTAAAACATAGTCAAATAGGATTCCGTACCAAAAGATGAATCCAGTTTGGATGTTGGACGTGAATGCACTCCAACAGCTTTTTTCATCATCAAGATTAGCGTTGACTATTTGCTTGTACAACCTTGTAATGGCTATGGCTCCTCCAATGTAAAAACCAGGACCCATTGAGTTCATGACTCCTGCCATGGTGTAAAACCCTGCCTGTGCAACCGTCAAGCCTTTGAGGATTGGTTTAGTTTTGTCACCCCATGCCAATGCTGTCGACTTGATGCCAGCTTTAATGTCATATTTTTTATCTTGATGGGCGTAAATTGTATCGTACGTCAAACACCATAACCAATTAGAGATGAATAGAGGCACCCCCACCCACAAATTCAAAGGAGCTCCTACCGCTGGAAAGCCCAAAAGACAGCCCCAACTAAAACAAATCGACAATATAACTTGTGGATAGTAGGTAAATCTCTTAAACAAGGGGTAAGCAAAAACAAACGGTAAGGAAAATGCTCCCAAGTAGAAACACTCCCAGGGTAAGCTCAATAGAATACCCAAGCCTGCAAAACATTGCACACCAAGCCATGCAACAGCTTGTAGGACTGTCACTCTTCCACTGGTGATTGGCCTCTCCATGGTCCTTGCTACTTGGTTATCTAAATTCCTGTCCCAAATATCATTGATAGTACATCCTGCACCTCTCATAATAAGTGCACCTGCTGAGAACAATCCAATTGCACTAAGTGTCGTAGTAATTGGAGCCGCTATGGAATATGCAGCCATAGTTATTCCCCAATAAGAAGGTATCAACAACAACCAGGTACCAACAGGCTTTTCCAACCTCATTAGTTCAAGGTACGGTATCCACTTTTCGGGAAGATTTTTAAGCCAACCCAATTTTGCTTCTCTGGTAAGCCGTGCGAGTTCAAGTTCTTGCGGGGTGAATTTAGACCTTGCAAGTTCAAGTTGAGCTTGGTGGGTGTTTGGGTGTTTCACATTGGAGCTATTCAATTGAGACCAAACAGAACATGTGGTAAAAAGCCTTCTTGAAGCTGGTGCTCTAAGAGGGGAAAATAAACGAACGGACATGGTGATGTTGATCAAAGATGAAAAGTTGAAGCTGATATTTTTTTTTCTCTTTATTTTTCTTCTTAACTTTGTGCGTTGACGATTGGTTAACCATCAAAAGCTTCAAACTCCTGTTCGTTATTTGGCAGTAGTCTTTCCCTCATCACTTTGTGCCCGTCAATCAATGTTTTTAAGTTGGAATACTCCTCCAGCGAGCCGTCCATAACTGGTTTGAAGGTAAATATCTGTCTACACATAGGGCACAATCCCTTTGACGACTCTTGCTCAAGCCATTTCAATATGCAGTGTAAATGAAAGTTGTGAGTGCATCCATCTCCTAGTATAATGGGACAGTCGTCACCGGGGTACTTGCACGTGGGACATGCACCATCAAAAGAGACACGACAAATTCCACATAGCTCCTCGATGTACCCACTGTTGTTCCCATTGTTGGAAAGAGACGAAGATAAATCCCAATGCCAGGTGCAGTACCCCTTCCATTCAAGTACAGACACCTTCATTTGAAAAGCTGGTGGGGCGGTGGTGTTGTTCGTTGTCAAGAATGTGTGTGAATATTTCCAATAGATTTTATTTTCTTTTTTTTTTTTTGTTTTTGCAACGCAAGATTTTACAATCTAAATCTATGTATGCTTCTTATACACGAGGCCTTTAAAAATATCAAACGAGTTACCATCAGGTTGCAAGTGCAATATCTCATGATTCTTTTCATCTTCAGCAACTAGCAAACCATACTCAGGGGTTATACCCTTGATGGTACAAGTTCTAGACTCCCCATGGTCACCAGAAACAACTACTCTTTGATCAGAGTGGAACCATCTCTTGTAATACAATGGCAAGAACGGACGCAAGCCGGACTTTTTGAATACCGAGTAGAATTGGTCCATGGTGAATACAAGTTTTGCTAATAAAAGTTCAGGCTCGTATGGTGATAACGTAGAGTGTCCCTTGCTCTTTCTTATATCGTTTAGCTTACTCAACACTAGATTCAAAGATGTCGTGGGCGCATCATTAGATACATTCACCCCTCCTCCCCAAACCAAGTTGAACTGGCCATCGATATATTGCGAGTTTATCAACGCGCCAGATACCTTGACGTATTTTTCGTCATCCCCATCAACTGTAGACCCTACTTGGTGATTCAAGCTATCAAAATACTCTGGTTTCAAGATGAAAATATCATTGGGCCACTTGAGGCGCACCGGCATATCCTCGTAGCCGACGCCTTCTCCAGAAATGTTACTTCCGTAGCCTAAAATAGCCTCAATGAGAGCTAATCCACACAAATATTGCAAAGTTACCACGGACGAGGAAGCCAGTTGCGATTTGGGTATTCTGAACAATATAGAGGTAGCTAGTACGCCACGAGGGTTGATCCAGACATTGCCGCCTCTGCCTCGACCTGAAACTTGAGTGGATGCTGTCAAAGTGAATCCATTGGGGAGGTATTGCAACCAATGCGGGTTCTTTTCAAGAATAGTGCTAGTCGACGTGATCACTTCGGAGTAGCCAAGTATACTTCCAAATTCTGTGACAGCATCTTTTGATAATTGGCGAAGGTTATCAAAGTACTTTTGCAAGTTAAAGTACGGTGTCATTTTACCAGTGGGTATATTTCCCGAGGTGATGAAATTTACATGCTTGGGCAATTTTGTTGGATCCGGTTCATCATTGTCCTCTTGCGCCTCATCCTCGTGATTTTGAGGATGAGATTCATCTTGAAAGATAAATGTATCATTGTCATCCTTGAAAGCGCCATTTTTGATTTCCAAGTTCTCTTTGAGTTTTGAGTATAAGTTGTAAACTTTTCCTGAAAATGGAGAAGCAATGTACATGGGGGTAACTTTCGGAGTTGTATCTTCCACATCTTCACTAACGCGAAGTCCTAATTTTCTCAACAACTCTCTCATGAATATCTTCCTTCCCTGGTCATGTTCTTTGATCTTGTTTACAACAGGCTCAAACTCCTTTTCAACATCTTTGAACAATGCCGGTGAAAATTCGGGATGTGGCCCCGTTAAGATAACACCACCTTTGCCAAGTTTTCTGTATATAATAGCAGCTTGGTCCTGGTCATCAACGTCTGTCTTGTCATCGTATCTCGCTAAGACTTCGACATCCTTGAATCTCGAAGTATCAATAAATACACCCCCGCCGTTGTAGTAAGTGTAAACGTGTTCCGGAGCATGAGGTAAAGCATGGGTATTGACCAGTAGTTTCGAGGCCCTCGCACCAAGATGCAGTTCATATTTGAATCCTTTAAAGGCGCACCCTCTGCACGTCCCAGGGTAAAATGCAAGTTCTCGGGAACCTGATACTTCCAATGGTCCTCCAACGTCAAATTCGCACCTCTCTGACGAGTAATATCCACCTGCACAAAATCCAATAAATTTCCCTCCATCTTTGACATATTTTTTAATCTTTCTGTTTCCATCGCCATTCAAGAGCTGGCAATACGGTAAATCGGCCCCACCAGGGATCACCAACATTGATGTCTTTCTCATCCATGGTTCAGTTAGCAAAACAGTGTCGCTGACAGGGAGAACTGCATAATATTTCGATAAGTGGAGTCGCAATGAGTCAAGGCAATGCTTGACACTCTCTGTAGTGGTTCCAGGACCTGAGTACACCAAGACATTCATTTGATTGGATGTAGGAAAAAACCGACCCCAACAAAAAAAAAAAAAAAGAAAAGGCGAAAACCAGAAGAAAAACAAAGTTGACAACTTTATATACCAGTGAAAATAAAAGTTTCAATTTTTTCGTGACTCTGAGTCATCTTACCAGTGCCAATGATACAAGACCAGAAGAAGTTAAAGCTAGATCCCAAGCCAGGATTTGTGATAAAAACCAAGATACTAGAATCTAGGAACAGCTCGCAGGTTTTCACAAAAGTTTTTATCAACATTTGCCACGATCCACAGGTACCGAAGCCATCGATTGCCTTTGAGCCTGAAGTCGTGTTCCCCATGATCATTGACAACCAATGGGAGATCCCCATTGTGGTATCCATTGTCAAAGATTCCAAAGATAAGAAAGGGTTTCCATCGTTGGTTTACGACTGTTGTATCAACGATGAGTGTTTTCGTTGGTGCCAGATTAGCAAAGATTTGAAGCTTATTTTGATAGAGTGGTGTATTGAATCTGTCGAGATGGTTAATTCAGTTACCTTAGAGAGGGAGTACAGCATTCCCAAAATGTTAACCAAAGGTGAATTGACCCAAACCGAGTTGACGCAGGAAGAGTTGAGTGATTTGGGTTTCAAGAAGCTACACGACTTGGAACAAAACGAGACACTAGGCGTAATTGAAGAACTTAAACTAGAAGGTGACAACGAGGAAGAGGAAAATCTACCGGACTTGTTTAATATAGGTGGAGAGGGCGCCCCTAAAAAGTCGTTGATTGAGGAAATCTAGTACAGGGGGGAGGCGACAAGAGTGTAGGTTGAACTGTATTTTCATTCATGTCGTTGTTTGCTGGAGTAGTAGAAGACATTGCTGAACACTAATTGACTTTAGTATTATTATTCTTAAACCCTCTACAAATTAAACACAACTTCAAGGGAAACATGCTAAAACTGTAGTATACCCATCACAAAGAGAGTGTTCTCCCCCAAAGTTAGAAACCCAAGCTGTGAGATGTAAAAACTGTCATGTGTGGGTTCACCTAAACCTCAATCGTGAAAGATGTATAGATACGGTTTTACCTATTTGGGTATACACTTGCGCTTTCTTTTTTTTTTTCCCAACAAAGTATCAAATGCTTCCCGAGTGGTGAGGAGCAATCACCTTAGATAAATTAACTTGTCTAGCCTTTCTTGGATTCATAGATGTATATACCTATATGCTTCCTTTAGGCATGATTTGGTTGGCTGTAAAAGATCAAGTTGCTTTTAGAGCTAACTCCTCACATTTGTTTCTTCATTGATGGCACAGATTAGGGTCGTGAATGCGCTTTGTGGCTTACTATAGGTCGAATTGATTTTTAGACCATTGTTTACTAATAAGGTTGGAGAGCGCAACGCACAGGTTTCTAGTAACACCCCAAGCGGAATTTAGTCAAGAGACACCCGCTGGGGCCAATATATATATATATATATATATGTGTGTGTGTGTCATATTTCACTCTAACACTTGCATGTAGCATAATATTTGCTATATTTTTCAATGCATTCGGAAGAATCATTATTAAACGGTGGGTTTGAAACCTATAGCTCCATAGATGCAATAGACGACAGCAAAACACACACATACCTTAGTGAGCTAAACCATTTACTTCGGGGATCTGCACCTCTTGCGGTCACATTTGTCCTACAGTACTTCACTTCATTAACATCGACTATTTCGGCAGGAAAACTTGGTGCTGCGGAATTGGCTGCATGCTCCTTAGCTGTTTCCACCTTTAATGTCACTGGGTTGGCCGTATTTCAGGGCATAGTAACAAGTTTGGACACACTCTGTTCTCAATCCTATGGGTCGGGCAATATTCATGGAGTAGGTTTGTATTTTCAAAGATGCACTTTAATCATGTTTTCGGTGATGATTCCGTTAACTGTCTTTTGGTGCAATTCGGGATTTGTGTTGGGATATTTCATTGACGACCCGAGTTTGGTGAGCATGTCACAGACATTTCTCAGATGGCATACCATTGGCATCCCTGGGCTAATCTTTTTCGAATCCGGAAAACGTTTCTTGCAAGCCCAGCACATATTTCACGCTGGTACATATGTTTTGGCTTTAGCGGTGCCATTGAACCTCCTACTAAACTGGATCCTTGTTTGGAACAAAGGTACGAGCGTAGGCTTTGTTGGTATACCCATTGCTATCGCCATAACATATTGGAGCATTTCTTTGTTGATCCTTGCGTATGTCGTTTTCATTGATGGTATGAAATGCTGGGGCGGGCTCAGCAAACAAGCTTTAGTCAACTGGCTGGCCATGCTCAGACTAGCAGTTCCAGGGGTTGTCATGGTAATTGCTGAATTTGTTGCATTCGAGATTTCCATTTTTTTGGCAGCAAAGTTTGGTACCGAGGCCATTGCCGCGCAGTCAATTGCTTCCAACTTGGCAGCTTTCTTATTCCAGATACCGTTTGCCTACTCCGTCGTTATAAGCACAAGAATAGGACACTACATTGGAATGGGTAACATCGCAGGAGCCAAGCTTGACTGTCAAATATTCTTCACTTCTGCGCCATTTGTTGGAGTTGCCAACTTTTGCATTTTCTATTTTGGAAGATTTGCTTTGGCTAAGCTTTTTACTACTGATGAACAAATCTTGCGAATTGCCGCTGGATTAAATGTTTTAGCAGGTATTAATCAATTGGCAGATGCTTTCAATGTGTTGGGTACTGGCGTTTTGAGGGGTCAAGGACGGCAGACAATAGGATCCATACTAAATTCAATAGCGTTCTACTTGATCGCAATTCCTTTGGGATATGTCTTGGCTTTTGACTTGCACTTTGGATTGAGTGGACTTTGGTATGGGTTGATTTTGGGTGTTGTATTTCTAGCTGCAGGACAGTGTGTTGCAATCTATGTAAGCGATTGGAGCTCGATAGTTGTTGTGTCGCAAAAGATGCACGATGGAGCTTAATTTGGGGGAAAAGTTCCCAACGAACAGAGCTTGTGCAATTTCTTCTGTCGTTCTATAGGTAGTACAATGTATGTCCAATTATTAGCAGGTGGTACAGTTATCCTTATTTATCTCTCTCCAAGCCCAACGAATATACATGTATATATTAAACATCTCCCAAATGGTTGCAAATGTGTAGAAAGGAACAAAAAAAAAAAAAAAAAAAAAAAAAAAAAAAATAAAAGGTTCCTTCGAAATGCTCATCTCACATACCACTATCAACTTCATAACCTAGACCACCCAACAATGGTGAAGAAATTTGACAAGAAAAATGCGACCACTTATAACGTCGTTCATCGTGCCCATGATGATGCCCGATTTTTTGACGATAATGCCAGTAATGTTTTAGTGCCAACAGCACAGTCTCAGAAGAACAAGGTTAGCTCCACTTCAGGGAAGAAGGTATTCTCTACACATGAACTCGAAGCAAAGTTAAGAGACCAGGTTAGGGAAAACGAAGGATTGGCAGCACAGTACGGTATTACATTTGATGACTCGAAATATGATTACATGCAACATTTGAAGCCCATAGGGAATTCTGACGGTGTATTCATTCTGGCAAAGGACCGGGACCAGCAAAGGCGACAGGAAAAGCTAGATTTAGAACAACTATTGAAGGATCAGTTACCGTCTACTGAAAAGCGTAAAGTGACCAAAGATTTGAATCAAAGTATTCCAGATGAATTAAAGGGGTTTAACCCAAATATGGACCCTAGACTAAGGGAGGTTCTTGAAGCATTAGAAGATGAGGCATATATAGAAGAAGTTAAGCATAAAAAGAATAATGTGGATGTGGATGACGATGAGGAATACGATGACGATATCTTTGCTGACTTGTTAAGGTCGGGGCAAGCCGAAGAGGATGAATATGACTACTACGACGAAGACGAAGATTATGGGGACGATTACGACGAGTGGGATTTGGACAACTACGAAGATGAGTACGATGCAAAGTATGACGAGCATCCAGAAGAAATATTGGGCCAAGAGGGAGTTAACGAAGACTGGCAGCGAGATTTCATGAAATTCAAAAAAGAAAGCAAGAATAAAGAGAATACGTGGGATTCGGATGATGAGTTTGACGAAGAAAGTGAAGCTGGCGAAGATAAAGAGGAAGAGGAAGATGAAGATGAAGGTGATAATGTCGGAGAACTACCCGATATGAAGTCGAAGTTTTCCAAATCCAACACCAAATTGAGGAAGAAGAAAGGAGCAATGACTGATACCTCATCATTTTCAATGTCCTCTTCCGCTTTATTCCGTTCTGAAGGTCTTTCGCTACTCGATGATAGGTATGAACAATTGAATAAGAAGTATAACAGAGATGACACCAAAGAGCGAGACCAAAAACCGTTTGATATGGGAACTGAGAGGAACGATTTTGCAGGGTTGGTTGATGATTTCTTGGAAAACTACGAGTTGGAAAGTGGCGGAAGAAAATTAACCAAAAAGGATACAGAGAGGGCCAAGTTGCAGGAAGCAGCTAGTTCGGTATCCAGGGGTAAAGCCGGAAGGAAGTTAGACTCTTCGTTTGCGGGTATGAAAATCAATTAGAATTGTCGCGTTTATGGTATAGTTTTCAATAAATATTCAAGCTTGGAATGACGTTTTATGAGAGGGGCCAAAGAGCCCATGGTGTATATTCTTTAAGCATATAAGCAGCTGGTTTAAATTATTTGAATCTGTGGGATTGCATAGGCATATTAGGATGTAGTAGTAAAAAAAATGCACGACACACGCAAAACGCTCGCGACTTTAGGGAGAGACAAAAAAAGAAGAAGCAAAAAATCAAAAAGAAAAAAAAAAGAGAAAAAATTATCAAAAGGAAATAGGCTATATAACCATCACACATTTGTTTCACAGTAGCAATACACCGGTTTCCCATCCATACTCACATACCTGTGATTATCCTATTATCGTAAAAAACCCTCAAGTTGGCGAAATAGTAGCCCCAGAGGACCTGATTGTGAATACGTTTCTACACCACACAATTGCATTTCGGATTGATACACCCGATTGATACATCCATCATTCCTATCACTAACCTTTTGCGCCGTACAACAGAGAATCACGTTAAAGAAAAACGGGAAGCACAAAAAAAGACTTGAAATCACACCGCAGAACTGCAATTACAAATTTGGTTTTCCAATTAGTTAAAGAGGCAAACACAACCGCTCTAGATACATATTTACAGTGCCTTTGTTAAAACTTTCACGAACCCGTGTCAAGTTGATATCTAAAACCTTAATTGTCGTCTCAATTTTCATTTTGCTATTGACAACTATTAGACTGCCATCAAATTTACTAGGTTTTACATCCCCCATAACAAACTACTTTAGTCGTGATAATTCATCTCCCCAAGCAAAGAGTAACAATATGATTTCATCAAATAGCATATCCAGAGTTTATGCCGAAGTGTTAGCCTCGAAGCCACAGTCGTACTGGGATTATGATGATCTCAACATTAAATGGAATCCCCAAGAAAATTACGAAATTATCAAAAAGTTGGGAAGGGGTAAATATTCAGAAGTATTTTTGGGAATAGATCTTGTAAAGGGAGAGAAGGTGGTTATCAAAGTCTTGAAGCCAGTCAAGAGAAAAAAAATCAAAAGAGAAATTTCAATTTTGAAAAACTTGGTTGACGGCCCCAATGTGGTGGCATTGTTGGATGTTGTGAGAGAGCCACAACTGAAAACACCGGGACTAATCTTTGAAAATATCAACAACATAGATTTCCGGACGTTGTATCCCACATTCACCGATTATGACATCAGATTCTACATGTTCGAACTATTAAAGGCATTGGACTATTCTCATTCAATGGGAATTATGCACAGAGATGTCAAACCACACAATGTTATGATTGATCATGAGCAAAAAAAATTGCGATTAATCGATTGGGGTTTGGCGGAATATTATCATCCAGGGACGGAATACAATGTTAGAGTGGCATCACGTTACTTTAAGGGCCCTGAATTGCTAGTTGACTACAGGTTGTATGACTACTCGCTAGATCTTTGGTCATTTGGATGCATGTTGGCATCAATGGTATTCATGAAGGAGCCCTTTTTCCATGGCAAATCAAATACTGATCAGTTGGTACAGATTGTTCGTGTTTTGGGATCCAGCAACTTAAACAAGTACTTGGACAAGTACAACTTGACTTTGGGAGATGAATATGAAGATATTGGGTTTTACAACAGGAGACCCTGGGAACGCTTTATTAATGAAAACAACCAACATCTTGTTTCCAACGAATTTTTGGATATCATTGACAAGTTGTTGAGGTATGATCATCAAGAAAGATTGACTGCTAAAGAAGCTATGCAACACCCCTATTTTGACCCAGTGAGAAGTGTTTCCCAACTGTAAACTCTGGTAGTTATGTTGCTTGCAAATTTTAGAGTGCTTCCCCTAATATTATGAATTACCTTGAAAAGCTATTGTCTAATACATGTACTATATATAATTATACTTCATTTGAAAAATTTTGACATTGCTTTCTTTTGCTTTTCCTTTCTGGCCTTAATTTGAGCCTTTACATCTTGAAGACCTTTTTGGATGGCAGCATCAGTAGGCTCCAACTTCAATGCCTCTTCGAAGTTCCTTTGTGCAGTCTCCTCGTCTTTAGCTAACAAATAACCCAGGCCTTTCCTGTACAAAGCTTTGGCTTTTGACTTGTCATCGATGGAATCCACTCCCAATGCTTCATCTGCGGCTTTGATTGCCTTTTTACCTTCTTTCAATTTCAATGCAACAAGCGCCGAGTTTAAGCTACATGAGATTTTCAACTTGTTCAACTCTGAAACATCGGCTTCAGATAACTCTTCGGGGAAGTAATCGTTAGCAAAGCCAATGGCCTTAGCGTACTTCTCATACGCCTTGTTTAACTTGCCTTCCTTCAACAACTTGGTGCCAATATCTTTGACTCTCGTAATGGCATTGAATACCGATTGAGGATCGTTGACGTCAATATCCTTGACATCATTATCATGCAAGACTTCTTCGTAGATATCGCCAGTGCCATCGTCTTGATCAGCTGGATTCAACTCATAACCTTCGCCCAACGCACCGCAATCGGCTATTTTCCATTCGTCCACTGGTTTATCTCCCGAGTCCTTGTCACTTCTCTCCAATTGACGTACAATCGATTTACCCTGTACTACCTCGCCAAAGACCACATGTTTACCATTCAAGTGAGGCGTTGGAACCGTAGTGATGAAAAATTGTGACCCATTGGTGTTAGGCCCAGAGTTCGCCATGGATAGCAAGAAAGGTTTGTCATGAAGCTTTTCAAAATTTTCATCTTCAAACTTTTCCCCATATATTGACTCACCTCCAATGCCAGTACCATGGGTAAAATCACCTCCCTGACACATAAAGTCTTTAATCACACGATGAAATATCGAGTCTTTGTATGTCAATGGCTTTCCTGATATCTTGGAGACACCATGTTCACCAGTACACAACTCTCTAAAGTTCTTGGTGGTTTTGGGTACCACCTCATCATACAATTTGAAGATTACTCTTCCCTTTGGCTTACCATTGCAAGAAATGTCAAAGTATACCAAACTCTTTTTTGAATCCTCAGCTGCTGCCATTTCTATTGCAATTGAACCTCTTTAACTTTATGGGTTAAACCTGCTGCTTTTTTTTTTTTTCAGAAACACTAATCGATTGTTGAAATAGTGCACCGTTCTTGTCAATAGAAGTTTCTGGAAATTTGATTTTGGGAAACCTGCGAGGGAAGAGTCAAAGATAACACAAAACAGGAATAGGCAAAATTGGCTGAACCTGGGGAAAGCTAGTGACACGAGAACAGGTCAGGTGCCACCACCTGTACCTGGAGTCTTCGTGCTGCTGTATACACTTGATTGATCAAGTGTATCTATATTCGAATTTGTGGTAATGCTACGATACTTATCCAAAGTTATACCGCCTCCATTGCAACACAGTTCTCTCTTTGCCTCTACCCCTTTCGATTCCCGCCTCCCCCTCAAATACACCACCTTTGAAAACTACCCACCTCCTATGGTCAAACATCTTATTGGTATGGTCATCGCTTCAGCTATATATGGACGCCAGGTAGCGCCTTTGGGTCGTGTGCGTGCCCACCATTTGTCATAAAATCGACAAACCTCAAAACTGTGCGAAGGAAAAAAAAAAAGTGAAATATCACCACCAGCGTTACTTCGACGACTTTATACCGAGAGGGGTTATCCATAATTCATCACTTGTACCATAATCAATAGCATCGTTAGCTTCATCACGCCAGAGTAACTGAACTACACATATACATAATTTATTTCGTTTCCTTATAGACACATTTATTTTCGTTTTTAAAAAAAAAAAAATTCTTTATAAAAAACTTTTCAAAAACAAAGGCAAATTTTCAATCGTCTTACAAACCACAAGATGAGTAGAACCTTTCCATTTTCAAACGCTCCCCTCCGATCCGTCAAAGAAGTCCAGTTTGGTTTGCTATCCCCTGAGGAAGTGAGAGCCATTTCTGTCGCCAAGATCGAATATCCCGAAACTATGGATCAAGCAACCAAGAGGCCTCGTGAAGGTGGTCTCAACGATCCAAGGTTGGGCTCTATCGATAGGAACTTCAAGTGTCAAACTTGTGGTGAGGATATGGCTGAGTGTCCAGGCCACTTTGGACACATTGAGTTGGCCAAACCAGTGTTTCACATAGGTTTTATCGCAAAAATTAAAAAGGTATGTGAATCCATTTGTATGCACTGTGGGAAATTACTATTGGATGAGCTGAACCCTTTGATGGCACAGGCTATCAAAATCAGAGACCCAAAGAAGAGATTCAACGCGGTGTGGAGTGTATGTAAGAGCAAAATGGTTTGTGAAACCGCCACTAGCGAAGAGGAGATGGGTGACCATTCGACCAGAGGAGGATGTGGGCATACGCAACCAACCATCCGTAGAGATGGACTAAAGTTGTGGGGAACTTGGAAGCACAACAAAAACTTCGAAGAGAATGACCAGCCAGAGCGTCGTTTGTTGACGCCATCGGAAATTCTCAACGTGTTTAAACATATAAGTCCTGAGGATTGTTATAGGTTGGGATTCAATGAGGACTATGCTAGGCCGGAGTGGATGTTGATTACAGTTTTGCCTGTGCCTCCACCACCAGTAAGACCATCCATTGCGTTTAATGATACGGCAAAGGGAGAAGATGACTTGACATTCAAGTTGGCAGACATAATAAAAGCAAATATCAATGTGCAACGGTTGGAAATAGATGGGTCTCCACAACACGTTATCAGTGAGTTTGAGGCGTTGCTTCAGTTTCACGTGGCTACTTATATGGACAATGACATTGCCGGGCAACCTCAAGCATTGCAAAAGACAGGACGTCCAATCAAGTCAATCAGAGCAAGATTGAAGGGAAAGGAAGGTAGATTGAGAGGTAACTTGATGGGAAAAAGAGTGGACTTTTCTGCACGTACCGTCATTTCTGGTGATCCCAATTTGGACTTGGATCAAGTTGGTGTTCCGATATCGATCGCCAAGACATTGACCTATCCCGAAATTGTAACCCCTTACAATATCCACAAGTTGACTGAATTGGTGAGAAACGGCCCAAATGAACATCCCGGTGCCAAATATGTAATTAGAGACACTGGTGATCGTATCGATTTGAGGTACAATAAGAGAGCGGGTGATATTGCTTTGCAGTACGGCTGGAAAGTCGAACGTCATTTGATGGACGATGATCCAGTTTTATTCAATCGTCAACCATCATTGCACAAGATGTCTATGATGGCGCACAGAGTGAAGGTCATGCCTTATTCTACATTCAGATTAAACTTGTCGGTCACATCGCCATACAATGCCGATTTCGATGGTGACGAAATGAACTTGCACGTACCACAGTCCCCGGAAACAAGGTCTGAGTTATCCCAAATTTGTGCTGTGCCTCTCCAAATTGTCTCACCACAGTCCAACAAGCCGGTTATGGGTATTGTACAGGATACGTTGTGCGGTATTCGAAAAATGACGTTGAGAGACATTTTCATTGAATATGACCAAGTTATGAATATGTGCTACTGGATCCCTAATTGGGATGGTGTTATTCCACCGCCGGCCATAATCAAACCAAAACCATTGTGGTCGGGTAAGCAAATGTTGTCAATGGCCATACCAAAAGGTATTCATATCCAAAGATTTGATGGTGGAAGAGATTTGTTGAGTCCTAAAGATACCGGTATGTTGATTGTCGATGGTGAGATCATGTTTGGTGTCGTTGACAAAAAGACTGTTGGTGCCACAGGTGGTGGTTTGATCCATACGGTAATGAGAGAAAAGGGACCCCAGGTTTGTGCCCAGTTGTTTAGTTCTATTCAAAAAGTGGTCAACTTTTGGTTGTTGCATAATGGATTCAGTATTGGTATCGGTGACACCATTGCCGATGCCAGCACCATGAAGGATATCACCAAAACGATTCAGGAGGCTAAACAAAAAGTGCAAGAGATTATCCTTGACGCTCAACATAACAAGTTGGATCCAGAGCCAGGTATGACTTTGAGGGAATCCTTTGAGCACAATGTGTCTCGTGTGTTGAATCAAGCACGTGATACTGCTGGTCGTTCAGCTGAGATGAGTTTGAAGGATTTAAACAATGTGAAGCAGATGGTTACCTCTGGTTCAAAGGGTTCGTTTATCAATATTTCCCAGATGTCTGCGTGTGTTGGTCAACAGATTGTCGAAGGGAAAAGAATTCCATTTGGTTTCTCTGATCGTTCATTGCCTCATTTCACCAAAGACGATTATTCGCCAGAGTCAAAGGGTTTTGTGGAAAACTCTTATTTGAGAGGATTAACACCACAGGAATTCTTCTTCCATGCCATGGCAGGTAGAGAAGGTCTTATTGATACTGCCGTCAAGACTGCAGAAACTGGTTATATTCAACGTCGTTTGGTGAAAGCATTGGAAGATATCATGGTGCACTACGATGGTACCACCAGAAATTCTTTGGGAGATATTATCCAGTTCATCTATGGTGAAGATGGTATTGATGCGACTCAGGTTGAGAAGCAGTCTGTTGATACGATTCCTGGATCCGATGAAAGTTTCGAACGCAGATACAGAATTGACTTGTTGGAAAAGAATGGTTCCGTTTCAGAGTCATTATTGGAATCGGGTAAAGAAATTCAAGGTGATGTCAAATTGCAAAAGCTTTTGGACCAAGAGTATAACCAATTGCTTGAAGATAGAAAGTACTTGAGAGACATTTGTTTCCCCAATGGTGATTTCAGCTGGCCACTACCAGTCAACTTGCGTCGTATTATCCAAAACGCTCAACAAATTTTCCACAACGGCCGTTACAAAGCATCTGATTTGAGATTGGATGAAATTGTCAATGGTGTTAGCGAGTTGTGTACAAAGTTGTTGGTTGTGAGAGGAAACACGAAATTGGCCAAAGAAGCACAGGAGAATGCCACTTTGCTTTTCCAATGCTTGGTGCGGTCAAGGTTGGCTTCACGCAGGGTTATTGAAGAATTCAAGTTGAACAAGTCCTCTTTTGATTGGGTGTTGGGTGAAATTGAAACACAATTTCAAAAGTCAGTTGTGCATCCTGGTGAAATGGTGGGTGTTGTGGCTGCTCAGTCTATTGGTGAGCCTGCAACTCAAATGACATTGAATACATTCCACTATGCCGGTGTCTCCTCAAAGAATGTTACATTGGGTGTTCCAAGACTTAAGGAAATCTTGAACGTTGCAAAGAACATCAAGACGCCAGCATTGACAGTGTACTTGGATCCAGAGGTTGCATCTGACATCGAATTGGCCAAGATTGTCCAGTCGTCCATTGAGCATACCACGTTGAAGAACGTCACTTCATCGACCGAGATATATTATGATCCAGACCCAAGAACCACGGTTATTGAGGAGGATTACGATACTGTTGAGGCCTATTTTGCTATTCCCGATCAAAAAGTCGAGGAAAGCATTGAAAAACAGTCGCCGTGGTTGTTGAGATTAGAACTTGATCGTGCAAAGATGTTGGACAAGCAATTGACAATGGCACAAGTTGCCGAAAAGATCTCACAAAACTTTGGGGAGGACTTGTTTGTTATTTGGTCAGATGACACAGCCGACAAGTTGATTATTCGTTGTAGAGTTGTTAGGGATCCAAAGACGTTAGATGAGGATGCTGATGCAGAAGAAGATCAAATTTTGAAACGTATTGAAGCTCACATGTTGGAGTCTATTTCTTTGAGAGGTATTCCCGGTATCACCAGGGTGTTTATGATGCAACACAAGGTGAGTAAACCAGATGAGACAGGAGAGTTCAAGCAAGGTAAAGAATGGGTATTGGAAACTGATGGTGTCAATTTGGCCGATGTTATGGCGGTTCCAGGTGTTGATTCAGCCCGTACATATTCCAACGATTTTATTGAAATTTTGTCGGTTTTGGGTATTGAAGCTACTAGGTCTGCCTTGTATAAGGAGATATTGAATGTTATCGCATTCGACGGTTCCTATGTTAATTATCGTCATATGGCGCTTTTGGTTGACGTTATGACGTCTCGTGGTCATTTGATGGCAATCACTCGTCATGGTATCAACAGATCCGACACCGGTGCTTTGATGCGTTGTTCTTTTGAAGAGACGGTGGAAATTTTGTTGGATGCTGCTGCTGCTGCAGAGTTGGATGATTGCAAGGGTATTTCGGAGAATGTTATGTTGGGACAAATGGCGCCATTGGGAACAGGTGCGTTTGATGTCATGGTTGATGACAAGATGTTGCAACAAGCCCCAGCCAATGTTGCAATGGAGGTGATTGCTGAGGATGGAGGAGCCACTCCATACAGAGAAGCTGAAATGCAAGATGATAGAATCCAAGTTGACGAAAGTGCTGGTTTTTCTCCAATTCATCAAGCACCTACTTCAGATGGCATGAATGGAGGATTGACATCATATGGTGGACAACCAACTTCGCCAAGTGCCACATCGCCATTCAGCTACTCAACAAGTCCAAACTATGGAGGAACGAGTCCTGGTTACGGAGGTACAAGTCCTGGTTATGGGTACTCACCCACTTCACCAAGCTACTCGCCTACTTCCCCTAGCTACTCACCTACATCTCCAAGTTACTCACCTACATCTCCAAGTTACTCACCTACATCTCCAAGCTACTCCCCAACGTCGCCTAGCTATTCACCTACTTCACCATCGTACTCCCCAACGTCCCCATCTTACTCTCCAACATCTCCATCATACTCACCAACTTCGCCAAGCTACTCACCTACATCTCCAAGCTACTCCCCAACGTCGCCTAGCTACTCCCCAACGTCGCCTAGCTACTCCCCAACATCCCCATCGTACTCACCAACATCTCCAAGTTACTCACCAACTTCGCCAAGCTACTCCCCAACGTCGCCTAGCTACTCACCTACTTCTCCATCGTACTCCCCAACGTCTCCATCGTACTCCCCAACGTCTCCATCTTACTCCCCAACATCCCCATCGTACTCACCAACATCACCTACGTACTCGCCTACGTCGCCTCTGTACTCACCAACTAGCCCACAGTATTCGCCTACTTCGCCTAGTTACTCCCCACGCTCTCCAGGTTACGATCCTGAGTCACCCAAGAAGGAAGAGAAGTAAATGGTTTATAGGAGCTAGATTTTTAATGTATAAATATCAACTTAAATGTTATTAATGTAATATTGTTATTGGTCCTCATATTTGAACAACTTCAATATCTCGTTACTATATCGCTTGAGAACCCTTAATAAGGTTATCGTAGTATCAACATAAGATAGTGAGATCAACTCTCCCATGTTTCATCTACATTTCTTCGGAAAAAATAGAAAATAAAAAATAAAAAAAAGAAGAGCTGAATCACTCTCTATTTTCTTCATTATAGCATGTCCGGAAAGGGAGTCACCAAACCTGATAATACTATTTCGACGTCATTAAAGGCTAGGAATAACAAGAAAAATCAGGTGTTCAAGGCTTTGCTTGATAACCCATACACACAGTCCAGCACTTGGCCTTTTATTGCACCATTGTTAGCAAAGGACATCTTGGATTTGATAGATTCCATACTTTCTCCTATTCTACAATCCATCCCCGTAAAGAGGCGTGATCTGTTAGACTGGATATATTATGGGTTCAATTCAACTGTGGAAACCTTGGAGAGACAAGCAGCGAATAATAGAGGTAAACATAAGGACTCGGTCAAGCAAATAAAGTATCTCATGGTGTGCAAATATGACATGACACCCCAGTTGTTGACCAGCATGTTCCCCGTGCTATGTTTCACTGCATCACAAAGCGCTTGCAACATGGTCAAGTTAGTTCAGCTACCCAAGGGCAGTATGGAGAGAATTTCAAAAATCATAGGCATCCCAAATACAGGAATCTTGGGGTTGGCAGGAGATGTGGCGCTTGTAGAACCCATATACAAGCTTATAGATGGGAATGTCAAAGACGTTGAAGTTCCCTGGTTGAATGAAATATTTCAATCCCCGGGAAAGTTTTATCTGCCGCAAGTCAAGCAGCTACTGGTGAAAGCGCCGCAGGGTAACCAAAAGAAGAAGAAGAAGAAGAAGAAGGATCACTAAAAAGAGACAATGTTAAGAAGTAAATAAATTGAACGCGTAATTTTTTTTTTTTCTTTTCTTACTTTGTAATTCCTTTTCTTCACCAAGCTATTCTCATGTCTAAAACGTTGGAACTCCCCTGGGTGGAGAAATATAGACCACATGTATTGGATGATATAGTAGGAAATGAAGAAACTATAGAACGTTTGAAAATTATTGTCCAAGATGGCAATATGCCTAATATGATTATCAGTGGGCTTCCAGGGATTGGAAAAACCACGTCCATTCACTGTTTGGCATACGAATTGTTGGGCAAGGAGTACTATCATCAAGCTACATTGGAGCTTAACGCTTCAGACGATAGAGGGATTGATGTTGTTCGGAACAAAATCAAGCAGTTTGCCCAGACAAAAATCCTGCTTCCGCCAGGAAGGACAAAGATTATCATCTTGGATGAGGCAGACTCCATGACTCCCGGTGCGCAACAGGCATTGAGAAGGACGATGGAAATCTACTCAAATACCACTAGATTTGCATTTGCATGCAATCAATCACTGAAAATTATAGAGCCACTACAATCGCGTTGTGCAATTCTAAGGTACAATAAGTTGTCAGACGAGGAGGTGTTGAAAAGGCTATTGGATATCATCAAGCTGGAGAATGTGCAGTATAATAATGAAGGCTTGCAAGCGTTGATTTTCAGTGCAGAGGGGGACATGAGACAGGCTATCAACAATATGCAAAGTACTGTAGCGGGGTTCGGCTTTGTTAATGATGTCAATGTGTTTAAAATCGTTGATCAACCACACCCGCTTGTTATTCAAAACATCTTATCAAATTGTTTGCAAGGGGATGTGGATAAAGGTTTGAGCTTATTGGATGGGCTTTGGCACAAAGGATACTCGGCCATTGATATAGTTACACTGACTTTTAAGGTGGCCAAGACAATTCCTAATGTTGATGAGCTGAAAAGATTGGACATGATTAAAGAAATCGGGTTTGTCCATATGAGAGTGTTGGAGGGTGTTGGGAGTTATTTACAGCTCTGCGGGATGTATGCGAAAATATGCGATTTATGATTTGTATACACTAGCTAGTTTTTCAAAGTGGTTTATTTCGGAGGTGGAGTCTTCTGCCTCATTCGACACAATCGTGTAAACTAGGGAGTAGTTTCGATCGAGAAAAGTTTCCTTGTCGTGGCCCTTAAATGCATTTGCTGCTTTAGTAAGATTACTTTCGTAAGCATTTCTCAATCTTGTAATAGCAGTCACAGAAGGCTCGCCTTTGGATGACAAGCGGAGCAAACCCAGGTAAAACAAGGCAAACTGTTGCGTAACGTTAAGCGGTACTAACGACTTGGGCGTTCTGGGTATTTCTCGCTTCAATGCATCACAATTGAGATCAATCAATTTGCTAAATATGGGCCAGAGGGTGAGCAACAACGAGTTGAGATGGTCGTCAAGCGCAGGGATGTGATTCTCGTGTAACTTCTCTTGGAAGTTGTGAATCAATCTTATTATAAGCAATATGCCGTATACGTCACCAGTTCCATTGGTAATGACTGCTAGAAAGTCCGTGCTCATTTTAAATACATCTCGAAACATATCCAACGCCCAGGTATGGTTGGTTTCATTCCCCGCGTAAAAGAAGCTGACAACAAACAAATACTCCACAGTCAAGTTGTCGGCAATGGCTCGAAGTAGTTGGAGAAAAACAAACTCGATTGTATAGGAAACTGTTATGGTCTCTGCCAATTGTGATGGCATGCAAGAGTCAGCACTGGAGAGTATTTGATATCTCGACTCGAATGTGGACAAGTAGTTGGGAGAGTCGAATATTGTGTCTTCGAGGTGCCTCCTGGAAAGCTTTTCCAAAGAATACACGTACTTTGCAAACTTGCTTCTGTAGTACCACCTCATTGTGCTCTGGTAGGCTTGTTGCAATTGCTGCCCTAGTTTTGGTTGCTGCGATTGCAAGAAATGAAACAAGTCCGAGCATGCAAAGAGCTTATTCTGTACCTCCTGTGACGAAATAGGCTTTGTTCGGAGTGCTCGGATTTGAGAAATGACGAAATCCCGGGTCCGCTCAACCACTTTTGCCTTGATCAACTGTGAATCTTCTTCATTCATCTTGTCTAGTAAGTAATTCACCTTTTCGAAATATTTGTTGGACAACTCTTCGTGCAATATGTCCCTTATTAGTTCTGGGGGTAGCACTTTTTCGTTGATGGTTCTTTCTAGCATTTGCGTGATCATTTTGTTTGTATGTGAATCTTTGGATAATTCGGTCGATTGTTGTTCGAGTGAAACCAAGCTAGATGACAAGTCTTTCAAGTCCTTGGGAAATCCTTCGAGTATAGCCCCCACAGGTTCAAGCTTTTTCCTGTGCTGCGACAACTCCTTATTGTATGAATGGAAGTGGGACATTGCTTCAGCTATATCGAGCAGTTTATCAGCCTCGAGGTCGGATCGGTAGTGCTCTAAAAGTGAATCGGAAGTAATGGGTACATTCTTGAAGGTAGCATTGGCTGTCCCATCTTCAAGTGGTAGTAGTTTCCCTAGAGCTGATATTCCCATTGTATAGGTTTGTTGAAAGAGATCTGTTTTAGATTTCACATTTTTTGTTTGGGCTTTTTGTTTTTTTTTTTTTCGTAACCTTCAACAATGTTGACGCCAAGCCAACAGAAGGCAGTGGATTATGATTACGAGCCTGGTACAGTCTTGTCTATACAGAGCGGGCCAGGATGTGGGAAGACATTGGCATTAATCAATAGAATCAGGCGGTTACTAGAGGAAGGTGTGAGTCCGCTGGAGATTATTGTCTTGTCCATGACAAACCGAACTGTTAATTTGTTGCAAAAAGCACTTTCTGAAATTATAAAGGATGAATTGGTTCAGGATGTGGTTATCAAGACGTTTCATTCTTTTGCGGCCCAGATATTTGACGAGAATTTTAGCAAATACTTTCCTGGTCGCCCACCCAATAGCGTTGTTGATGACTCGACTTGGAAATCCTTTGCCAAGTTTTTCAGTGCAAAGCACAAGGATTTGGATGCTGCTGTACTTGCGGTCAATTCAGGGGCGCCCCTTGGTCTGGTGGCTCTGAAGTATTCAATCTCAAGGGATCAGTTAGAGCGGACGATGGAATACCTTGAGGATAACGGAATGATTCGTTTCCATGGGTTGATAACTAATGCAATTGAGGTTTTCAGTGAATCAAATGGGGCCTTACCTCTAGCTGATGCAAAGGTGGTCATTATTGATGAGTTTCAGGATATGCAACCGATCCTTTTAAAGTTTATCAAACAAATTGCCGTTTATGGAAGGAGGAAGCATGTCACGCTAGCCGGCGATAAGAATCAATGCATTTACGACTTTTTGGGGTCGCGTCCTGGGATTACTGAAGAGTTTATACATGATTTAAAGTTCAAGCACACGGAAATTGTATTGAAGGAGACCTTTCGATTGAGCCCTGAGATTTTAGCGGTGGCTAATGAAATAATACCTTCTGAATTGACAAGTGTCAAACGAGAAGGAGTTCTGCCTATACGGCAGGGTGACTTGTGTACCGATATTGTGGAATTAATAACCATTTCAGGGGGGTTGATCAAGTTTTCCGACATTATTATCCTCACATTCACTAATAGAGAGGTGGAACAGTTTGCCGAGGAATTGACTACCAGATACGGCATAAAGTGTAACAAGTTTAGTGGTCACAGCTGGATAAATTCGAAAGTGCATATCTACTTGGACTTTCTACATATCCTAAGACGAAGCTACGGATCTGATTTTGCTCTCTTGTTTGTTTTGGAAAAGATGGGTGTGAGAAATATAAAAGGGTTGTTTGCAAAGTACAATGAATGGAACTGCAGCAAGCAGAATAGATTGGAAGATTATTTGAGAGAAAATAGTTCAAATACACTTGTAGGGGAGTTTCTTTGCTTGATTGAGAACGAGAGGCAGGGGTTGGATACGCCGATTTCTATATTATCATCTTTGGGCCGAATTAGCATACAAACAGGGTTGGTTGGTACTGTCAAACCCGATGAGGTGAGTGCATTCTACACCTCATTGAAGCTTTCTTACAGGAGGTATTTAGCCGATCCCAGAGGCACATTTCTAGAATACTTTTTAATGCATTACTACGACGACGAGCCGGTATTTGAAGAAGATAGGGTGAATGTGTCCACTATCCATAAAGCCAAAGGGTTGGAGTTTCCGGTTGTATTTATACCCAAGTTTTCATCATTGAGGAAATCGAGGTTAACATACGTTGCAGTCACTAGAGCAAAGTGTTTGTTGTATGTCGGTCAAGAGACTTTTAGTAAACCAGAAATTGATGAGAGAACTATAAATGTTATCGCACGAGATTTAGGAAGAGTGCCAAATGCGGCCAAAATGAAAGCGGGTAGACAGTTTTTCAATTTATACAAAAAAGCTCTATGCTAGTTTAAGTAATATATCCATGACCTCAGCACTAGGTGTGTCTTCCTTTGGTTGCTCCTTTTCATCGCCCTCTGAATCTTCATCCTCTTTTGCCTTATTGTCGTACTCGTTTACTTGAATATCTTTGGCAAATGCAACCTTTTTTGGTGTTGACCCACCAGAGGGGGTGGGCGAAGCTCTCCTCTTTTTCAACTCCGGCTCGTCGTCATCAGAATCCTCGTCGACATACTTGGGCAACTCCTCGTCATCGTCTGAACTTTCGGCAGTGCCTTGCAAAGCACGCCTCGTTTCATCAATCCTTTTCAATTTGTCGTTAATGACTGCAATTTTGCTATCGTCCGTTTGCAACCCACTTTCTAAGGAGTGAAGCATCGTTTCTAAATTGAATTTGATTTGCTCTCTAGTAGATTTTATACTTTCTATGTTTTTTATCGCCACGTTGCTTAGCTTCTCCAAAACTTTGAGCTTGTTAAGGTGCACCTGTGTTTCCGGCAAGGTATCTGCGTCCAAATTCAAATAGGTCTTGGACTGTATCCCCAATTGAGTAAGGTTCCCCTGACTTACATCAGTCAAATCGTTGATGCGTTTGTATAGGTCATTCACAAGTTGAAGTTCTGAGACAACTGCGGGTTGTATTGGGGTAGCCGTAGTCGACTTTTGCACAGATGGAGGTTGCGCTACGCGGTCTTTTAGTTTCCTTATTCCGTCAGCATCAAACACTAACCTCTCCTCCCACACCGAAATGAGTCTCTCGATCTTTTTCTTTATAGCTGAATCAACGCTGTGGTAGATGGGATTTATGACTTCCAAAAGCGGTCTGAAAAAGTCTGATATGTACTTTGTCTTGTGATGGCGCTTGGCCTTCTGGATAACATCGTTGCATAAATATAGTAGTAATAGTTTTGTTGCTGGTGACGCGTTTAGCACCTGCGATCTCCACACATCAATGAATAACTGTGATGATGGTTCATTTTGAAGCATGTACCCGGAGAGGTAGTTAATTGAGTCTTGGGTTTCATTGATATTCTTCAACTTCGAGGCAAATGATTCGGCCGACATGGCTTTGGTGATGAAGAAGTGGGAAAAGAGGAAAAAAAAAAATAGCCAAAAAAAAAAAAAAAAAACAGTTCGTGTTTTGAGTACGGCAACCACCATGGCAAAAGCTAAGCAGGCCAAGGCTACAAAATCCTCGCCACGTCCCATATTTGCAGAAGATGCATTGAGTCAGACAGATCCATCGTCCCTAGTTGACCTTATTAATCAATATGTCCACACAAACGCAGATGTCATACATGCAAAGTACAAAGAGTTTGCCGAGGAGCAGATGGCTGCCGACCACAAATTAATACGGGAATTGCAAGAGGAGAACGCCAGATTAGCAGAGGATTTAGAGAGCAGGTCTCAATTCAACTCCCCTGTGAAAAAGCAAAACAATGAAGATGTTTTCTACTCGTTGGATATTCTTGAGATAATGAGTGGGTTAAAAGTGACTGACTTTAATGATAACGGTAAGGAGTTGGTTTACGAGATAAAGTCTGTGGGCAAGGAGCTGGAAATCCATTATAAACTAATACTAGCAAAAGACGGGTCTGAAGTCACCTACATTCCCATATTCGATGGAAACGAGGAGGCGATGAAGTTGTTGCCTGAATACTTTTTGGATAGCTTTTCCTTTGATTTTAAAAACTTGCCTCTATTCTATAACAAAGTGAACAAGTATATAAATAAGTAGCTATTGAATGATTAGTTTTCCATCAACGTTTGACACGGTCAAGTTTTTTAAGATCTCCTTTAGTTTCCTTTTATCATCTTTGGATGCCTTTTTGAGGACCTTGTAGAAGTTTGACTTTTGGGTAACTAGCAGGGCAAGGGGTGACGCCGTTTCAGTCTTTTGCTTTGTCTTTATCTCCTTTGGAGGCACTGTTTGCATTGGTTTCTTTTGCTGAGGTTGCTCGGATTGCTTCCTTTTACCCTTGTACAAGCTCTTTTCGTACTTTTCAGCCTCTGATATACAACTGGTGTGCTTGTTGTGGTCGTTGTTGTGAAACGTGGTTGAGCAGTCAATACATGTAAAGTAGGCTCCGCGGCATCTCTGCTGATGCTGACCCAACTTCTTCTTGATCACAGTGTCGTTGCAGACTTCACATGAAAATGATACCATCCTTGTTTAAAAAGAAAAGAGGCATCTGATGAGCTTTTTTATTTTCTCTTGTGTCGCAAAAATAAAAAAGCTCAATCACATGTTGGACCATCAAAAATGGCTAGATTCGGAACCAACGTATTTAGAGGTAAGAAGGAGCAGGAGGCGTACAACAGGACCATAGCTGGAAGGTACTCCAAGCTTGTCAAGAAGAACCACTTTTTATATCTAGGACTCCCGTTTTTGCTTTCGATAGTTGCTGGATCAATCTATCTACAAAAATTCACCAGTGTCAAGTGGGAAAAATATGATGAGAAGTATCGCCAGTTGGGAGAGGAGGAGATGTTGGACATGATAGAGAATAAGAGAAAGGTTAACAAGAAAGATGATTACTATAGGCTTCTGGGGTTGCTTACGGACCACTTGGGTAAGGTTGAGGATGATTATGAGATTAAGCGAGTCCATAGAAAGAAGGAAGATGAACCTGTTTGGTGGAAGTAATGTAGAGTAGCTATGAGTGAATGTATATAGTATCGATATAATAGAGAAGATGAACCTGTTTGGTGGAAGTAATGTAGAGTAGCTATGAATGTATATAGTATCGATGTAATAGAGGAAATGTGCTGAAGATCAACACGTAGTTGTAGCTTAACGTTCAATTTTTTTTTTTCTTTTTCGCATCTTTTTGGAGAACCTAAAGACCAAAACCTTCTTGTTCTGTCTTTCTTATTCTCTAATAGCAAAAAAAAATCAAAAATGACAATGAAATAGCATCGTAACCCTTCTGGCACACTGCAGCTCCCAATGGCAGTGAGCCAGGACGCCTAAAACAGCTAACAGGCAGCAAATACCTAAACAATTTCTGACTAGACTACAATTCTGGGTGTTTATCTCCAGAAAAGCTCACCCAACACAACGCCAAAGGTGATTGGGCACATTCCTCTTCACGATTATTAAAAACCTACCGACCTTTCCCCGCCTAAAAAAAAGCTTGCGAATCAACACCATGAGGGAAATGTACTTGAGTGTGGTTTGGTATCTGTTGT